AGCAAGAACCCCATCTACGAGTTGGAGGCCTTTGCTGTTGCCGTGGCACTCTCTTTGTGGCGCAAGAGTCTTTGTGGATTTGCCCCGGTTGTTTTCACTGACAATAACGCCGCCCTCGGCTCCTTCATCTCAAACAAGGCTTCCTTGTCTGGTGTGGAGAAAATTTTACAGTTCGTGTACAATATTGAAGTCGCAATTGGCTCGCTGATTTGGTTTGAGCGAGTTTGTTCTTTCTCAAATCCAGCTGATGCCCCGTCTAGGGGGAGGTGCCGGAACAACTGAAAACGCTCAACGTGCAGATCGATATCAATGCTGTGTTGGAAGAATGCTCGCTGTGAGCGTCTATGTGCGTGGGGTAAGTGGGCGACGCCGCAAGACAGCATGTGCGTCTTGTTTGTGCGGCATGGAAAGCATTGTATGCTGGACTGTTTTACAGCTGTGTAAGCTGTATCGCCTTTCACCCCATGCCTGCAAAAAGAGTCCGCACCAGCTTATCGAGTTGAGTCGTTTTCGAGGATGGGTTTCGATTTGCCGTTCGGGTCCCATCCCTGCAGTCGGTTGTGCTCCCTCCCCACCCTTTCTGGCCTAGGGTGCCAAGTGTGTTAGGGTTGTTTGTAGGTTTATTTTACGGTGGGTGTGCTTTGGCTCAAAGGATAAGGCGTAACTCCACCATAGGTGGATGCAGCTTTATACTGGAGCCTTAGCAGAACTGTGGCCGCATTTGAAGGCCACGGTGCACCCACCCGTTGTTGCCATTCCCCTCCTACGAGGGCCATTGAACATCTGTTGTTGAGCAACATTTGAACTATGTGTTTTTATAACTCCTGTTGCTGAGCAACATCTGAAGTTTGTTTCCTTTGTGCCATGCGTCTGTGACAGCATGACTGTTGAGTTTTAAACCTTGGGTTAACCTGACTTCCGCTGTGCGTGTAGGTAACCCTGCTTGTTTGTGAACCGTGATTGCGCCATGAGCATGGTTTTCACAAACTCGAACATATGTTTGAATCTCACGTGCCATTTTGGCTTCAAGGCACTGTGTGCAATGACACGTGAGTCTGAATTTTTGACCCACCCTCCCATCCCGGGGTAAGTGGGCGACGCCGCAAGACAGCATGTGCGTCTTGTTTGTGCGGCATGGAAAGCATTGTATGCTGGACTGTTTTACAGCTGTGTAAGCTGTATCGCCTTTCACCCCATGCCTGCAAAAAGAGTCCGCACCAGCTTATCGAGTTGAGTCGTTTTCGAGGATGGGTTTCGATTTGCCGTTCGGGTCCCATCCCTGCAGTCGGTTGTGCTCCCTCCCCACCCTTTCTGGCCTAGGGTGCCAAGTGTGTTAGGGTTGTTTGTAGGTTTATTTTACGGTGGGTGTGCTTTGGCTCAAAGGATAAGATCAACTTCTCTCACGACACCATTCAGCTCATGTCCTCAAAACTGGCCAAGCTGGACGCCTTGATCAATGCTGGGAAGCCGACGTGTGCCTCGCAAAACACTCGAGCAGTGCATAGGCCGGTTGATTTGGGCCACCAGCATTGCCCTGCACCTTAGGTCCTGGCTGGCACCGCTTTACGCGGACCTCAACAGCCCACCAGGCTCCATGCACTCAACACCACCGCAAATGTGGTCGGCCTTTCGAGCGTCCTTGTCCAGGGACCTCAAAACTAGTCACAGCCTGCCGGGATTGTGGATCACAGCGGGTTCCAAAATCTTGGAAATTTCAGGCCGCACCTTGCATTGCCTTGAAGACATTCCGAGAGTGCCTGGCACTAGCAAGCCCACATGGGTGCGTATCGCGGACCCCAATAACCCATACACCAGCCTTTCCAAGTCAAGTCAACATTGCCTTACTTGGCTGGCGTCGTGCTTTCGACACTCGCCTATTCAGCCGTTGGCGCGGCCACACCAGCTGCAAGCTCTGGCTGCCGCCGACGCGTGTGCTGAAGATGAAATGGTGGGGATTGGGGGCTGGGCAATCACATCCTCCCAAGTGGTGTGGTTCGCCGAGACCTGGAACATGCAAGACATAAGAGCCGTGTGGCCTTGCCTTGTCAAGCCAGCACAGCGGTATATCGCATGCTTTGAAACACTTGCACAGTTAGCACTGCTGCAAGCAACCCACAGCCACATTGGTGGTGGGCACTACTCGTTTAGCATGCCGTCCGGCACGGACAATTCCGCCACGGAAGCAAGACTTAACAAATTGTTCACGACCTCATGGCCGCTGCAACTTTTTGTGCAGTTAACAGCCTTCTGGGCTCACGCTCACAACGTGCTACTGCAGCCAACGCACGTTCCAGGAAGGTGCAATGATTGGGCAGACGATCTCAGCAGAGGTCGGTTGACCCGATTCAGCCATCGCCCTGAAAGTCGCATGCGCTTCAGCCCTGCAAGCCTGGCGATGTCGGGCCGAGGCATTCAACTGTGTCCGATGCATGCGCCCTGGCGTCCGGAACATTTGGCAGCAGCTTCCATCGTCGCTGAGCCAGCCTAGCCTGCATCCGACTTGGCCTTCCGAACCCCTTGCCTTGCCAGGCAGAACAACTGGCAATGGCAGCCAGCCGCTTACACAAGCCGCTCTGACCAGAAAAAGTGCAGTCACCGCATGCCGAGCTGTTCACAACACAGCGTGCATGGTGACCCTAGCATCTGCCCTGCCAGGTACAACCCCACTCTGAAGGGCGGGTGATGAGGCCTTCGGCCCAGCTGGTTCGCTTTTACCGGGGTTGCCTGAAACACTGAAGGGGGGGTCAATGTGCCTCCTGCTCCAGGCGCACTAGTGCCCTGGAAGCAGTGCAACTTTCAGCAATCCCGGTGAAAAGAACTGCGGCCGCTTCGGACGACTTTGTTCTTTTGAGGTTTCATGTTTGGGTTCAAGCTAGGAGCAGTGCGACATGCCTTAACGCTTAGGGTTTCTTTTCCCTTGTGTTTAGGGCATGTGGTGAATCGAACTATGCGTTGGCCGTTTTGCTCCTAGCCTTGACCCAAACCTGCGGTTTCATTTCGAAACCCACCCACCCACCCTGCATTGCCCTATGCCAGGCTTTGCCAGGATAGACGGCAGTTTCTCTGCATTATCGTGGGTCGCCTCCGGGCACCGTAGTCTCCGGACTAGGTCTCCGGACCACAATCGGTCTCCGGACCTCAAGTCTCCGGACTGTCGGGTCTCTTGGGGCGTGGGCACGCGTGCCGCGCCCGCCCCCCCCAAGCACTGCATTTACCCGCAAGGACACGCATTGTCTTGCCTTTTCACATTTCGGGGGGTCAATGTGCCTCCTGCTCCAGGCGCACTAGTGCCCTGGAAGCAGTGCAACTTTCAGCAATCCCGGTGAAAAGAACTGCGGCCGCTTCGGACGAACTTTGTTCTTTTGAGGTTTCATGTGGCAGAGACTAGACGAACCCAGGACTCGAACCTGCAATCTTTGCTTCCGACAAAGTCTTGTCCATTTTGCCAAGAGGGCCCTGGCAGGGAACTTGAATTGAAGGATATTTTCTTTCAATTCATTGTAGCCATGCACTACAACGAGAATCTTGAGCGGGCCTGGCGCGGGCCTGGTGTGGGCCAGGTGCGGGCCACCAACCAGGCAGTGTGCGACATTTTCGTACACTGCAGAAAGCTCGTCCAGAACTTTCAGAACATCAGCGAATCGCCCGCAGCCCGGCCAGGTGCGGGCCTGGTGCGGGCCTAGTGCGGCTGTATGCGATGCTGCGAGAACAGCATCACTGACAAAGTTTTGGTTTTCAGCCCGAAAAACCCTGCGCCGGAGTTTAGTCAGTGATATGGTTCTAGCCATATCACTGCCGGAGTGGTTTTCACTCGCCTTGCCATCAATCCTGCGCTGGGCACAGGCTGGGCACAGGATTGCCCCGGTGCAGCACCAGCAGCTCGGGCTTGGAACAGTTCTTGCCCGAGCTCAGGCTCGTGATGGAGTCGGCCGGGCCTCCGGCACGTCGTTGATGCTCAGGACGAAGGGCAGGCCGCTCGCAAAGAGTGCGTCTCGGAGCTCCGAGTGGAAGGCCAGGTCGTGCCCCCGCCCCTTTGTATCATAGTAGTTCATGGTGCGACCGGGGAAGATGTAGGGAGGGTCGGCGTAGATGCAGGTTTGCCGGGGTGCCTGGCAGGGCAGAGCGCGCAGATAGGCCAGCGCGTCCTGGTGCCGCACGACCACGTTGGACGGTGGCCGATGCAGACGCCGCACGCTGCTCAGCGCCAGTGGCCGCGCGAAGGAGCCCCACTTTCCCGAGAAGCTGTTGCGCAGCAGGGCGTACGAGCAGGCCGCCCGACGCCCGGCACGGCCTCTCAGAGCGCCCGGCAGGAGGCGCGCGCAAACAGTCGCTGGGCCAACGGGAGCACGCATAGATGACGGCGAATTGGCAGGTGTCACTGCGGGCGCAGGTCACCGGTGAGCGCCGGTCATTTGGCTTGTGGTTCAAGTATTCAGCTTCAACGCAGATTGGATGCTGGGACATCGAGGAAGTCAGAAGCAAAAATTTCAAACCGAGCTATCCAGAGCTGCCAGGAGCTTGTTGAACAGTCGAAGTCGTCAGCCGCATATATTTGCCCACTGGCGCGGCTCCAAGCATTCCCACGTGTCTCTGAGTTTTTTGGTGTTTCCCGTTGTTTGCGCCAATTTGGGTGCTGTGCTTCGGGTGCATTTGCAGCTGTTCCGCATAGTGGCTTATGTATCAGAGTTGCGCTTGAGCTCCGCCTTCCCCAGGCTGGTGCCCAGCCACGTCATGTGACACTTCGCGTAGCGCTTCCCCAGGCCGGAGGCTGAAAAAAGGAAGATCTCGCATTGCCATGGCCTGATCCAGCTATTGGGCATGTCTCACTGCAAGCAATGCAAGGATTGACATTTCCCGTGACTTGCGCTTGTTTTGTGCAGCATTTGTGCAGTCAGGGGGCGGGACACAGGACTAACATACAGATCCATGCTCAATCAGCAAATCTGATGGACATACCAAGAATCACCAACAATTCAAAGGTAGCAAATTGTTGTGGAGCACTGTGCCAAATCAGTGTAGGCATTCTAGGCACAACAAGATGCCGCATCCTTGTGGAACCCTTGGCTGGAAAGCCGCATCGCTGTGGCTGGTGATTGGGCCGCACTTTGTGGTGAGCCAGTCGCTGCTCCAAGCTCTGTCCAACGAGCGCCCAGATCCGGCGGTGTTTCCTTCGCCGCAAAACCCCCACCACTTGCCACCGGCTGGCACCAATGTGACGGGCCCGAAGTCCACCAACAAGTTCTGGGCCAATTGGGTGGTGGAGGAGGGCCGCGATCTGGCGATCCACCCCATGCCCTACGTGCTGAAGTTCGAGTCTTCGCCGCCCAACATGAAGATCTCCAGGTCATCTGCGCCCCACATCGTGTACGGGGACTCGCAGACCAACGGCCCGGACAAGGTGCGGTACTACTTCTCGCCCTTCATCAATGAGTTTGGTTTGGGAGCAGTGGAGAGTGCTGGGCCTGAGGGTCACGTGGTGGTGAAGGAGGGGCTCTTTGGATTGCATGCTGAGGTGCGCGGGCCGAGTGGCACAGATCGCCGGATCCTCTTCCCCATCTACAGCGGGATGGCCTACGTGTCCGGCCTCTACGAGGGCTTCACTCCGCAGGTGACCTCCGAGCGGGCCTTGCTGTTGCTGGAGCCCGTTGCTAATGGCATTTGGAGGCTCCTGAACAACGGGGGCAAGGAGTTCCGGCTCTATGCCATTGACCCTGCGGGCAACTTCGCGGATGCATCCTTTGAGTTTGGCCCAGATGGGAAGATGAACAAGGCGTTCCATGGCTGGATCCGTCTGGCGGAGGTTCAGGCACCCGAAGATCAAGCGATCCTGGACTTGCACGCTCCAGCAGTCCTCATAGACTGGGAGCTGGACGTGCCGGGCGGCGGGGCCGTGAAGTACCACTTCACCAAGCACGGCTCGGTGCCCACACAACTCCTTCATTTTGCCTACCCGCACCACGAGAAGCTGATGACGGGGAACACCCAGCAGGTTGCGCAGCTCACACGCATGAGAGCGCCCACCAAGGGCCGGATGGCAGGCGTGACCGGGGACCAGTGGCACCTGCAGGCGGGTTGTGCCAAAAAGCATGGCCCGTTTGAAATGGTGGTTCCACACATTTCAGGGCGTGCAGTTTCTTTCCGGCTTCTGGTGTATCCCAGCGATGGGCTTATCCATGCTGGTCGGTTTCCGCTCACAACAAGCCAGTTGGGTGTGTTTTTTTGAGGGTACCTGATGGAAACCAAATGGACATCATCATTGAGGGACCGCCTAAACACAGGACATGCCCAGTTTGCTTTGGGGTTTCCTTTTGGTTTCGTTTTCCCGCCGCAACGCCTCGGTTTGACGATCAGGTGAGCACCTCCGAGGAGGACGGCTTGGATTTCCTCCCGAAGACAGCGCCACAAGACCATCGAGTAGGCGCGTTTGTTGTTTTTCGAGCCGCGGATTTTCCCATAGCAACTACCTTTGGAATTCCAATGTCATACCCTTGCTGCAGATAATAATTATGCTGCCTCTTCCTCGTGTGAGTCCAAGACATATTCCAACTTGCGAACCTCAGAGGAGAGTTCGAAGTGGAAACAGGAAAGTCGGGCGCCTTGAGGTAAGGTGTTAGCTGTTCGGCCTGTGCACGCATCCCTGCGGGGGCCTCGCCCACTCAGCGGGAGTACAAAGCTCACATCGCAGTTTGGCCGTGGAGTTCAACCCAACCCAACCCCCGCCAACCGAATCCACCCAAACCCCACGCCTAGCGACAGACGGAAGGCGTTCTCAAAGGGAGTCGCTCGCCAGGGGAGCTGAGCCAGAAGGCTTTGGACACCTTGGCCTGGTTCCTGGACTCCGAGCAGTGGAAGCAGGCCATGTTCAAGGGCCACTCAACCGGATGGGCCGTGGGGGGCGGTTCTCCCGAAGTCGCTTCTTTTTTTAAATTGGGTGGGGGGGTGGGGTGGGGTGGGGTTGGGTGGGATGGAGGGAGGTTTTTTTTTGGCAGGGCAGGCTTGGCAGAAGGTTCCCGAATAATGAGCATCTAGTTCAAGACGTTTCAAAGCTGGACAGGGCATCTTTTTCTCCATGGCCGAGCAAGGTAGCTACTACTTCAGCGGGAAAGGCTTCCAGAAGGTGGCCTATACCTGCTTGATGCTGGAGAAGTTCTTTGGGCTCGGCAGCACTCACACGCAGAACTGCGCCGACATCTTGAAGAAAGGCTTCCAGTGCTTGTACGTGCCGGGCACGGCCGGTTGCGCTGGTGCGCCCCTGGGCCTCTACTACGACCACTGGTGGGGAGGCGCTGCCAGCCGCGAGGGGTTCTCGGACAAGGGCTGCCGGACGGCAGACTTTGGCAACGCCTGCTACAACGACCACCACTACCACTTCAGCTACTTCGTGGTGTCGGCAGCCGCTTTGGTGAAGCTTCAGCCGGAGATGGCGGCAGACGCAGGCTTCGTGTCCTTTGTGGACACCTTGATCCGAGACACCACCAACCCCAGTTCGCAGGATGGCTACTTTCCGGTGTTTCGCTCCTTTGATTGGTTCGACCTGCACTCCTGGAGTCGTGGCGTGATTCCCAGTGCCGATGGGAAGGACCAGGAGTCGACTTCGGAGGAGTTGAATTTACTCTACGGCATCCGGCTGTGGGGCATGGTCTTGCAGAGGACTGCGCTTCGAGATCTCGGCACCACCATGCTTGCCTTGTGTGCGGCAACAATCCGGGAGTTCTTCTTGATGAAGTCCGACAATGAGCACCACCCCGCAGACTTTGCGGCAAACCACGCAACTGGCATCTTCTTCCAGAACAAGGTGGACTATGCCACATGGTTCGGTTGGAGGTATGAGTTCATCCATGGCATCCAGATGTTGCCAGTGACTCCGGCCCTGCTGCTGACCCGGACACAGGAGTTCTGCAGACAGGAGTGGGACAACGTGCTGTCGCGCCTGCCGCTGAGCCTGACTGATCCTTGGACCTCACTGCTTCTCACAGGGAACCTGGCCATCATCGATCCGGAGGGAGCCTATGAGAGGCTCAGCGCCATGTCGCCCCAGTTCATGGACGATGGCCTGACCTGGGTCTGGTCTCTCTACTGGTCGGCGAGCTTGTCAGCTCCGGTGGGAAGCACGACCAGCGCCGCCTCAACTCTGCCCATGGGGCCTGGAGATGTGAACGTGGCCCTGGATCGTTTGGCCGTCGCCTCCTCTGAGGCCGCGCCCGAGCTCGGCGCTGCTCGCGCGGTGGATGGCCTCTTCGTCACCTACTGGAGCCCAGCAGCCAGCGACGAGGACCCGTGGATCTCGGTGGACCTGGGCACCGTGCAGGCCCTGTCTCACATCGTCTTGTACTGGGGCGAGTTCTACCCCCTCAGCTACTGGGTCCAGGCCAAGGATGATGTGTCGGACTGGTCCACTAAGGCCGTGAACCTTGGGGGGTCCGGCAATCTGCGATCGGACATGCCACTGAACACCTTCGCGCGGTTCGTCCGGGTTGTGTGCCAAAGCAGCGCAGGCACTGACCTTCGCCTTTGGGAGCTCAAGGTCTTTGCGGATGAGCTCGCCACGACCCCGATGCCCACGTCTACGTCCACGGCATCCACGGTTGCCACGACCACAGCATTGCCATCAACCACCACCGCTGAGGCAGTCACCACAGCCGGGACAAGCGCCACTGAAGCAGGCACCACCACTGAGGCAACGACAACTACTGCCGAGGCAGTGACAACTACAGCCGAGGCCAGCACCACATCCGCCGCACCAACAACAACGCTGTACCTTGGGCCCAACTTGGCTTTGACGAAGCCCGTGCTGGCGTCCTCCTTCCGGTCCCCTACTGAGTACGCATTCAGAGCAGTGGACGGAGACTCAGACACTCAGTGGGCCTCTGCTCCCGAGAGCGACCAGTGGCTATGGGTTGACCTGCTGGGCGTGCATGAGGTGCATCGGGTTGTCGTGGCCTGGGGCTCGGAGTATGCCTCGGAGTTTGTGATCCAGACCGCCCCGGATGGCATCGTGTGGACGGATGCAGCCACTGCCGCCGGGTTGCCTGACTTGGTTGCCACGGAGTTCCAGCCCCCTATCCAAGCCCAATGGGTGCGCGTGCTTTGCCGCACGAGCTGCATCATCCGCGAGCTCAGCATTCATGGAGGTGCGCCAACCACCACCACGACGCCGCCGCCACCAACCACCACATCCACCGCGTCCAAGGCTGCGACAACCTCGGGCCAGAACGCAGTATCCAGCGGAGTCGAGCTGGCTCTGGGGCATCCCGTGCTTTCCTCTTCCCAGAGGTCGGCTCTCGAGCACGTGTCCAAAATGGTGGATGGTGATGACAGTACTCAGTGGGCATCTGCCGTGGGAGAGGCCGCCCCCTGGGTGTGGGTGGACCTCCTTGGAGTGTTTTCCGTTGCAGAGGTGGCGATCCACTTCGGCGATGACTATGCCCTCCAGTACACCGTGGAGACCAGCGCCACGGGTGATAAGTGGACTGCAGTGGCTATCAATGAGGGTCGGCCAAACGAAGTGGTAACCACGCCTCTTCCTGTAGGAGCACAAGCCAAGTTCGTCCGCCTTGTCTTCACATCCCTGGGCACATCCAGCTGCAGCATCCGCGAGATGAAGGTCTTTGAAGCCGGCAGTGCAGGAAGCCCGTCGGCTCCCAGTCAGAGCGTCGCCAAGGGCAAGCCCGTCCTCGCTTCGTCCCAGCTCATCAACGACTTTGCCGCCCGAGCTGTGGACGACGTGACCAGCACCGTCTGGGCATCGGTGCCGGTGGGTGAGCAGTGGATCTGGGTGGACCTGCTGTCGAGCCACGACCTCAGCCACGTGGTGATCTTCTGGGGCGACAACATGCCCAGCAGCTACAACTTGGAGATCAGCACCACCGGCGTTACCTGGGAGGTTGCACTGCACGACGTGCAGCCGGGCGCTGAGGTGCGGACCGACTTCCCACCCGACATGAAGTCGCAGTGGGTGCGGGTCTACTGCAAGGGTGACCACGGCTGTAGCATCAGGGAGCTACAGGTTGCCAGACTCGCACAGTCTTTCCCAGTTTCCCACTTTTGGGTTTTCCTTTCTTTTTTTAAACCAGCAAAAACATCGGCCTTTTGGGAGGGATCTCGCAGCCAAGGTGTTCGGGAGTCCCACTGGGGCGCCCAGGTTCCTTCGTCAGAGACTGGAGGGCGAGGCCGCGCTGCCGGCAATGTGGCCGTGGTGTGCGCTTTTCGCGGTTCTGTCTGCGGGCCTGGCCCACCGAAGACACACCAAGTGCGAGAGTTCTGCGCCTGAATGCTTAGCCTGAGATGCAGACCGAGCTTGTCAGTTTGTATCCCGCAGAGAGTTTTGGTGCCTCGTGCACACCCTGCGCCTTTTCGCACTGCAATTTGGCCGTGCTTGCGTGCTGACAAGGGCACGCGCATTCCTGAAGGTTTGCACATCTAGCTCGTTTTTGTTCTCATTTTGTCCGAAGGGCCAGCTGCCGGTCTCGGATCGCATCGCATGGCATCGGACATGATTTTGTTTGGGTCTCTGAAAGCGACCGTCCAAAACCTGGAGGGAAATCAAAAGGATGCTGGCCAGTTGTATGGGTCTTTTATTTTTTAGGATGCACCAAGGTTCGCTTTCATGAGACCAGTTTGTCGGACCTGTATAGCTGAAGTTGTTGCACCTGCGCCCACACCAAGTGCGGAGTGCGTGGCAGCGACCAAATGTGGCATGCGTGCCAGCAAGAGCACGCTGATCGTTCGCGCAAAGAGTGGCGCCAAAAAGAAAGTTCCGGGTGTTTCCCAGACATCAGACTCCCGGAATTGGGTTGTGTTAAAACTTGCTGGTGCCCAGTAGGGAATGATAAATGGAACGCCCCCTATGAACCATTTTTATTGGTTTTCTTTAAGGGAATCCCCAGGTTCATTCCATTTCTCATTCCCGACCTATCGCACCAGCAAGAAAAGAAACATCCACAACGGGCGAGTGGCCACCCAAGTTGCCCACAAAGACCAGATCAAATGCTCCGATGTTCTTTTGGGGGAGACCAGTAATTTGGTGTGGGATGCTCATGCGAGAATTCCAAACTTGGGGACTGCTCTGTTTGCCTGGCTGCTGAAAAACAAAAGTTCAAGCATCAGCGGCTGCACACAGAGCTCGGTCCTGGCTGTTTCTCCTTTGACCTCTTGACATGCGAGCTAGCACGGTCCTGCCCGAGTCTCTGAGCGTCCGGGAACAAGGCACCAACTTCTACTCACGATTCAATCGGAGATGAAGTACTGTAAGTCGATACCCAACTTCCCCGCCTTACATACCTTAGGTGCAATGTGGCCTGTCAATTCGAGTCATTCTCTGCGCTTGGTTCTGGCGGCTGCGCTGGCAAGGTTTAGCGGTTGCGCGGGTTGCGTGGCGCGCCAATGTTTGCTGACCCCGGTTCATGTTCTGGGAGCCAGATACGTGGGGATGACCAACAATTTGCCCTCAGGGTGGCAAGGTCGGTTCTCGACGCGAAGCAGACTCCCTACCAAAAGCACGAGACAACTAACACGTCAGTGCAGGTTTGGAGCAAAAAGGCATGCCCGTGACTCAACCGATGCCTTAGCTTTCTATTGTTGCTTGTCAAGATTGAAGTTGCACCGCCAAACCAATCAAGGACTTTTGGTAGTTCAACCCAGGCAGTCAGACTCAGCATCTGCAAGTTGGATCAAGTTGGAAGAGCTTGCGTGTGCTGTGCATGCAGGAGTGGGGGGAATAATAGAGTCTCTTGGCTTCGGTGTTGCTGCAAAAGGGGAGAAACGAGGCATCCGACTGTCAAAATGACTGAGGGTTAAAAAAGAACCATGTTCGTAACAGAATTCCATTCTGGCCAACTTTTTACCTGGCAATGGAAGGTACGAGGTCAGCATTAGGGTATCCCTCTTGGATGGCAATGTTACGGCGCACCTTTTCCAATTTTGAGAATTCGAGAAGCGTTGGGGACCCATGAAATCTAAGTGCTCGACCGGACGCGAATCGGCTCGAAGTGAACAAGCTGCTCCCCGTGGGACGGTGGGACGAAGTGAACAGGCGGCTTCCGGATGGGTGGCATTGCCAGCGGAGGGATTCCGCGTGTCAGATCGTTTTAAGTTTAAGGCCGTGAGTGCTACCCAGAGCTCCCTTGTTTCCTTTGCAGTCGACAGGCTTTGGTGTGATGTCGAACGCTTCTTTTTCTTGGACAAACTGGTTTTTTGGGCGTTTGAGTGGCGAGTCCCAACGCTCCTCGGACAAATGCGTGACATCCGGGACTCAGTACATTTCAGCCCCAGCGAGGGAGACTGGAGACTTCTCTTGATTTCCTCTTGGCTTGCGGGTTTCAAAAGTTTGGTGCAGTGGGAGTGGTGCCAAACTTGTCACCCAGGGTCGGTGTTTGCGCTTCGTCCTTCCCAGGGCGCAATGGAGGACGAGCCACGCTGCTTCTCCACCCCGGGGCAGGGGGCCGACGGGATCGATTTTTCGTCGTGCAAGTGAGACACATATCGCCCCTGAGTGCAAGATTTGCAGCCCATGGACACTTGGCGTGCATTTTCCAAGCATCGCCAGGGTATAGCGCACCCACCCCATCCAAATCCCGAGGATCGTGGGTCCCTCCGCGACTTTCCAGCGAGCTGGAGGCGGGCGCTGGACCTTGGTACCCATTTGTATATATATATATATACACTTTATTATATATATATATGTTTATATATATATATACATATATATATATATCTATCTGTATATATATATATATATACACGTACAAAGGTATCTATTTTTTGTTGAAAGTGGCAAAGTCATGACGAGAATCCCACCAAAGTGTATCCTTTCTTCCACAACCGTGCCTTGATCCCTTCCCTCTGCTGCAACCTTGATCATGGAACTGGCAAGAGGCAAGACGACATGTTCAAGTACTAGCCATATCTGGCTCGATGTGTTGGGAGAACGGCTCCGGAAGCAGGTGCTCTAGTCTACCTCACCAGCAACTCGACCTATGGCTCGAGGCGGGGTGCGCTTTAGCTGCGGCAGCTTCGGCTCCCTTGCGGTTACCCTCCACGCTTGCAGAGCGGCTTGGAGGACTTGGTGTCAAGTGGGTGGTCGATCTAAGCAATCATGTGATGATTGGATGCGGGTTGGAGAACAGAAAGAAGTGCGTGCCTGTTGGTTTTATTCAGTGTGTGAGTTCGCCGAAGTGTGTAAGCCGGAGTGACGTCGCAACAGCGTTAGCTTTGACATGCGGGAAAGGGAGAAGCACCATGCAACACTTAGCAATTCAGCAGGGCAGATATGCTGACAGGATGGTTTCCCTTCCATGCCGCGGGGTCCCGTTCGGCCTCGCCCGACCCAGTGCCGCATGCACGCCCCTCACGTTCGTTACAGGATTCCACACATGCCCACCACCGGCCCAGGGCGGACCAGACGGCCCCACGAGGGATTTTGGCCACGCACCACACACACACACTCGGTCCTTTTGGTGTCAAACTTGGCCAGGTACCCCACGGAGATGAGGGCCCCAAGGCGCGGGCTTGGAGAAGGGGTTAGTTGCAAGTGATGCGCACTTCGGTTTTTTCCGATTTCACCCAGCACCTGGAGACTTGACCAAATGGTGACCCGTTTTTGGGTCCGACTGGCTCTTCAGCGAGATGTCGGTACTCAGGCCACATGTTCGGCTTGGAGTTCTGGGGTCGACAGGGGAATCTTTGCAAGTCGTGGGCTTTGGCCAGGTTCGGCCTTTCCAACAAGTTCTCCAAGCGGGGGCCCCAGGCCGCACGCCGCCAGCCGAAAGATATAGGCCCAGACCCCAGCTTTTCAGTGGAACAGGAAGGTTTTTGGAAGGCTGGTTAACGAGGGTATTGTAGGGGGGCTCCACTTGGGGTTGTGGAAAATGTTGGTTTACAGAGTTGCCACTTTCTAGGTTTCTGGCATGGCACGAGTTGCTGCACGATGATTAGTGATTCTACTCCCAGATTTTTTCTTGACGTCACAAGAGATTGAGCCCGTTTGTCTATCTTGGCACCAGTCGATTTCGGCTTGAGCCCTGGCCACGTGGCTCGTGCTCATATCTTCACTTTTCCCAGCGTCCCGTGGATCTGGGCAGAGCGATCTTTTTTTGTGGCCGGCTTTTTGGTTGCCAGTCCGTTGCTGTCTTTCCTCGCAGTTTTCCTTCGGCTTGCTGGTGCTTAGGGAGCAGAGCGCATGACCCCTTCCAACCAGTCCAAATTCGCGATATTAAAGTTCATAGAGCTTGCTCAGGCTTCCCTACTTCAAAGACTTCCCCCGCCGACCCCCAGTCCACGCCCCAATGAAGACATAATGCGGATTCGCCATATTTGGCCCTTATTTTTCGCCTCATTTGTGCATCATCAAGCCATATTTGGATCTTATATACCCCTCATTTGTCCTTAATTGTTGGTACTTTCCCAAGCTTTGAGCTCCGATCTGTCGCAGGTCTGTGGGGGAGTTCCCACGCCTTGAGAGCACCGGGCCCAGCAGCAAGGCGCGGCTGGTTTCCCCCCCCCCCCGAGCCAGGGGATCCTGGGGGCCTTTTGGGGGAGCTCCAAACATTGGCCCCGCAAAAAGTGGGGACTTCGGCAAGTTCGACGTGCTTCAGACGTTTGGGCAAGCATTTGTTTGGTGTGTGTTTGCAGGGAACCAAAGGGGTCCACGATTTTTCAGATCCTCAGGTCCATTTTGGACGAGATTTGCTTTTGGTTGGTTTTCAATGTTGTGGCTTGGGCCGGAAGGTAAAAGCAGGATTCCGCCCATGAAACTTCTTTAGGGCTCGTACTTCGGCGGATTCCAAATTGTGCCATCAGATTCTCCCATACTCTTCGGTCTCGAAAGAGGTGCTCATCACTCTTCGCCCACAGCCCTTTTGGGGGCCTCAGTGGTACACACGGAACGAAAGCATGTCAAGACTTGCAGTGTGAGAGTTTGGCCACAGCGGTTTAAGAAGTGGCCGCCATGCGTGATCATTTGTTGTCAAACGAATGCGGGGTGGACAGCACATGAAACGCGTGAGAAATGGTGCGTACAGCAATGTACTGGGGCGCAATCAGCACAAGAAGATGGGACGTGCAAATTCGGAGCCTGTTTGGCGGACGTAGCAAATGGGTTTCACTTGGCAAATCCTCAAGCCACTGGGGAAAGCTGGGTGCAAGACAAACAATCACACTTTGGAATCACGCAATCAGGTGGTGGGTATCTTTTTGGCAGCACGTTCGCCGTTTCGCGCCAGATTATCCCCTTCTCCCGCTACATGTACGGCACCACTGACTGGACGAACCGCATGGGCTGATTGAAGTCCGTTGTGGCAGAAGAAGCCCTCAAGCAGTGTGTCAGCACTAGCAACCCCTCCAAACAGATGGTTTCGGAATCCAACCATGGTGCCTAGTGTCCACACAGATTCCCAAATCAGGCCCACATCTTCTCTTTTTTTTTGCTGGGCTTTTGGTACAAGTTGGCCAGAACATGATGGATTGAACAGCCAGATGATTGGCACTTCGATTCCCCAAAGTCAGATGGGGTCATTGCATAGGTCTGATGCGGTACGAGCAAAAATCGGGGTTTCGGTGAAGGACCCGATCGCATTCTTGTAGCAAAAAGACACATTTCATGTGGCACGGGAGAGTTTGCCTAAATTGCTGGACCTTTTTTTCCCCACGCCATGGACATCTGTTCAGTTGGGATTGATGGGGCTCAGATGCACTGCTCTTCGGCTTTGGTCTCGCAGAGTAGAATGATTGTCCCCAAAGGGGATGGGATCAACCGCCGCAAAGTGGCTGCAAAAGACAAAGGGCCGCAGATCTCTGGGTGGGTATTCCTTTTTCGAATTCCCCAAACCGGTTGGCTGCACCTGGGTTGCTTTTTGGCCCTGGGAGATACTTGGGGCAGGGCCGTCGAGTGTGGAACATTTGCTGAGCCGGCAAACCGGAAGGAGGGAGAATCGAGCGAACACGTTTGTGGCGATGTCAACTTGAATCTCGTTTCGGAGAGACCTTAAGGGAAGACTTCATGGGAAAAGTGGAGTGCACTTGAAAGCATCTTCCCAAAAGAATTGGACCCCGCATGGAAGCTATCAGTCCCCAATCTTTTCGGACCCAACATCGTGGGATTGAAAGCCATGGGCCGAGCCATTTGCAATTTTGACTTCTCACTGCTCGACTCTCGCAACCCGCGCTCTTTGCCTAGGACTCTCGGATTGTCTAAGCCCAACGATAGTCGGGCATGGGTCGCGCAGGGACTCCCTTTTGAATTGACAGAATGATGGGATTTCATCTTTTGGTATCAGAGCTGGGACCATTTCGCCACGTGTTTCCTGGCTTGTGGCACCTCACTGGTTCGGGGTTTCTTGTGAAGCTTTCCTGGGAAGCTCTCGAGCCATGGGGGGCTGTGCGCCGAACTGTGCTCCGAACTGTGCGCCGAACTGTGCGCCGAACTGTAAATTCTCGCCGCCCATCGAGGTGTGTGGGGTGGAGGAGTGTGCCCCGCCCATCGAGGTGTGTGGAGTGGAGGAGTGTGGCCCAGCTGGAAGGGCGGGTTAGAGGACATCAGCCAGCTGCTTTTTCATAGGGAGCCTGCAAACATCGAACCTGCATGTAACATTTCCGTGGTTCATGTCTCGATACTTCTGAAAGAGAAGTAGCAGGAAAAGACAACCTACGGAGCGCTCCCTTTACACGTGCGCAGTAAGCCGGTAGCCCCACTTTTGCAAGACTCACCTGAGCATCATACACGTGAGCAAGTCCTCACATATGTGCAATTTTGGGGTAGGTGCACCACCCATTTTAGTCTATTTTAGTGGGGATTGGGATGTTCACTGGGGGTACGATTTGGCTGTTGACCCATGGTCAATTTCCTGGTTGGTTTCGGGGCCTTACCGAGATTTTGTCCAACTGCCCAGGTGCCCCAATCAAACTTGAAGAGGAGGTCCTGGACGATCGGCAGTCGAAGACTCTGCAGCTCTTGCAGGGGCAGTGGTACAACAGAGAGGGGGCGCCTCGTTTGAACTTAAGACTTTCACCGGCGTCCCTGGTGGGTCCAGTCCAAACAAAAACATCCCTTCCAATATCTTTCCCAAACGGGCATCATTCGGCCATGTGACAAAACCAGAGACGCTCAGATGTAGAGCGGTTTGCATAAACCAATTGGTTTCATCCACCTGGCCGAACCTTTTCGGGTGGCCGCCCATTTGGCCTCTTGAAGCGCCCCCACAAAAACAACCACCAGGACGATCCGAAACACCAAAGTTGCACCCTCAGCTTCAAGCCACATGCCACCAGCAAACCTCAGAACCAGATGTTTGCTACACTTCCAAACTGAAGAGGTGGATCTTTAAGCTGGCATCAGCTGGAAAGCACAAGTTCCATTTGTTTTGAGACACGCACACGATCTGCTTTCTGTCTGTTTGCAGCAAGTAGAACACAAGTTTTCATTTGGAATGGGTCAAAACCGCCTCTCCCGCCCGGGACTGGTTTCAGTCCGTTCCTCCTCATGTTTCATATTGCCCCCGTGTTTGTTGGCCACAGTTGGATATCAGGAGCTGACTGGTGTCATCGCCAACGAGAAGATCTGGTGGATCAAGCCGTGCCGCAGTGTCGACGGTGATTTTCCAAGTGGAAAGGCCATGGGCTGGGTGGGGGGTTGGGGAGAGAGTCGGATAAGAGACCGTGTAGGAAGGGTCACCAGACCAAAAGGGCCATTCTTCACTGACACCTGGAAGACTTGAGGGAGTTCCAAACATCAGGAACTCACAGCCGTAGAGGACACTGGCGCAACAGCTCCTTGAGAACCCTTGGCCTTAGAGGTCCCCGAAAACGCGGAGGTGGGTTGCCAGGAAAGAGGCGGCCCCCCCTTTGAGCCACCATTCAGAGCCCTTGATGACAGTTTATCCTTCACATTCACATAACAGCTTGCTTGCCCTGAGCAAGCACGCGCGAGAAGGGTGGAGGATATTCCATTCCTTGCTGCAGGTTGGGGGGTTGATTCAAGCGCCTAGACTAAGACCCCTTTCCACTGGAACAATCCCTTCCCACACCCTTGGCTTCCTTCCGAGGAGGAGGTCATCATGACCCGGGTGTGTGGGTCCGTGGTCTATGGCATTGTGGACCTTGGGGCGCAGGCGCGGTTGGAGTCTCACGGACGTTGCCATGGAAGTTGGGAATCCCATCCGGGATCTCAAGTTGGGGGAAGTCTCTTCGAAGCTGCAAATTACGCGGCAAACAAATAAGTTGTGCTTTCCGGCTGGCGGATTTGTGGTGGCAAAACCGGGGATGCCCATGTTCATTTCCGCGCAGGCGTCCATCACCTGGACCTCCGGCGATCTCTGGCTCCGGAAATAGTCTGAGTGACCAGAAACCGCCGGGGCGCGCTTTGCACCCCGAGACCCGGGGAGCCGCTCGTGATGCGCCGCGTACCCCAAGTCTTTTTTTGCTCGGCACGGAGGCGGGGCCCGGCGATGGGTTCCCCGAGCCTCAGATCGAAACAAGCTGTGCATTGGTTTAGAGAGGAGCAAGGAGGGTGTCTGTCTCAGAGGTGGCCCAGCCAAATATTCTCAGGAAACGGTCTAACTGATTGTCGCTGCACGGCAGTCCGGCGCCTACCTCGCACCAGGCAATGTCATAGCATCGGATGCTGTGCATACTTCGCGATTGCTTGACCGGAGCGGGCGACTTTCTCAGTGTAGCCCCTTAGGAATGCGCTTCTAGCGACCTTACACAGAGATCTCACAACCGCAACCACGATGAAGGTTCCTTTCGCAGGGAAATTCTTACGTTGGGTGGGCGAATCCTTATAGCTTGCCCGGTAGAAGCCGATAAGCCGGGGATAAGCCCAGAATAGACTCAATGAAGCAACAGGGCTTGTATCCGAAGCTGTTAAGCTGTTGTTGGTAAAACAGTCGCTTTTTGTTTTGGTTCCTTTTGGGCTTTGGCATGATTGTCCGGGTGTGAAGGAAATCTGGGTCGCCCTGGATTTTGCGCACAGATCTGGTTCCTTCGTTGGGGAATCGATACATAGCATGCCCCCCCTCGTTCCCGCCTCCCTTTGGAGATTCCGGGCGACGGGGCCTGAGAAGAAAACAGGGCGCTGCTGTGACCGCTGGGCATGACCTCACAAGTTGAAAGATCCAGGCAGGGAGACAAGTCTTCCATGGAGCCATTGGCTCATTTGGATGAGTCCCAAAACTAGAGGACACCCCAAATCATTACTCGGGTTCCTCCAATTTCAATGCCAGTTGGGGGATAGAATCAGTGTAAACTGTGGTTCAGTCGTCAATATCACTCGATTCATCCGGGGTGTCTCATTGGCTGGTCCTCTGGTGAAAACCCCGCTATGAATCCACAATGTTGGTTGGGTCGGGGTCTCCCAAGAAGGCAAACTGGCGAGTGCGCCATGAGGAGTCCCCAAGATTTCATCCATCTTTGTAGAACCAACAGAAAGTAGATTTCGGGTGCTCGTTTGGACGGGTCTTGTGGAACATGGCGGCAGACTCCAGCTGGTTGTGGACAGTGTTTTCCTTCATGGCCAAACCTGCGCCATTATCTGGTTACCCCAGAGTGAAGCGTCAGGTTTCCAAAGCGACGGGTTTGCGAGCCAACTTGGGCACGCGGGGAAGTTTGATTTCGCTGACCGTGAAGGTTGCTCCGTGCCAATACTTGCCCCATTCTTTGGGAGAAATCGTGAAGATTCAGTTATGGAATTGACATCCTCACCTGTGGATGCAACATGGATGCTCAACTCCGCGACTGTTGATCACACCGGTGATCCTTCTTCCCTTGTTTGTTTTAGAAGCCGTCTTTCGCAAGGGATTTGTGCCAACTTGAGAAACTGAAGACGTTTGGAGAAATAGGATAGGGGACGATCCCAGCATGGCAATGTTAGTCTTTGTGCCGATGCCATGTCTTCAAGCCTCTGCGGGCGCTCGCACGAGTCTTGCGCGCTCTTTTGGCTGGAAGGCGAGTTGCCAATAGTTTTTTGTTTTTGTTTTGTGCGGGCTCTCATGTAATGTCAGTGCGGATTTCCTGTTGACTGCCGGCAAACAACCATGTTTTGAGATTCTCACAGACCCCCCAGCCCAGCCTCGACTTTCTGCAATGACTCAAGAGCTTGAGGTTGATTCCTTTTGAGAAGGAGTTCTTCTTTGGCCTCGAGGTGCCAGCCTCACGTGGTTGACCGAGAGCTCATGGCTGGAGAGCTGAGGCTCATCAAAGTTCCGAGGCGGGAGACGCCGACACTTCCCTCCAAACGACTGCTTCGACTGATTCGGGTGGCAGAGAGATGAATGGTTTGATTGAAAAAGGGAAACCCAATTGCCTGGCTTGAAATGGTCATGGCTCAAAATCTCGTACCCCCAGTGAACATCCCAATCCCCACCAAAATAGACAAAAAGGTGCACCTATCCCTAAATGGTACCCTTGGTTTCGACCACCACAGCGAAGACCGCCAGGTGGCTCTCCGAGAAGTGGCTGAGCTCGCAGCCCAACGAGGCCGATGTCCGGCTGGGCAGGGGTTGGAAAGACCCCGTTTGGAGCCAGCAGGCAAGGCAGGTTGTCACAAGTGGAACGTGTCATTATATATATATATATACATATACATAATTTTAGCACATCAAACAAGCAACAACAAACGACGGACCCACAAACAGCAGAGGCCGAAGTCGGAGAGTTTTTGGTTTGGGAAGAGAGTTGCGCGGTGTTTGTTGGGTTCCAGGATGTTTGCAAATGGTGGTGGATCGAGGACGTATCGGTGTGAGGGCAAGCTGGTTTGGGCTTGGCCCCTTCATGGCCCTGCGCTGGCCAAATTTTCCATCATTGGCCCACCGGCATCGCCCCTTTCCATTGGTTGCATCCCAAAAGCACCGAAACCGGAAATGGCGGTCTTCCTGTCCAGCGTTAGGATTCGGTGGGGTTCGCTGGTATGCGTTTCTGTTCGTTCTTGTGTCAGGTTTGGAAAAACCGTCGCAAGCAAAGCCCAGATCAAAGCCGGTTGAGGGTAGGGACGTTTCGCAATTAGGTCCTACCACGGGCTTGAAATAGCCGGAAACCGCCTTTGAATCGCCGGGTTTCGCTTGATATCTTGGGACGCAAGTTTGGCAGGTTGTAGCCGACCTGGACTTGGACACCAACACCCTGCGCCGGCAGCTTGGGGGCGAACCTGCAAGGGGTGCTAAAAGCCCCGACATGATGCCAACTTCTGAGGGACTTGCACGAGAGTTGCAGAAGGCAAGCAGAGCCAAACCGCCCACTTGGTCTATGGCCATAGCAAAGTGACCCCTGAGCCAATGTTTCCCGGATTATGCAATGGGATCCGAATCAGAAGCAATGTCAAATTGTGGGAGTGATCACTGGACGACCACATCCATGTTTTCTACTTAACCATCTGTCCAATAGCTTTCCAAGCGTCCCCTTTTCGGCAGAGTCCCGGAATCTGCCCAGCGAAACCCCAGCGCATGTCACTCGCTCCGCCGGGGGGTCGGCTCTTCCGTTTGGATCAGGTCTGCGGGGCGCAGGTGTGGCCACTTTGCAGGTGGAGCGCAGGGAGCGGCGGCCCAGGTCGGCGAGAAAGCCCAAACCGGCGAAGTATCTGTTGGTTCTTTTGCCCCCCAGATGATCTCGGGAAATCACTGTAACCCTTAGTTGGTGGTTTGGATTGGTGGCTTGGATTTGGATTTTAACCCCAGGTCCTTGTGGAAATGGGAGACCGCCTCCGTAACCGCCAAACCACCCATCCAAACCACCAATTCGGGGGAGCTGATTTTGTTTTGATTCAGGAGTTGGTTCTTGCAGGACGTCGCCCCTTGTCCCATCACCCACAAACAGCCTCGAAAACCTTTGGTTTCCGGCGAGAGCTAGCCAAGGGTTCTCCCTGTTTGAGGAATGGCCCACGAACTTGATTGGTGGTCAGTACCTTGACAGCGACTGCGCTTGTCCATCCTCCATCTAGTCGGTTAGTGAGGGTATCCTTTTGCCCAATGCCTTTTTGCGCACACCAATAGGGGCAAAGGCACCCTAGGACATGTTACAGGTTGGCATCAGGTTTCTTCACGGAAGCATGTACCTCAGGACCTGAGCAAGACCCCGATCGGAAATCGGGATCCCAGTCCCCTTGCCACGTTAACGACAAGGGCCGTCGCCTGAAGCGCAGTTTTCGGAGCGTCACTGGACCTGTCAAGTGGCAGCGCAACCGGGGCCCCACTTTGGGATGGACCCATTCGGAGCTCGGAAGTTGGCACCTGGCCGGAAGATCCTCGACTCGACCGAGGCCTCTCCGGAGCTCTTCAGCTTTTGGCTGCCAGGGAAAGACTCCCGAGCGCCCGCGGATGGTGAGGCGAGATTGGCAAGGGACGATGAAGGTGTATTTCTCCACGAGCTCGCCTTGGAAACGAGCCCACCCAAGGTTCTTACGGTATTCCCCGAGTTGTTGAATCATATCTATGCGCGGATTTGCCCGTTTGTATTCGAGCAGAGCCCTTTTTGTACTCCAAAGCTGACAATCTGGACCTAGACCAGGGGCCATCCTTTCGTCGGAAAGGCTTTCCGGGTTTCACTTTCCTGGTTTCCCTTGGTTGCCTGGCTTCCTGGTTTTCCTCGTCGGAATGCAGAGGTGTCGCCCTGTTGCAGCCAGGTGCCCATCGAGGGGCCCATCTTAGAGGCGCTCAGCGTGCGGCCCGACCTCAAGGCGCAGATGTCGTAGATGTTTTTTTTTTTTTTTCTTTTTAAAGGAGAGACCCACATGGGGGGAGGGGGGTCCTGAAAATAGTGGTCCATGTCCTAGAGTTCGAAGACGGCGGAATTTATTTAATGGCGGGTTTTGTTTGGTCCCCCCTTTCTTGCTATCACACCCTAAAAGGGATTGCCCACAATTTTAAAAAGCACCCGAATCGGAACTACGCCCCGCGGTTCTCTCAGAACTTTTCGAAGAACCTGAGAAGATTTGAGAGATCTCTCCGGATGTTGACACAATTTGAAACATGTAGACAGGTCGCCAGATGGGGGACTGCCTGAAGTGGGTTTGAGCAGCTGTGTCAGTGTCGTTTCCTGGGCAGACTGATCGACAAGAATTTGGGAGTGTCAGGAAAATACGAGAGGTAACCGCGAAACCCCGCATCATCAAGACAGTCACATGGCCTGCAAGCGGCAGAGCAACCTCGAGCATCTGCCTTTCCTTCCCAGTTTAGGACACACTGTGCCCACACTGGGTTGCTGTTCCGGTTTGTGCACCCGGGACCCTAAGGCCCGAAAGAGACCCCAATGACTGGCGGCTTCTTGACATTCAGTTTGGCGGCTGAAGACAATCCATGTCCGGTTGATGTCGGGAGAGACCAAATGGGGTGTTTGAAAAAGGGGCGGTCCATTCCTAGAATGGGACCGAGTCAAACTTTATCACCACCGGGTGACCGCGGGTTTTGGTCCTGAATGCTTGGGATGGTCTTCCGAGGTTGGTTGTGACCCCCTAACTCGGCAGGACACCGGCTACCGCAACCTTTTGCAGCAGCGCACGGAGGACGTTTGCATTTGGAGAGGCAACACCTACTCTCCTGCAGATTATCGTGGATCCCAAGAAACCATCTTGGGTAGACGCGTCTCCCTTGTGGAACTTCCATTTGTGAACCCACCTTCATTTGGACAGCCGGGAGTGGGGTTCACGTCATGTGTGTCTCACCCAGTCACTTGGGTTGAAGCATTCGGAAAAGGCTAGAGGCTCCTCGAAAGAGGAGCCCAGGAGCCATGTACTTTCCTGAGGAACAAGGAACTTCAAAGCTTTCGTTTGGGGAATTAGGGCTCTGTTTTTAGGGAGTGCAGGAGAGAAAGAGGCAGGAGCAAGATTCATCCAGGTTGTTCCCTTTTTGGGTGATCGATTTGTTGAGGAGGGTTCTGGGTTTCATCGGATTCGCGCGGTTGATGAGTACAAAGTGGATATGAATGTGCAGAATGTCAACATCCCATCAATTCTGTCCGTTGGGAATCCCCTTCCGGTTCATTCCCAAAGCCTGGACTCGGCACCGGATGCGACATCTTGCAGTTTGATAGGTTCATGGACCCCCCTCTGAGCGGGCGAACTGGAGGGGCCTTGGCTTTTCCTGGGCTTATCCAGGGATAGCCCCCAACCCCCCCAGCACCAGCAAATTGGTAACATGTGGAACCGGGAGATCCACCCGAGATCCACCCCGAGATCCGCTAGGAGACCGCCTCTGCCTCGGGCCGCAGCCGGCACGAGGAGAAGCCGGGGGCCTGAGCTTTCAACGAATCCGGTTGGATTGAAATGGAAGCGAATGGGAGAGCCCCAGCAATGGCGAATTATGTTTCAAACTAAGGGGACCCTTTGGGATCAGCTCGGCCTTTAGCCCCAAGAATGCTACCCTCAAAACTGACAGTCACATTTGTGAGCCGATGCGAAGGAGCCTTGTCCTAACAGGCCTGGCACGTGCAGGACTGCGGCTTCTCTTACCTGAGCCACCATCAAAATCTGGGTGGATGAAGGTTAGTAAGGGACACTCCCAACCGGAATAGGTGCGGCCGCCTTCTGGATTCGCGGGATCTCTATGTTTTTTGATTGAAACTCACCTGCACACGTGATTTGGATTGGATTGGTTAAACCTCCCAACCACCAATCCAAATCAGGCCAGAGAAGAGGACAATTCTCGGGTTAGTTTCGGGCCGGCCAATCCCCTCAAGGGAAGTGACTAGGCGCCGCTGGGGTTCATGCCCCAAAGATAGATTTATGCTCAAATATATACAGCCTTATATATAAATATTGACATATACATATACATATGTATATATATATACACATAACACACATATATATATATATATATATGTATATATATATATATACACATGGATGGATATAGACACATTCCTTCTATACCCTCATACATTCCTGGATATCCCTTGAACAGATGTATTCCCAGTCGCAAGGCAATGGGGGCCACATGTTCTCGGCCGAGGATCATCCAGGGAGACGAGCGGCCCAAGGTCACTAGGAGCGCAGCCCGGGGGCTAAGCGCACGTCGAGCTCTCGAGGTGCGGTGTCTTATGGCAGGACTTAGCACCTACTTAGACAGCGAGCAACCATGGTAGGTGGGTATGGCTCAAAAACAAAAGAGCCCGGGTTACGCGGGTTTTAGTCTTTGGTTCCATTTACCAAGGTGCCATTTTGGTACCACTTTTTTGAGCCGCAGCCAGGTGGGTCAAAGCCATGGTTAATAACCAGTTTCTTAGTACGAATCTTAGGGCTGAAGCCGTTCCCTGGGCTGTTCAAAGGTAAGCCGCAAGATCCTTACCTTCGGTTGCGCAAGGGTCTGGCCCCTTTTGTGGCTTGCTTCTAGGGATTTAGGATTAGGATTGGCCAACCCTCCATTTTGAACAGCCCAGGCTCCTTAAGAAGCCAGGGTTAACAAATGTTCAAGTCTCCCAATGTAAGGCTAACAAAACAACAGTTCCTTTCTGGATTCATATGTTCGGCCTCTGAGATGCGATCAGGTTGCGCATTTTATGGTGAGCTTGCCCGGCGGGGCGTACAACTAGCTCAGGCTAGGTCTGTATTTTCGCGCTCTCGGCCCTCATATTTTGAGCTGGTGTATCAATGTATGTTTTTCCTGCAGAGAAAGCAGTGCTTCCGTTATTCCTCACTTACCATGCTTTGGGTATCAGGCTTTGCCCAGATGTGAACTGGCTCAACAAATGCAAAAGAGCGATTCTGGGATGTGACCCATGAGGAAGGTTTTCTATTTTGATGATTTTGCAATCAGAACTATTGTGACTTGTTTCATCGCCCATCTGAAAGAAGGGCGTCCGAAAGGCGCCCCTGATTTTGACAAGCCAAATGTGAAGTGAATTGGGAGTTATCAATCTCAGAAACCAAATAGGCACAACTGCGGATTTGAACCCAAGAGAGTCCCAAAGGGCTTTGTCAGCCCAATTTTGATTGGCAGCTCTGGACCATTGGATAGGTCTGCCAGTTTCAGTGTTTGAACCACACCTTGTTTTTCGACAGGACACCATCAGGTTCTTGAAAGCATGGCACTTCTCGGCCGCCAAACGGCGTGGGCGCTTGTTTTTGCGACCTATCATTGACTCGTATTTCTACATTTCTACCATGGTAAGAAACCATATTTTCCAACATTTGTTCTTCCTATACCCTACATGACACCAGGAAGAACCAGAGACCAGGCTCCAGAAACCGCCAAAACGCCGTAGTCCCCCCACACGCTCCGCGCATCCGCCGCCCGAGGCGCCGGCGAAGGCGCCGGAGGCCTCCTTCGAGGAGGTGCTCTCGGTGGTGGAGGCCGCCCTCAAGGCCAGCGGAGGGCTCTTGCGCCTTGCGCGCGAGCGAGGCGAAGCGAGGCGAAGCGCTGGGGGGGGGGCGGGGAATTTCCCGGAAGTTCCGGGCGGCCAAGTGGAAGCTCTTTGCTTTGCTTCGTATGGTGCAAGTGAGGATGAACCTCTTGGTTTTTGGCGGAGAGGACGAACCTCTATCCAGAACTTTGGTAGAAGACAAGAGTCCATGGGATTTGGGAGCTTAGATGGGTCAAACCTCACACGCACCAAATTGCCTTGAGCCCCCGCCCCCCGTTTCAACGTCAGCTACGGACACCGTGACTCCAAGACCCCCAGGCATCGCCTTGTGGGGCAGGACAATCAATGCACAGATAGTGCAAGTGCAAGTGCAATAGACACATATAAACAACATCAATTGAGTGCACGCGCTGTTAAAACCTCTTTGGTTAGGCCCGAATTTTGTTCAAGTCAACCAGCTTAATTGCGCTCAAGTCAAATGAAGACCTCTTTGGTTTGTGCAGCCAGAGGTTCGTGGGCCCAGAAACCAGCTGGAAGCCCTGCCGGTCTCCAGGCCGCGGGTCCTGCGGGGCTCACCGGCATGGAGATCTTCGAGAAGCTGCCGGGGACCGAGGGCAGCGCGTTAAAGTGCCGTCGGATTTTGTGAACGAGTTGCGGGTTGGTTCGTTGGTTCGTTGGTTCGTTGGTTCGTTGGTTCGTTCGTTGGTTCGTTGGTTCGTTGGTTCGTTGGTTCGTTGGTTCGTTGGTTCGTTGGTTCGTTGGTTCGTTGGTTCGTTGGTTCGTTGGTTCGTTCGTTCGTTCGTTGGTTCGTTCGTTCGTTCGTTGGTTCGTTCGTTCGTTCGTTCGTTCGTTCGTTTGTTCTTTCGTTTGTTCGTTCGTTGGTTCGTTCGTTGGTTCGTTGGTTCGTTGGTTCGTTGGTTCGTTGGTTCGTTGGTTCGTTGGTTCGTTCGTTCGTTCGTTGGTTCGTTCGTTCGTTCGTTGGTTCGTTCGTTCGTTCGTTCGTTCGTTCGTTTGTTCTTTCGTTTGTTCGTTCGTTGGTTCGTTCGTTGGTTCGTTGGTTCGTTGGTTCGTTCGTTCGTTGGTTCGTTCGTTCGTTCGTTGGTTCGTTGGTTCGTTGGTTCGTTGGTTCGTTGGTTCGTTCGTTCGTTGGTTCGTTCGTTCGTTCGTTGGTTCGTTCGTTCGTTCGTTGGTTCGTTCGTTCGTTCGTTCGTTCGTTCGTTTGTTCTTTCGTTTGTTCGTTCGTTGGTTCGTTCGTTGGTTCGTTGGTTCGTTGGTTCGTTGGTTCGTTGGTTCGTTGGTTCGTTGGTTCGTTCGTTCGGTTGGTTGGTTGGTTGGTTGGTTGGTTGGTTGGTTGGTTGGTTGGTTGGTTGGTTGGTTGGTTGGTTGGTTGGTTGGTTGGTTGGTTGGTTGGTTGGTTGGTTGGTTGGTTCGTTGGTTCGTTCGTTCGGTGGTTGGTTGGTTGGTTGGTTGGTTGGTTGGTTGGTTGGTTGGTTGGTTGGTTGGTTGGTTGGTTGGTTGGTTTGGTGTGGCTACAAATCCTGCCAAAAGAAACCAACATGGGGTCGGTGGGATGTGGTACAAGAAAAGCCACACGTTGGTCACAGCATTCCCCCACGTTGGTTTCATCTTTGTTACGTACCCATGGTAGAGCTATGGTTCGTCGGGAGGCTTTCTCTGAGGGCTTTGCAAGTTGTTTTTCCGCTGGGGGTGGGGCTTGGGAAGGGCTCCTTCCGTCTGCCAGTGTTTTGCAAGCATTGGAGCTGTAAAACCACATCTCTGTGAGCACCCCTTCTGTTCAAAGCAGGGATCACACGGTTTTCTAGGGGGTCCCTTTGCTCTTTCGTTGTGGTTTTGCTGGGGGTGCCTCTTGTGAGGGCGTGGAGTCAAGTTGCGAAGAACAGACTGCTGACAGCACATTGGTAAGCTGCGACACACCTGACTGAAGCCAATTTTTTCCATGGTCTTCGCTCCCAACATTTGGCCCACATTCTCCGATCGTGGGACCTGCGGAACGGGTTCTGAGCAACTTGTTCCAGCTTCCGCCAAAGAACTATGATGCGTGTAGCATCTAAAAGGAACGCCATCTCTTAGAACCCATTCAATTCAACGAGTGACCCAATCGGTAAGCTTTGCAGGTGAATTGGGCTCAGCGTCACAGATGGCTGAGGGTACAGTGACCCAAATGCATTGACCCAAGTGTCTGGTTGGTTGAACATGCCCAAAGGTTGGTTGGTTTGGTTTGGTTTAGTTTGGTTTGGTTTGGTTTGGTTTGTCTGGTTGGTTGGTTGGTTGGTTGGTTGGTTGGCGTGGCTTGGCTTGGCTTCAGCATTGAATTTCCCCATGGCTTCGCTTTTTGCTAACGAGGCCCACCGGGGGCTGCAGCCTGGCGCAGCTCCGCGACGCCCTGCTGGCGGGGAGAGAGGGGATTGCCGCGGGGGGGGGGGCTCCCAAGTGGATGGATTTTTTTGGGTCTAGGCATGGGTGTCCTTTTTAGGCTAGTTTGGCTAGAAATAGATGGGCAGCCGGGCAAGCCACTGGTTTAGATGGGTTTCACAAACCATTTACCAGGCGTCCAATTTTTCCTTGGCCTGAGGTGGGGTTGGATCGGAGTTGGAACCCTGGTTTCAAGCGGTGTCTTTCAAAGGGGCCTCGAAACCAAAGGTCCCTTTCATGTTTTCCATGTCATGTTTGGAACACTTTGTTGGATATGGCACCCCGTAAAATAAGACTCTGGTTTCAGCGCACCGCCAGGTAGGTCATGGCTGGCAACATGCTTGATAGCTACTGAGGCCACATTCCAAGCCAGAGGTGGGTCCACGTCCAATTTTCCTATGTTTTGTGGAGGAGAGCAGACCACCTGTCCAGTTAGCTGTGGGTCAAAATTAAACCCTGTGGGTTACGCAGGTTTTAGTCTACCTTTCCATTTGCCAGGGTTCCATTTTGGACCCCCATTTTTGAGCCACACCCAGTTGTCTATGGCTCAAATCTCACCACAAGAATCACCCTCCGGAAGACCAGTTGAGTGGGGAGCTAGGGCCTCGCAAAGCGCAAGCCTCTGCGCAGGCGCTGGCAGTGCCCTCACTCGAGGCGTTCCTTCCCGAGCGGACAGCGGAAGAGAGCGAGGGACGTTTCGGTGGTCGGTTTTCAAGTTTCCTTCCCCAACAGCTTCGAAAGCTAGGGTCGAGAAAGCGCGCCGTAGGCTGTTGGGGATATTACCTGAACCTACTTTTCGTTGGTTCCGTCCAGCTTCTTGGCTTGTCGGGGAGTCTTTTCCTGGTTGGTTGGCGTGACAGAGGCGTCACCTCAAGCAGATCGGACGGGTCAATGCTGGAGAATTGGAAATCGGGAAGCTGGCCAAACATCGGGGCTCATGGAGTGGGTCCGTTCCCGAACAATGCCCTGCTTGAAAGGGAGCCACGCCTCATAAATCTGGAAAGAGGGTGGAAATGCGCGGGTCCGTGCAACTTATCCATGCTCGTTCCTGGTTGAATTCCAGGAGAGGGTGCCATTGTTTGGGTTATCCATTTGACACGTTTGCGGCGGTTTTTCGATTGCCGCGTTTCTACTCCATCAGTCATGACCCAAAGGCGTTTTGCAGCCACTTGCAATGTGAGCGAACATGAACACATGAGCTTGGAAGTTTCCGGATTGGATCTTTGTTTCCTTGTGCCGAAAGAGCTTGGATGGGGCTGTGTGAAAAGCAAACCCAGGGTTTCAGTTTTTTTCTCGTCCAAGAATGAGTCAAACCCAGTTCCACTTAGGAGGAAACTGCGGCCTTTTCTTTGGGTTTGTTCAATAAAGGTGATGCTTGAGGAGCAGCCGCGGGTTGCTTTTGGCGGATCTGAGAGCTGTCAGGGGGGCTCCCGGCGCTACAAGTATGCCCCCTGCCTGGGGCGTGCCGGGGGCCTCGTGCTGGGTGCAGCTCCGGTGGATTTGGGCGGCGCAATGGGTGGCTTCAAAGCAAAAGCCAAGGCCACTTTGTGTTCAGCCGGGCAAAGTTTGCTTCCTTCCAAACCGACTTGGGGATGCAGGGAAGGGATGCCAGAGCGCAACCTCTGGGCTTACTCAACCCACACCCCTCTTCGTGCAGGTTACATGGAAGGCCCCTTTGGACATGACTCGTTTTTTAACCTCCAGACGCAGCCAAAACGACAGTCCAGAGAGGTTTCCCTTATTTTGACCCCAGGAAATCAGTCAGAGACAGAGCTGTCTCGAGGCCAAGTCGGGGAAGATGATGCGCTGGAGCGGAGGCAGGATTTGGCAGACAGACGCCGATATTTTGAAGATACTGTTTGGTTTTTCCACAGTGTTTTTGTTCCAGTCTTTTTGGCCATGCGTGGGTTAAAGGATGTTTGGGGATGGAGTGTTTCCAGCTGCTTTGCCGGGGCCTGGCTGTTTCGCTCAAAGGGGGAAGGCCGTTTGAGGATTGGCAGCATGCCTGGTCCAGAACCAGGACGCTCAAAGATAATGTGGGGGTTTAGCAGTTGATCCTGGAAAGGCGAAAGAACCACCTGCTTGACCCCTGGCAAGTCACTTTGCGATCACATTCCCAAGGGGAAGATAGTTGTTTGAGACGGTCTTTGCTTTTTCCCTCCCGACTTGGTTGTCAAAGCTAGTCACTTCCAAACTGCCTGCTTGAAGCACAATCGGTTGTCCACAAGCGTCTCTTTTTCCTTGTGTTTTGGGCCGACATCAAGCCTTCGGCAAGTAAAGCACGACAAATGGCTGAAGTAATTTGAGTGTTTCCTCCAGGAACTCCTTGTGTCTGCCTTTGGTTCTCCTATAAAACCATCCCAACAGGGGGTCCATAGGAACGCGGCCTGGGCTTGGGACACAGTTTCCGCTGTCCGAGTCAAGCGGCGACATCTTATGTCTTTGCCCTTTACTCAAATGAGGATGGAACAAACAACACCAAATAAGTAACTACGTAGATACATAAAACAGAACATAAAAAAGTAAATAGATTCGTAGTCACACAATTAGAGAAATACATATATCGATAAATAAATAGATAAGTACATAGATAAATACATAGAGCATGAATACATAAATAGTATACATATAATTCTCAGGTTTGTGGATGAACATTGACTTCGTTGTACGTGTTGCCCCAAAAATTGGACCCGCCCCAAGTCTTAGCTGGTTTCATCTGGAAGCGCAGGAGAATCAGCCGTTTGCAGGCTTGACCTTCCGACTAAACAGACCGCAAATTGCCTCAACTGGCCTAGCATGCACAAACGCTGCCAAAAGAGCCACGATTGCCTGCACACAGCTGCAAATAATGTACTCGCACATAGAAACGCCTTAGCTAGCCAAGCCTCCAACAGAAAGCAACAGATGCCTGGAAGATTGCGTGAATCTCAGGGTCTTTGGATTGGGACGCTGATGACTGAATGTTGATTTGAAGGATCGGAGTGCAACATAGAGGATCGCCACCCAATACCGGAGGGACCCCCTTTGACTAAGTTGGATGAGATTCTCAATGCAAAGTCGATACTCATGAAGTGTCACAAGGTTGGCAACCTGCTGATTTTAAAGGAAACGATTCAAAGGGCTTATGAGAACTTCCCCGCGTTGTGATTAAATGTGAGACCAGTGTTCCATTGGGTAGCTGTCTGGGTGGCAGCCATGCTGATGCAACTGTCACGCATTGGATTCTTGGTTGTTGCCCAGCTGATTGCTTGTAGCAATTGCGCGGAAAGCAGGATTCGTCCTTCACCGGGGCACATACCTGAAAGTTCGCTTGACCCTTCAACCGTCATGCTGGAAGAATCTGCAAGTGAAGGCCACCCCTCAATTACTTTGGAGTTTTCCTGTTGGTTTCATGAAGTGCACTTGTTGCAAATGAGTGAGGGGAATTCAAAGGCTAGTTGGGTCAAGCTGATTTCGCGTTGAGAATGAAGCACCAGAACAAACAGCTACACGTGCTGACTGCAGCTTCAGGTATGTGCTGGCCCCTCTCCCCATAAAACTCAAGACCTTTCTTTGACCTAGATGAAATACCGAGCGACTGGCGCTGCGCGACTTTCTCGGCATCACTGAGTGGCAGGTGAGCATCGTGAGGGTGTTCAATTGAAGAAGTGGAAATGTGGGTTTGTGAGAACACGGGGATTTGAACCCTCAAAAGATGGACTTCGGTTTTGCTTCTCCCCGTAAACCAACCCGACACCTGACAAGGGTACCCTCAAAACACACGCAGCGGTGTCTTCAAACCCCTTGTTGTGGGTAGAAAGATGAGATCAGCCTGAGGCTCTTGATTCCTAGGTTCTGAAGGCAGAGAAATGGGGGGGGGGCGATGGTGTTTCGAAGCCGTTCAGCCTTGCGCAGGTGATGCCGACTACAGTGACGAGGCTGGAGGGTGCGAGTGAAAGACCGACATTCGCTAGCTTCTCAACAACAGGTTGGACTCCGAAGCATGGCTATTTTCCGTTTGGTTTCCGCCAACCCGAATGCAGTAAAGAACATCAGGGCTCATGTCACATGTGCAAGATCGCTCAGCGGCGAACTGAGTTTTGATACAGTGGACGGGCAACATCCACTTCGCGCCAGTTCGGATAGAGGAACTCCTGCTACTGGAACAAACCACCCACGAACTGGTGAGGGTTTTTGCATTGCGTGCGGCCGCCCTTCTGTTTTGGGATGTTGCATGGAGCTCACGAAAAATATCGGCTCCTCAATAGCCAACAATGGTTCCTATTGAGGGAACCATGGCCATAAATATAGCAAGTTTTGGACCATCGCACATATGGGATGCACGAAATCGCCTCAGGCGCGCATCACCACGGGCCACCTCCGCAAGCGACCCCGCGCCGCGTGACATGCGCGTGCCGATCCCAAGAGGTTGGCAGAGGACAGTTGGATCAGTTGGAGATCAATTCTTCAACTTTACACCCTTGGTGAGAGCAATGTGGGGATCAATGTTGTCTTTGAGATCGTTTTGGGTGTTAAGTGTCACGGGATATCCCCAACCGTCAACTTAGGCGGCCTTTCGTGTCATGTTTGTAGTTCTCGCTAGATTCTTTGCCTCATTTGATTGGGGGCTCTAAACGGACATGTGCCAACGGGACACGGGTTTTGGGTGGATGTTGATGCTTTACGAAAGGCACAACGGGTCAAAAACCAGGCAGGGTGCTGTGTTGCCGGTCAACTCAAGGGAAGCTAAAGAAGCCAAGAAGGGAGTTCGCAGCACACCTTGTGCATCTTTGGGTGGCTTTCACTCACCGTGGAAAATGGGGGGCTCGGGCCTTTCCATGTATGTGTCAGGGCCTGTCCCGGCGCGCTTGATTCCAGTCCGACCAATCTGAATCTGTCCTTGGGATCAGACTCCTGCCTGAGGCGTGCGACCGCGGCAATCCGCTTTCCGGAAAAGGAGCTGCCGGGGCCGCTCTGAAAATGATGTGCGAAAACCTGGGTTCCCTTCAAAGTCATTGGTTTCACCTTGGTTCCCTTTGACATGGTTTTCATGTTCGCTCTCTTCGTTGCATTCGACAGGCCAGCTTGATGACTGTTTGCAAGGAACAGCAGCGTTGACGGAGCGCAATTGCTGGCCGCATTTCGCAAGCCACCGAATCTCCTGCGTGCCGCAGCTGTTCTCGATTGCCCGGCCGCCGGGCCAGCTACACGTTTCAAGAAGCAAGGCGAGCGCCTTTGTATCACGGGCAAACTTCTGAGGGGATGGCTTTAAAAGAGAAACGCAAGTGTCTGCCTTGTTTGGAACCAGTGAGCTGTGAGCTTCGAGCCCAGAGTACAGACCTGGGATCGTCGCCTGGCGATTAAACACCGGCAAGCTTCAAGGAAGAACCACGAACGCCATGAAGTTGGGGACTTAAGCCCTCGATCCATATGATGCAATTTTGGGCAGCCCAGTAGTTTCCCCAACCAATCCAAACCACCAACAGGCAAGACAAATCCAATAGCTTTCCTCTGATGCGGCGGAAAATCACACCAAAAGATATTGAACATGCTCCCTGACAAACGTCTCAAAACGAATTACTGTTTCGCCCACCAGAAACCCATCGGTGAAACCGGAACCTCGGAAACTCGCGCAGCCCGATGGCATGCTCTCCTTCTCGGCTCGGTTGGGTGGGGGTGGCCAGGCGGTTCTTGCACGTCCTTGGCGGTTCTCAATTTCACCTTAGGGACGCCTCGAGGAAGCAATTTGCGGCACCCTTATTTTGGGACCCCCCTCCCCACCCACCCATTTTCTGGTGTTTGCTTATTTGTAGCTGTGCAGTGCTTGCCTTCAGTTTTTAGTCCTTGGATTGCGATTGAACTGGGAGGGGACCTTGAAGGCGGCCCGCTCGGAGCAGGTTTCGCTCTCTTTTGCGCGCCCGGAAAATAAAAGGAAAAAGAAGAAGGAAAAAATGAGAAAAACACGGCAGTTGTTGATTCGTGGGCATTTGAACACTTCCGGCTTCCAAGACTCGTGAAAGGAGGGCGGACCTTGACTTTGGACAGGTGTGGAAGGATGAAGAGAACCCGGAGCGCAGTAGCCTTTGCTGCTCGCGCCTGAGTGAGTGCGCCATTTCCAGTTTTGGCTGTCTTCATCTCGTCCGTTTGCGACGAGGATTATTTTTTGGCTGAATCGGGGAAGACCTAGAGGACCAAATGGTTCCCAACATCCATTTCCGAACGTGCTTCCTTTTGACAACCAGTGATTTTGCCGCCATCTCGGGTGCGAAGACGGGGCGGCATTTGTTTTGGCTCTCTTGGGCCAGACCCAGCAAGTCCTGACAGGTCCCAGTGGGTAGAAGGGACCTTCTGGGTGCCGGATCGGGTCCCATGTTGCCATCTTATCCCATGGAAGCTGAACGGAAAATCTTTGAACTGGGGCCGGTCAATTCATGGGCCCGCCTTGCCGGGGGGGGGGGGGGCTTGCTCCTTTCTCATCCGAACATGGAACCCGGGCATGGAAGGCCCCCCTCTTTTCAAGTTCCATGCTTGATTTTGGGAGGGAACACCAATGCTTGAACCACACGTCACGATACATTCATTATGGGATTCGGAAGGAGAAGCCAGTACTTCACAATGGGCTTGGAACCCTGGAATCCGCAACCTCACGAGCGTCCCCCTCACAGACTTTTCTCCTGGACGGGTTAGATAGCCGTTCGGTTGTGAAAGGGGGCTTCAGCTGAACAGACCCCTGGTTGACCAGCAGAAATCTCTCACTTGTGGGCAACATAACCCCAGTTTTGATCCAGGATTGTGAAAACATCACCATGGCCACTGGGGGACGCCAAGTCGGAAATCGACTGGTTATATCTATGTCCTTTGGGTGCTGGGCAGGGCTTCACATTGAATTGGAACACGGTTCCAGGTGTTTGAGCCCCCAGCTTGCGGTTGCGACCCTGGAAGGCGGGTTCTTCAGCCATGGTCATGGAAGTGACCCCCTGTTTTCCCAGGTCGAACAAAGCCATCGGGTCTGTCGCCTGGATCTGCCCGAATTGAGGCAGCTCCGAGAACTCAGGGGGTCTGGGCCGAGCCCCCGCCGGGTTTGGGGCTCCTCATCGGCCCGTCGGGGTGGGTTGGGTTTTTTGGGAGGGGTCAAAAGGGTTTCGGAGCAAGAGGGGGATCTCACCAAGCCTTTGTTTTCTTGGGAATGATGAATGAAACCCTCGGCAGTCGATAGGTTGGTTTCCGCTCGTACAGCTTCATCACAGCTGGTTCCGGATTTCGTCAGAGGCTGCATCTCTGCGGATTCGTTTGGTGCGGAGAGAGGGACAGAGAACAGCTCGCCTGGCACTCGCTTGGCTCAAAGAGAGGTAGTCCATGAAAGGCCTAAGGCCTGGCACGACATCGTGTGCAACAATGTCGCCATTTGTGCCTTTACTTGGGCGACAAACCAGACTTCAGCCACTCCGAAAGCACACGCCCATTCACCAAATCTGCATCAGCCGCCAGCTTCAAAGCGAACCTACCAAGTGGTTTGCTCAATTCCGCACAGAGCTACCAGGGTTTGCCACTTGCCGTGACACTTTTTTGGTTTGAGGCATCTTCCGATGGCTTGACATCTTTGAGAAACCAAACCTCCAAGGTTCGCCAAGCGGGGGCCAGATCCATTCGACCCGCCTGCGAGTCGATGGGCCTCTTGCTGCCTCGGGGCCAGGAGCGGGAGGTAGGCCTTGGAGTCCCGAAGGAATCCACACGGAGCCAGTGGAGTTGATCTGGCTGTGGGTCAAAACCAATGGTACCATTTTGGGGTACACCACCCATTTTACTGCGTTGGTACGGGATTTTGACCCATGGCCTGTCCTTCTGGCCCTCTCAAGCCTGCGCGGAACTTCCGTTTGGCGTTCGGCACCTCACCAGACTTCAGCCCGACAATCCCGCTGTGGAGTCAGCCAGCGCAGTTTCGACCCAATAGTCGATGCAGCAAACCCTAGCGCTGTCCAACTGGGCTGGAGTCATTTGGTTTGCAAATGCGAAGAAACCCAGGCCTTTGATCCAGAGATGCTGAGCCGTGCACGCGTCCTCAAGCCACGCGAGGAGATGCGGTGAGGGCGGTGAGCAGCATGCGGCTGCTTGGCTTGCAGTGAGCTGACACGTAGCAATGGATTTCAGGGAATACCCTGAAACATGGTGGACATGAACCCCCATGTAAATAATGTCCTCCCAAGGGTCTGTGGAAACCTAAAAGTCATTTTTCGGGGCCCGAATCTTCAAGACATCCTTCGTGTCACAGAGCGTCATCTTGTGCTCCCGAGGTTGCATGCCTTGCTCCTTCTCTTGATCCAGGCGCCACATGAGTGCCCGCGGCAAAACTACCACTTCTCTTGGGTTGGATGGAGTTCCAATTCCAGCTGTATTTGGAGACCACTTGAACCTAGACCCTTGCAAAGGCAAGGTCTTCGGCCTGTCCCGGGCGGTTTTCTCATGCCCAGAATGCCAACCTTGAAAATTGATTTGTAGGAGGGTGACCCCGCGCATCCATTTGTGTTTCGGTTTTTTCTTTGGGGGGGAAGGAACTCCAATGGCCTAACGGAGCAGTCGTGGGAGGGCAAGACCAATGTTCATTCCATGCAAGTCTGCCCTACGAACATGCAGATGCACACACGCCTCCTGGAAGACCACTGCACCAAGGGTGTGCTTCCATAGTCGGTGGGGTAGCTAAATGTGTGTGTGTGTCTTTTATACGACGGGGTAGCAAAAAATATTTTTGAGACGGGTCCATTTCAAATTATTCGAATTGGGTCAGATCGATGGCCCGGCTGACTTCTCGCAGGTCGATGCGCAAGACTACATCTTTGAGAAGCTCACTGGCGGGGGATACACCTGCTCGGCCAACTTCAACGCCCCTTGGGATCTGTGAGTCAGCGGAGGGCGTCGGTGGGGTTTTGTTCATGTTTTATACTGGCCCCTTCTTCCTATTTCTTTAAAAACCAGACCCCCAAGAGTAAAACCCTGTCCCAGCGACCAAAATTGCCAGTACCAATTTCAAATTTCCATGTTCTAGACCAATACTAAACTCTCCAGAAGCCAGATGATTGCAGCCAAGCTCGCCGGATGTGCTTAATAGGGGCCCTAGCAATGATCAATAGGGCTGCCTTGCGTGAGCGGTTTCTATTATTAGGGTCTCCATTGGGTTCCCTTCATAAGGTCTTACTCAAAAGCTGTATTCAGAGTTATTTTTCTCTCAAACCAAAGGGTTGCCTTGCGTCAGAGGCTTCTATTATGAGTTTTTCTTGGTCAAGAAGAGGGCGCCTTCCCTTTACAAGTTCTTGCTCAGAACTTGTATTCCGAACACTTTGTTTTCAAACCAAAGGGCTCCCCTTTCCAATTTGACGCCATTACTAAGCAACGCAGTCTGACACAATTCTCCGTGTTGTTTTTGTTGGGGGAGGGGGGACCGTTTATTATGAGGGAGACCGGATGATACCTGGGGCACAAATGCGGAAAGAGATGTATTTTCCTCCTTAAAGTGCGGGTTTCGTCTTGAAAATACAAACAGTGGGAGGAGACCGAGACATGTGGCCCGAAAGCATTCTCAGCACGCGTGTGAAACGGGTGTGACGAAACATTACAGTACATTGCAGTACTCAAAGCACCAAGGTAGACCGCACGCTCCAGGCAAACCACAATCTACCAAAAGGCATGTCTGTTGGTATTTGAATTGAAGTTGCTGACGTGAGTCTTCTTAGCAATGTGTTTGAGCAATTTCTGAACCATCTGTTTACACAAATCTTTTTGTGCACATCTCTGCTTTTTTTCCTCTCGGGCTTTGTCGTTGCGATCTCTGGGTGGCACTCTGTGCCGGAAGACCCCTTCGTGGGGTGGAATTGATGGGTGCGGCTGATACTATCCCTGTACTCATTCTTTGAGAAGCCATCCACTTTCCTGGCAATTATCTGAAACCAAGCATCCACCGGAGCTTACACAAAGGCGAAGGGAACTCGGGTAGAAGCAAATTCCAGATCTATATGGGGGGTTCCCAAGATAGGATATGGACACCTCCAGAGGGCGGGCTTGCTGGTTTCCACGGGCCTCTGAGTCCCTAAGTTTTGCGTTTGTCTGGCTAGTTGACGCATCACCATTCATGTTTTCCATGAGTGCTCTTGTTGTGATGCAGCTCACAAACGAGCCTGCAGTCGGTCGGCGGGCATCGGAGTTACCTTGGCAGACGCCTTGCAACGCTCAGCCTTTTGAGGGGGTCCAATATGTGCCCGAGGAACCAAAAGGCAAGCCCCAACAAACTAAATCCAGTTTCGAACCGCCAGTTGCAGGCTCTGTAGCCAGGCTCTGAACTAATAACAGGGTTCAGCAGAAGTCGTGGCACATTGAAAGGTGTTCAAGCGGAGACACGAAGTCTGGAAGCCAAGCATTTTGTGGAACCCCAGTTCAAGGCACCCAAAGGTTGGCCTCGATGCGCTGATTGTCACTGAGCCTTCCAGGGTGATGAGTGAAGGGGACATAAGGGTTTGGCACTTGTGAGGCACCCCCTAAAATGGGTGGTTTCCACTTGTTTCCTTGCAAAACGAAACCCAAATGGTGTACACCCAACAAAAGACAATACCATATAATGATTCATTTTGCTCGATAAGTTGATCAGTAGAATCGCAGTACTCGAATTTTCCCAGAATGATCATGTGTAAGGATTGAGGCTTCGATCGCCCAAATTGTGAACATCATCTCCTTGACCCAATCGCAAGCGTCAATTGCCGTAGCCACCAGCCATAGTGACAGATATTTGCCACCTTCATGGCACGTGTTGTTTGCTTTTGGGGGGCGGGGAAGGGGGGGGTTCGGGTCACCAAGGGATAGCAGCACGCACTTGCAAACTCGTGTTTGCATCCTGGACTCCTGTTGCGGCCTGTCTGGGATCCACTGGGTTGGTTTCCACGAATGTCCCCGGGCTTACAACAATTTTGAACCTCCAGCAGCATCATCCGCCCCCCCCCCCCCCCCCCCCCCCCCTTGTCCGCCCCTGTAGTTTGACACGGCTCCAAATGGCTGTGGGTTAAAACCCTGTACCCCCAGTGAACATCCCAATCCCCACTAATATAAACTAAAATGGGTAACATGGGTGGTGTACCTACCCCAAAATGGTGCCATTGGTTTTGACCCATGGCCAAATCACTTTTGTTGTCCGTTGCCCACATCGTTCGGGAGCTCCGGGGATGAGGACATCACGAGCAGCGCTCTGTGTCAAGCCGCCGCGACGGCTGGAGAGGGAACTTGGCCACTTGGCAAGCAATGCTCACGCCCAGCCGTTGTGGTTGTTTGATCTTTGGATCCTTTTCTTTGGGTTTGCAACCCAACTTTTGGGTGGGGTTTACAGGGATACCAAAAGGACACCACCCACATTTTGGGGTATTTCTTATGTGAGACTCCCCATTTAGTCTGTCAAACATGGGGGCCTTCAGACCAGTTTCTACATCAACGGATGTCCAATCTTGCCCGACGGACAGTGTTGGGTTGGTCTTTGATCATCCCTATCAGGGTTCTCAATGTGCCTCTCAAGTGGCATTGAATCAGCCACGGAGAGGCGTTGCCGGTGGGCTCACCTTTTGGCCCAGTGTTTTTCAAGAACCACAAGGAACCCAAAGGGAAGCCACAGGAAATCTGAAGGGCAAGTAAAGGGTGGGACGTTGAAGGAAAACCACAGTCCCCCCACTTCTTTCCGGAGAGCGGGTCCAGAAGCTGCTCGCCAATCACCCTCGCACGCTACCTTTGGCGGTGCCATAGGCATAGGTGAGGGGGCCAAAAACTTGGCCGCTTTGGGTCTTTGATGCCTGAACCGACTGACCAGCAAGTTGCATTCTTTTTTTTGTGGGGGCAAGAGCCTAGCCATCCAGACAAGAGGAGGTTTCTGAAAGGCGAACCGCCGCCCAACCCTTGTCAACTTGGCATATTTCCGGAATGCCCCGTTTCCCAGCGGCAAACCCGGTGACTTGCACCGGCGGACTCGCCGAAGTGGATTGCTTGCGCGCAGGGCGGGGGATGTGACCACCGCGGCTGCTCCCTCGGGCTGCTATTGGACAGTGGCGCTGGGGGACCTGAACTACAACTCCGAGCCGGTGGGCAGCCGCTCCCTTTAAGAAGCCGCGGAAGCGCGGCTGGGAAGGGGTTCCAACCCCGGGATCCGTTTTGTGTTCTATTTTTTGTTCTGAAAGTGTGCCAAGTGGATTTGGGTATAGTTTCATGAAGCGCCACCAGGATGGATAGGAGGTTTTTGCGCAGATGGAGGGCTATTTGGGAGTGTCTCAAAAAAAGGGGAGCTCGTTTTTGGAGGATGCCAAAAGAGAGAACAAGGAAACCCACCTGGATGAGTCCAATCTATCTTTTGAAATACACATTACCACCACCAGGCTTCACCCTTTGACCCTTCCACCCTTGAGGGATTCATCATGATCGGCGGTTTTCGCCATGCTGGAATTGTTTCAGCCCGCCTCTCGGCTATCGCAACCTGACTGGCTGGATTTGTCTCGCTCGCTCGTAAGATGGGGGGACCCGTTGCCTTTCCGAACGTCGAGCATGTTTCTTGCTCCTCCTCGAATTGAAGTGAAGATTATATTAGTATGGGTCAGAATTCAACCAGTTTCTCACAGCAGGTTTTAGCCCATGTTTCGAGTACACTTATCGCTTCCATTTTGTGACCGACAGCCATGTAAGTCGGTTGGGTCTCAGCCTTACAAGGCGGAGCCCGAAGATTTCCCTGACTTTGGCAACTTTCAGCGGTCCGTGTCCAAACAGAAGTCACTCTCGCTGCGAACTGCGCGTTGCGCGGGTCGAAACCCATGAACTGCTTTCTTTTTTCACTTCGAGTCTCCAATCTTGAGGTGCCTTGGCGCCCGACGGAACGGCTTTCGCCGTGCTTTGCTACCAGGCGAGGGCTGCGAACTTCGAGGGAGAGGTTGCATCCCAAATCTGTGACGCGCGGCTTTTTTGGGTACTGCTTTTCGAGGGGCCGACTTGCCTTTTCCCGCAGGATCCGACAGGGGTATGGGAGTGGCTCGTGTGTGGGTCACGTGGGATACATGGGCTTCACAGGGTGCGGGGCTATGGGGTAGGGTGCATCTTGCAAGCTTCGTGTTTCCAACTTCTTGGCTTATCAAATTAGGTAGTCTTTTGGGCAGGGACGGTGGATGCGGTGATGGTTGGGGTGTTGGTTTTTGGACTCCCAGCCTGCTTTTTGGTCCGATCCAAAAGCTAAATTTGAGGTCAGAGAAAAGGTTGGGATTGCAACACAAACGCCCCTGGTAAGTTTAGCCCTGACATTTGAAGTGGACTCTTTGTAGCTTGTTATTTGCCCCTTGGGTGGGATGATTCATGGTAAGGGATCAGACAGCGCCAGGAAACCACCACCACAACCTCGGCGCCTCAAGCTGCAAGTCTCCGCTGGGCAAATCTGAGATGGCTGGCTGTGGGTCAAAACCAATGATACCATGTTGGTTGGTAGGTGAATTCACCGCCCATTTTAGTACCTATTTCAGTGGTTGGATTGGGATGTTCACCGGGGGTACGATTTGGCTTTTGACCCGTCGCGGGCCAACGAGCAAGACCCAAAGAAGGCGAGATCAAGCCCTTGACATTGGGGTGGCTTCCTGAGAGAAGGAACAAGGACGGCTTGCTGTGTGAATGCTCGCCGGGTGATGTGGATGTGTGTCAAAGCTAGAACCGAGAATCATGTGGGTCCAGCCTTCCCAAGCCATCCGCAGTGTCCAACCCGTTTTGACATCCATCACCTTTGATAGGCCTGGCGAGGATCACCTTTTGAAGAAGCCAGTTTTGGGTGTCTGAGCGCAGGGACTTGACAACTTGCGAAGAGTCATTTGAGAAGCCATGGTAACGAGGCCACAAGACACGCATGCTTACGTGAAGGGCATCTACCAGATGTCCTTTTTCCCGTGTCCCCTGGCCGGAAAACACAGGTTTTGCCTTGTGCGGGGAATGCTAGGTCAATCCCTGATGCCTTTTGATCCCTTGTTGAGTTGGACCCTTCACTATGACTCAGCTGTGCAGCAGCACCCGTCGCTGAAATCAACATGGAATCGCCATTTTTGGGGTCTCCCAAGAGGAGAGGGTTCCAATGTGAATCTGCAGAAAAACGATGCTGAGACCATCAGCACCACTACCATCACCACCACGACCATCAGCACAACGACTATCAGCACCACGACATTCAGCTCGAGCTCTACGACCATCACTACCACCTCCATCACAGTGACCTCCACCAGCCTGGCGTCCTGCCTGTGAGGTCAAAAGACGGGGCATGTGTGTGTGTGTGTGTGGGTGTGTGTGTGTGTCATGTCCCTTTTGGGGGGACAAGTTGGGACAAGTCATTTTGACTGTGGTTCTTGTGAGCAACTGACAATGGTATTGGTAGTCTGCTCTTGCTTTTGGCAAGATTTGCCTCAATGAGCGTTGTGTTTTACTTATATCGACTGGGAATTGCCACGAGGTGATGCCACTGTTGTTTGATTTTTGCACGGGGAACCGCAATTTGTCTTCATGATTCAAGACTTTAGAGGGCCAAGCCTGCCCGCCTGCGCACTGCCTGAAAGGCAGCTTGAAAGGCTGTAGAGGGGTAGTTGCACATATTTTTTGGACCTATTTCTAATTGTCAAATACCGATTGCATCATGGCTTGACCCTTTTGCCAGGGCCTCCAAAGAGCCCGATTTTTGGCAAGCCCGTGGGAGTTTGGATAATGTCTAGCTCGCTGGTCCAGGTTAGTTTCAATCGGTCGTGTCCCTGTAAGTCACCCTTGTATCTGCCTGATCCCGTCCGAAAGAAGTAAACCTTAGTCAAACTAATGACACCAACCTGCAACAAACACAAACCACGCCAACACTTGGCCGCATCTCTGGGGGTTAAACGCTTTTGGACCCCTTCGGAGATATGAAGAGCCGTACTTAGGGACGATCTTCCAGACAGCTAAAAATGTCACTTGCCCTTAGAAATACAGTTGAGGGCCTGTTCAGAACAGGAGGTGTCTGTCCTTCGACTCTTTTGAGGACCATCAGGGGCACGCTTTTGAACAGTCATCAGCTGAGAAAAGCAACCAGTCTACGGGTTAATTCCCCGTTCTTTTCAGCCACCCTTTTCAAAAACCATGAAAAAAGGTCCCCTTATGAGGATAACAATCATATCTCCAAGGGGCTGTTACATGGGTTCCCCTGGTGCTGGTCAGGGTTGATTGGTCCAAATCCGAGACCACCAGCTCGAGCAGCAGCACCAGCACCAGCTCCTCCAGCACTACCGTCTCCTCAGAGCCTCTGGCTGGAGATGGGGAGTTACCCCACCAAACGTGGAAGTGCACCGAGCCCATGTCCGAAAAGGAAAGTTGTCTTCCAAAAAAAGGGGTCTGCGCACCACCATTTTTTGGGAGGGAGGCTGGGGGCGGGGGGGGGGGCCTAGAGGCAGGGTGACTAGGTATGCCAATATGTCGGCATCCCAATGTGAAGAGCATGTTTTGAACAGGCAGAAGGAGTAGTTTGGGGAGGGGCACTTGATTTTGGCTGCCTTCTCAGCAACTCGCCAACCAAAGTGGGGGCCGACCATATTTTGGCTTGTTCACGGGAAGACGAGTAAATTGGATTTAGCTGCACGCATTCTAACAAACTCGTGGGGGGGGCTTCAACAAGTGAGTCGAGCTCGTGGGTTGGTACAATCTGCCCCAGTTCTGCGAATTTCCACGGAATCCATCGCCTAGACGGGGTTTGCGATCAGAACCCTTTTGCGATTCGTGGGGAGTGCAAGTTGTTGATGAATCCCTGGGCCTGTTGTGAATTCCTTGCCATGGGCTTGGAATTTCCCTTCCATGTACCGTAAACACCGCTGAAACAGGCCGGTGTCCGCTTTTGTCCCAAAGCCAGCAACTTTTTGGGGGGCTCTCCTGGGAAGACTGATCCTATTGGCGACTGTCGCTTGGGCTCAGACCACATCAACCTCAAGCACCACGAGTAGCTCCACCTCAACGACCAAAACAACCTCGGCGGCACGTCAGCAATTGCTGCAGACTGTGGCTGAATCATGTTCTTGTTTGATCTCGATGGAGGGCACTTGGCATCAGCTTTTCTCCGGCAACATATTCACGATGACATGTGACGAATGTCCGAAATTCCACATGCACGTGTTCACTCAGTGTTTACCGGTTTTTGTGCAGCAGCATTTGCAGCTGAATTTCAAATGGCCGTAAAGATATTCACCGGAGTTTGCTTGTGCACACGCAGAATGTGAGCAACCGACAACATGTTTGGTAGCCTAAGTTAGTGTTGGGGATGATCATGGAGGCCACCCAGGGACCCACACATGTTTCCCATGAGTGGAGAGTCAGTGGCTAAATATTGACCACGGATTTATCCACGTGGGTTATTAAGGCGTGTTTCTCCAAAAAGCGCAGAATTCAATTGCATAGGCTGTACTCATCCTGGGTTCGCTTGTGCGAATATCTCCGCCCAGACGACTACGTCAACAACAAGCAGCAGCTCCTCGTCAACCTCGGCGCCTTGGAAAGAAGAGCCCCTTCTGGCCGAACAACCCGAAGAAAAGCACATCACGTGAATGCAAGAGATACCTTGTTGGGCAACCTTGTGTAGAAACCTGCCTGAATGGGTAAGAGGGCCACACATTTGTTGGCGTGGTGTGCCAAGGGGATAAGGCTGTGGCTCACAAAATGTAAACCAAATGGCACCTTTGGTATATGGAACAAAAGCTAGAACCTGCGTAACCTCTTGTGTTTACTTTCACAGTTGAGGCCTCTGGATTCCTTCCAAACTGTGCGATCTTGTGGGTGTGTTTGGTGTTTCCGGAGCCACGGGACACCCAGTCCCTACATCTGGGAGGGTATGTCCGGCGTGGCGGTCGGCTGCTGTTTCCCAACCATGGGAAAACGGTATGTCATGAGTTCAGGGGTCCACGAGATGGATGGTTGCTCCGCGCTTTTAGTTTTATAACCAGGTGCAAACTGGAGCCCAACTGTGAGAACACCCATGCAGTCGAAGGCTCTGTGTTGCAGGCCGCATGCCGTGTGTCAAATGTAAATGCTCTCGGTGTTGTTTTGGTCAGGTGTAATCCTGGTATGTGAGAGGGTTCATTGAGCACGGGCGACTCAGCAGCTCCTAGCTCCTTCTGATAGCCAACGATGCCAGCGATTGGTTTGAGTTATGGTCTAGCTTTGTCTGATCATCTTCTTCTCGGAAAAAAGAGACATTCTCTCTGGGCAGAAATGAATGGATATGTTTGAATACTACATATCCCAAAAAGGTGTCTCCACTATAGGGGCCAGGAAGGGTCCGATCAGCGTCACATGGTTTCATTTGCCATCTTGCGCGGCAGCCAGTCTTCCATTTGAGTGGTTGTGGTTGTCAGGTTCATAGAACCCTGCATCCCTGCTATCATGGATCTGGAGGGGGGCTATGGGGAGGGGGGCTATCCCTTATCAACCCCTTACAGGTCCATGATGCTCGATCGCTTTTTTCTGCCTCCAGATCACCAGCACCACAACGACCACCTCCACCACCCCGCCGGACATCTTCAACGTCACCTGGGCGCAGACCTACATCCGCCCGGTGCCAAACACCGAGCTGGCCATCTCGTGCTATCCCACCGCCTGCAACGAGCACGCGGTGGGGCCGCTCGCTTAGGATCTGCGAAGTCTCCTAGAGCCGCTCTTTGTTTTTGTTCCGGGTTCCCTTCTCTTTGGACAACTTGCTGGTTGTGCGCAGGGAATGAGCAAATGACCCCTAGAAGCCATCCTGTATAGGTTTTCTTTAAGGGAATCCTAGCCCCAGTAGTGCCCTTTTACTTTTTTTTTGGCGAGGGTTCCCCTACTAAAATAGGCTACAGAAAAAAGTTGGTACCAACTTATTCTCATCATTCCCAACTGCCCGGGGCCTGCAAGAGGTGTTCCGGAAGGAGCGGGTGCTGATGAGGGCCAACTGAGATGGGGTGACCTCATGTCGTGCCGGCACAGATCCCCATGCTCTGCCGAGTCCCTACTGAGCGCTAGCAAGAAAACAACTTTCCGAAAAATGAGGCTTGGTGAAGAGAACGAGGAGTCAAACCCGAGACAAACTCGTGGAAAAGAGCCCAAGAAGGGTGTCCGATCCAAAACGGAGCTTCTTCTAAGAAGGGGGTATTTCTTTTGTTGATCCAGCCGATTCTTCAGGACAGGCGGTTGGAAATGCGGGTCTACCTGGGCTTCGCCCCAAATATAGTTGAACCACCCAACCAGATTGGATGCCTTTGCAGGAGTTCCTGGGATAGGAGGAGACATGACGCGTCAAACCGGACCTTGTCCACAGTCTCAGATACTTCCGCAACGTGTCTGAGGCTTTTTCATCACTTGGCTGTGGGTCAAAAATGCGTACCGAAAATGGCTTGCCCTGGTAAATGGAACCAAAGACTAAAACCTGCGGTCCAATTCCTGGTGGTTTTATTTTGACCCACAGCCACAGAAGCTTTTTTGCCTTGAGTTGCATGGCGGTGGCTCCAAGTGGAGGAAGGTCCGCCTTAGAATTCAACGACGGCGCTGGCCGGATTTGCTCTGACGGGATCCTTTTCCAACCTCAAGGACTCCTTAAATTGATGTGAAGAGAACCCCCCGTCTCCGAACACCCATGTGTTTTCTGGGGTACTTTCCGGACCGCCCTGTTTTTCAGTGTAGATGTTTTATTGGCCAAAGGCTGACATCATACTGCGCCAAACAAAGGTTCTCTGGATGTGGGAACATTTTTCTGTGTTTTGGTCGCCCAAACGGAAACAGTGCATCCTGATTTGGCTCCGACTTGGCTTGTGGGCCGGGATTCGACTGAAGGTTCCTCGCTGCGATTGATCCTCTCAGCATCAACTTCGTGGAGACAACCTGTGAGTCCATCACTGAGTCAGCGCAGCAGACGGGCGCTCAGTGGATTGCTTCCCCTTGTCTTCGAAAAGACTTCACGCCAGGTGTCCGGAGAACCCGCAGTTCATGCTTGGGCTTAGGGTTCGGACTTCCAGACTTCACACATGAGATATTACGCTTGATGACGATGCTCGACTGGAGAAGTCTTTGTAGCGACTACCCGCCTTGGAGCAGAAACTTGGAACAACCCGCTTTGGCCGCTCCGCGGGCACATGGGTCCTGTGGGGTTTGTACGGGTACCCAGAAGCTTTGACCCTCCGGGGCTGCCACTTCTCCGCGCATCGCATACTCATCAGTGCTTGCGGCACAGAGCCGCCTTGGAGAGTTGTTCTTTCACCGTGAGGCATTTTTTGAGAGATGGTTTCAACACCTAGTTGCTTTTTCAGCTTTCGGATGGTGACAATCAGGCTTTTACGAGCAAACAGCTTGACTGCCTCCAGACGGGCAGAGTTCCCTTCTGGCTTCTTCCTTGCTGGTGTCATCTGTCCAATGGTGTCCCCTGCTTTTGTCAGAAGACTCTCTGATCACTTGCGGTGTAGAATCGGCGGTCCGGTAAGGATTGGATCAACTTGATGCATCAAATATCGCACACCTCAACCCGCGACACACAAAAAAAAACCGTGCAACCCAGCCCCTCTTAATCTTTCCAAACAGATTTCAACAGGGGTCTAGGTTTCGGCCCCCTGCGGATTTTTGTTTGTTGACGAGTCGTTTCCATAGGTGGTTGATATGGTTTGAAAATAGAGGGCCCTGGTTTACCTGGTGGTTCAATCAACTACCAGGGCCATCTATTTTCCCAAGAACGACACCTATGGTCGTTTCCTTTGTCGCCCAAGCATCCAACCCCTTCGCCAAAGCGCCGCCGGTCAGCGCCGCCAAAGAGCTGAGGCCGCTGACGGTGTACGACCCCAAGAGCGCCAGGGTGGTGGTGCGGGCCACCCAGGTGAACTACCTGCACCTGGGCCTTGGTCCTTCTTCTTCTTCTTTTTTTGGGCTCACGTGTTGGGCAGAGAGAGGTTTCTAATGACTCCTCCCCAAATCGGGGTCAGGAGAATTCGCAGTCCAGTAGTTTTGGAGAGCCTCCCAGCATCTTCACTTTAATTCACCCCGTCGAGTTGAACTGCTGCCCGGTTTGAGGAAGTTTTGAAGTCCCCCTGCGGTGCAGAACGCCTCAGTACGTCTGGGAGCAGGCTGAAGCGATCTCGCGGAAGGTTCCCGTCTCGTTTGGGGTGGCGCGGGCTTCGGATCAAGTTCGCAAGGTACCCGCAGGATGGGCCCAGTCCGGTGGTGAACTACAAGAGCGCTTGGGACCGCGGGGGGTTCCGGGGAGGGGCCAAGCAGCCTGCGCGTCCTTTGTTTTAGGGGGTCACCCAGCGAAGCTGACGGGAGGGTTGAAGACGTCGCCATGCTTGTTGAGGCTTGGCGGAAAAGTCGGCTCATGGTACACAGGGAAGGCTTCAACAAGTTGACCTTCAGCAAGACTCGTTGGTGCTCATGTTTGGACAGCTAGCAACTGCCCAACCCTTCCCCCACTTTAAATGGAAAGGACAAAAAGGCATGCCAGTTGTTTCGGGTTTCATTGAAAAAATCCGATTCAGTGGTGCGGAGAGGGGGGCCTCTCAACGACATCGAGAGGCTTGTGCTGGAATCAGCCCTACTCTTGGGGTTTCTACTGAGTATTCTGGACGAGCTTCTGCAACACATGGGGGGTTGATCGAAATCCTAACCATGGATAGCTAATCCCATTTAGTGGTGAACGTTTTTGTGGCCGAGTGGTTGCCCTAATGGTCATGCCATGTTTACCTGACCTTTTGATGAACCCCACATCTTTTAAGCAGGCTGACGGCACTGCAACGTCCCTTAAGACAGCACTCGCAAATAAAGTGGCAGAAGAAGTGGCCTGCCACTGACATGGGAGTTCGCTCTCCGCGTCCGACAAAGAGATGCTAGAACCCTTAAATAATAAATATGAACACTCGGTTGTAGCTAGCGCGTGTTACTTGTTAGGACATCACTTCGTAAGAATGTTTTTGTGCGGCTCATCCGCAGACATTGTGTTGGCCGTTGCAGTTAATTTTGTCGCCCTTTCATATTCCGCCGCGAAATTCCAGGAGTGTTCTCCAGGGGTGCCCTTCGTGAACCCAATGAATCACTTAGGGAAGCTGTGCGCCTGGGCTCCTCGGCTTCAACCACCAACCTTGTTGTATCCCTCGTTCTTTTCCGGTTCATTCGGGAACCCAACCACGGCTCATCCCGACTTTCTCTTTTAAATGGCCCAAGCTTGGCTCGTTCCACTGGGAACAGGGTCTCGTTCCACTGGGAACAGGTCCCACCAAACTCGTTGGTTCTTTCCCGGTTGCCTTGTAGGACCGGCCGCATATTATGGAATCCCTAAGGAGGTAGGTACAAGCGGGGGTGGGTACCCTAAAAAATCCTAGGGCCGCCTAGGCCAGGGTTTTTCTGATGACTTTTGCCCGTTCCTTTAGTGTTCCTCCGGGAGGCATGAGGAAACCCCCCGCCCCCCCACGACCCCCGCCCCTTGCACCACAGCCCTCCTGGACGGCGTAGCCTCCGCGCCAGGAGCCGGTGGTGGACTGGGCGGTGAACTGGACGCTGAAAGTGGTGGAGGGCAACGAGCTGCGCATGGGCCGGGTCTACCGCCTCTGCGTCGATGTGTGGCTCGTTGCTTTTTGGCCGTGGGTCAACATCGTTTTGGGATCCCATTTTGGGGTAGGTGAATTCACCACCCAGTTTAGAACCTATTTTAGTGGTGATCGGGATGTTCACTGGGGGTACGTTTTTTTTTGACCCATAGCCATTTTTGACTTTTGCTTCTGGAGTTGAGGGTTGACCTGTTGTTTTTGGGATGGCGTGTTTTGTGGGGGACGTCATGTAAGGGGTTTGTGTCCACGAAAGTCCCCCTTGCCTTAACAGTTATTGGGAAACATTTGGGTGTTTCCCAAATGAGCGGCCAGGTCACTTTGATTGAGCTGGACTCGAACAGCAACGTCTCCAATTGCCGAAACTCAAACACGCACACACACACAAACATGCCCGAGCCCCTTCCTTCTGGGCAAGGAAGCCATGCTCCTTGTTTTTGTTTTCCCTTTTTCGCATTTGTGTTTTTTACCTTTCTTTTGCCACCGAACCAAATCAGACCCACGAGACCTTCGCGAGGTCGGGCCCTGGTGGCTACAACGGCCTTCAGCTGCTCGGCCTTCGGCCTTCGGTTCTCAACCCTTTGACACTTCAGACGGCATGCAGGGTTGAACCCTTGTTTTATGCAGAATTGACAGGACCGTGACCCTAAACGGGTTTATGAAAGGGTTCCCTACAGTTCACAGCAGAGCAAGGAGCTGGTTCGATACTTGTTGGAATGAGCCCAGACCAACACCGACTTTGGTGGTTTTGTTTAGACCCCCTTGCGATTTATTCCCTAAACCCCGAAACTGAGTCCCTGAGACTCAAGTTAAAACGAGCTCACCGATTCGGGGGCAAAACGAGCTTGCTCATGGAGGGCCCTCACTTGGGGCTTCCTTTCGAATTGCGGCAGACTCTGGGAAAGTCTTGGGCCGAGCCTGCTCGTTTTTTTTTCCTCCTTCGTGGGAATGATCAGATGGTTTTCGCTTTTGGGAACTGTTAGGCCATGTGGAGACTTTGTCATGGCCACTTTAGCCCACACTGTTGCGACCATTTTTGTTGGGTTCTTTAGCAGAAGGGCGCCACTTACTCTTGCTTGTCCTCAGCAGGGAATGCAAAACGGATTCAATTCTATCAACCATCCCCGCTTTGGTTTCCCTTCTTCGGGAATACCAGCCGCAAAACCGGTTCCTTCCCCGCCGCAAGCAGAATTTCCCTCAGCATGTCCCCAGAGAGCGACGTCCGAGGCTCGGGGACTCCACGGAGATCGTCCAGGTCTACGTGGCCGGCATCCGCGCCGCGCGGAGCCCGGGGGGGCGGCGGGGCTCCAAGCCACGTGCCGTGCGGGATCGGCGGAATGGGCCGAGGCGGAAGACTGGGCCTGAGAGGTTCTGGGCAAAGTGTTGCGAAAGGACAGGCTGAACAGGCCGAAAGGTAGGATCTTCCCTTTTTTCTTGCTATTGGGTTGGATCTTGGGACTTCAACTTTCTTTTGGGGAATGAGGGGTTTGCCAGTGAACCCGCAAGAAGTTTAGCTTGTTGCAAAGGGGTCACCAGCAACCAAGTTCCATGCGGCTGAGGTTCTCTACGACGGCCTGGTGCCAGGGAACTACTCCACGCTGCAGGTGGGCAATTCACCAGCCGTTGGTAACCTAGGTCCCCCAGCTGGGTGCCCTTTCTCATCCCTTTTTTGGTTGGGAGGGTTCCCCTACTAAAATAGACTACAGAAAAAAAGGGGTACTCTTATTTTAACCTCTCTACTGGAGGACTACGCCCCTTGAAACGGCGCGCTGAGTGTGTGGTCATGCACCTACAGATTTGTGCAAAAAGAAATAATAACTGCAGATTTAGGCGCGAACATCCCCCGCCTACAATAAAATGCAATAAAAAAAAGGGGTTGAAACATCAGGTCTTCCCATTATAAGTCCGGAGGGATGACCCACACACAAACAGTAAAGATGGCATAGGTCTTTTCGCTTGTGAAGTGGAACGGGACACCGTTCCAGGTGCTGTGTGAGCCCACTGGCGATCTCTACCAGCTGGGGTGCCAGACCTATGCGCTCAACAACTCGCTGTACAATCCAGGACCATTTGATCTTGGGACGGGATGGCATCGTTTCTACGGACATAGGTGTCCTTTTTGGTTGTTGTGCTAGAAAATTAGATGGCCCTGGTTTACCTGGCTGTTTAATCATCTACTAGGGCCATCTCTTTCCCCTAAAAGGACACCTACGTCCACAAAGTGCTCAAGACCTGAGAGGTCAGTAGCTTGTGCGCCCCCTTGAAGCTGGCAAAGAGACCATGCGCCCTCACTTTGTTAATTTGTCATTCCGTTTCGAAGAGGGCCAGAGGCAAGGCGGCCATGTCGACCCCGGCTTCATCAACTCGATGGGTGCGGGGTTGATCCCCCCTGAAAACCGAAGGGTTCCTCTTCCGGGATTGACACTAGTCTCCGAAGGTAGACTTACCCTCTTTGGAGAAACCAACCAATTCTGGGCTTAGGTGGGGTACGTCCCCTTTTTTAGAAAACCCCCCTAAGGAAAAGAGAGAGGGCAGTTCTCCAGGGGCTTTTCCAGGGGCCACCAGCGCCTACCTGGCCGTCACCTGCGACTCCGCCGACTACGGCGGCTTCCGCGTGGGGGACTTCCCCAACGAGACCGCGTCGCCTGGGGCCCCAAGATACATCATATGTATGTGTGTATGTGTACTCGCAGTTTACCATTTTTAGACATGGATTTCATACACTGGAACTCGCCTTTCATGTTGCAATTTTCTATTGAAGTGTGACTTGCAAAAGCAACCTGTATATACACAATAGGGCCCAACTCCAATCATGTTACCCTTTGGCGATTCCGCTTTTGAGGGCAAAAGGGTGCCAAGTGGGCACAGGCCACCAAATAGACCATAGCTTTTGTTTCTCTTTTTGCTTGAGACGCAGTGGACCCTCACATGTTGAGGGTTTCCACTCCTTTCATTTCCCCAAGAGTCAACCACAAAATACCGGCCAGTAATTTCGGACACCGACGGATGGAAGATTTGGTGGCGCCACTGTGGAAATGAGCTACCATTTGGGGTGGAATTCAACTCGTTGTGGCACATTCCCAATTGGCTGTGCAATTTGCTGTGAGGAGATTCAAGTTTAGATCATGCATCCTCCCTTGAATGCTTGGAGCCCAGCGTGATATCTTCTGGGACATGTCTTTGTTCCACCCACCCCACTGCTTTGGCTTTCTGCTCTGCGATTCCTTTGGTGAGGACTCGGGCTCCGCCATGGGACACCCGCCACTGGTACCAGATAGGTCCCTCCTTTCATGAACTATGGAGCTGAAATCAGAGGGCTGCTTGTCCAGGGTGTGTCCAAAAATCAGAGGAAAACTTTAACACCCACAGGTGGATCCCAAAGAACCGGTGGGGGCAACGTATTTGGAGATGTTGAGCCATTGACGGCGACACAGTCCGCCAGGTTCACAAGTCATGGTTGACTCCGCTTGTATCTTGGGAGTGATTGCAAGAAGGATGCCGAAACATGTCAGGTGTTCCATTTCAGGTTGAGGATACTCTTCCAGTTGGACAGCACACAAAGCGGCGTTTTCTCAAGGCGGAGGATGGACTTGTTTGTGGGATATTGTCGCACATGGCCTTCGAAACATGTGAAGCTCAGGTTTTGCAGGGCAGAAAACAGTTTTTGGGACTTGCTGCAGGGGTCCTTGGTCTTCTTTTTGGAAGGAACACCCATTGCAGTTCTGTGGCCTTTTGGCGATTTTCCGCCTGACAGAATGCAACATTCAGCTCGGCCTTGCCCTCCTTAGCCGCACGCCGCACGTCAGGGCATATTTGGCGGGGGGCGGCGACCCCTACTTCTACTTCGAGTGGGACACTCGCGACATGCAGTTGCTTCGGACGCATTTCGAAACCAAGGGACTGGGGAAGGGCGTGGAGAAGCTTTCTGGGACAAGGGGGAACCCGGAAGAGGATACTTGGCCCCTGTTCTGGAGTCCCTGCTTCTTTGTGTTTTGCGCCATGCGGTTGATTTGTTGGAAATAGCCTAGATCCCCGCCCTTTTCGAGTGGTTTGAAATCGCACAATTTGGAAACACACAGAGCTGCTTCCCCGGTTTTCCTTTTGAGAGCCGAAGAGCGTACCCTCAAAAAGGACACACCGATCTAGAGGTGCCCAAAGTACACTTGTCCCTGTTGTTTGTACCAGGGTAGCCAGGCACTGTGTAATACGACTGGGGCATTCCAGTTGGCCTGTTTGAGCCGGGCGTGGGAGCGTTGATGGTGTGCGCATGACGGCGGCAGAGGGGGGCAGCTTTTGATGCAACACGACTTTGAAAGCTCCTCAGGCTTGTCTTTTGTCTCCATGCATGACAGGTGGATGGGTTTGCTCTCCATATTTTCTTACTAACTCTAAGCGGTAAGTATGAAAGTACTACCGAACATAGAAACAATGGGGCGTTTCCCTAAGTGAGGAACCGCCATCAATGAGCCGGGGCTTCAGGAATCAACTAGGCCTCCATTCTTCGTTCGGGCAAGTGTACCGCCTTGCACTCTGAAGGACATAATGGGGCGCTTCCACATGTTGAGAGCCGCCGAACAACAGCCAGGCACACGCTGGATTGGACAAGTTTGGTCGAACAAACCGGGCAAGGAGTCCCTTTCAGCAAAGACTAAAGGAGGCTGTTGACCCCTTCAGAGAAAAATTAACGGAGAATCTTGACCCCTTCAAACAAGGATATGACAGTTTTTCCGCATGTCTGACCATTTGACCCGACCCGAGGCTGGGAGTTCATTACAGGCTATGTGAAGATCTCGACGGCGCGGACAGCGTGGCGGCCTTCAACTGGCCCGGGATTGTGGTCTACGTCGGAGGACTCCTCTTGACTCGATCGGATGCCCACAATGCTCCTCCGAAAACCTTCCTGGGGTCTGATTTGAATGGTTTTTTTTGTTTTTGAGATTCGTCAAATATGAAGAAGCAAAGATCTTGTTTTGGAGTGAGGGGCAAAGGCTGTGACTTGGATCAGAAGCCCTGTGAGAAGGTACACATGATTCCTGGGAACGCCTTTTGTCTTCTGCCTCCTCAAAGAGCAGCAGACAAGATGATCTTTGCCTTCCAGGTTCCACTGCACACACACTCCCGCACCCCGATGTTTTTCTCTGGTGGTTCATCCAGTCGTCAGTTTTTTTTATGTGAATCCCTGCGCCATTTTCCCCCCCCCCCCTTCACCAGACTTTATGTAGCCCCAGGCTTTTTCCTTCTTTTTTGCCAGTTCACCACGTGTTAGAGTTGCGGAACCCGGAGGAACTGGGGGTTCCAAGATCCCGGGCTTCTTTTTCTCGGTGTGGGGGGGGGCTTTCCCGCGGCATCTTTGGCGCTGGGTGGGAAAGCGATGGTACCCACCAATTAAACACGGAACCTGACGTTTTTCGAGACCCGGTCCCTTTAGAAGGAAAATGTGGTCCAAGCCCAGGGCCTTTCTGGCACGTTCATTCGGTGGGGTGCGGGTCGGTCCCCGCGCCAGGAGTGACCTCCATCGCCACGGTGCTACGGGACCCCAAGGACGGCCCCGTGGTCACCGCCGCCAGCGGGCAGCGGCTGCTGCTGAACTGCCTCTACGGCGCCTGCTCAGCATCCGCAGAGGCGCAGCTCGGAGAGGAGCTACCCCACGGGAGGTGGCACGGGGAATGGGGGGGGTGAACATAGATTTTCTCCGCAGAAAATGCGTTCGGTTTTTTCCCACCCATCGAACAAATTGGATTTCGGCTTTCCCACCCAGCAAAAATGGATTCCGGTTTTTCCAACCAGCACAAGTACCCTCGAAGAAACAAACAAGGGTTGAAGCCGGAGAGGGCGAGTCAGCCGTTGAGTGGCGCTCAAATGTCTCAATGGTGAACCCCACAAAGACCCCTCCATTGTCCACTAGGATCATTTGGGCAAAGGGCCAGGGTGCAAGAAGATTTCTGGACAAACTATGAGCTCACCAAGCGGGAGCAACGCGAGCTCACTTGCGTCCTCGCTTCAGGTTTGTGACCTGCGCATGATTTGTCCTCAAATTGTTGTTTTAGACCTTGCCATTTGGAAAGGCCAGTGTATACAAGCTTAACAAACAATTCCACCCATGATGAAGGGTTTTTTTTGGGGCCGTCTTAATCCAGAAACAGTTGTCCGGGAACCAGAAGCAGGAAGTCCGAAGTTGGGTTGAGGACTCCTCTTTCAAAATGAGTAATAGGAGTAACATGCTACTAGATTTTGGTATATGTTACTTTACGTTACACTATGTGTGACTAGATGCTAGTACATGTTATTATATAAGGAACATGACCAACATGAGCAACATGAGTAGCTTGAATCACATGAGTCACATCAGTGCTGGCTGAAGCCTCTGTGCTGAGGTTTTTGGGCTTGAGCTGCGACGTTTCCGACAACTCCACAGAGAGGAGCGGATCGACGGTTCGGGGGGATTTCGCGCTCAGACGGCGGGGTATAGCTCCAAGTATGGTAGGAGCGCACGTCTCCCAACGCGCCAAACAAACTGCGCGCAAGAGGCACCAGAGTCAACTCGTGCTGCAGTAGGACGTGATCGCAACGCAGATAACGTGCAGACGTGGCGATTCACACAATGCTGAAAGGGACAGACACACATTTCGCAACAAGTCAGATGCAGAAGATGTTCTCTCCTCAAAGACGCCTGCAAATACCGACAAGAACCACCAAGGCGTGGGCTGCAGAACGTTTGGACAGGCGTGATCCTAATTAATTGCATGCAAGCCACTTGGTGCCTGGTGCCTCCCAGCGTCTGAGGCTCAAATTGCCCGGGTAGCTTAGGCGTAGGGGCGCCAGGGGCAGTCCAGTTCACCATATCGACTTGTCGGCTCTGGGCATTTGCTGGAACATGCCCCTGCTGGCCGCCTGGCTATGCCAGAAAGCAAAGATCCTGCCTCAGGACTCGCCCCTCTGGCTTGGGCAATACACGAGCATGCCTTCCTGAGGAGCTCGCATGCTATGACTGCTATGAGAGCGCATGGGCGAAATCTGCCGCTGGGACAGGTGTGAGGAATGGCCAGACGAAATGTACCAAAGCTTTGGTAACGTGATTCGAGCGCAGTGAAAACAGCGCAGAGCGTTTCATTTCTTCGGTGCCGTGTCAGAAGTTTCGAGCTGTTGGCCATAGCTATGCTCCCTCGCTGGAGCGTTGCGGGCCAGAGCTTTGGGGGCGTGCCTCAAGCCAAAGCATGGTGCTGGAGACGCTTTTTCTTGCAGGTTGTGTGGGCTTGCGGACAGCATTGGCATCGGACGATTTGCGGACACTCGCTGATCCCAATTTTGTCGGCGGTTTGCTTGGCGCCGTTGCTCGGCTTGCATTTTTATGGCGACGCTGCTTGCCCGTACGCCAAGCCGCACATGTGCGCGCTGCCGTCGCAGCTTCTGCACTCTGGCTGGTACACTGTTGCACACTTGTGTGCGTGTGACGCGCTTAACATAAGCTTGCTGACCGCAGGTGAAGCTTGGACGATAACCGCGCATCGGCTTGGCGCCAGCGGCTTGCGTGTTGAGTTCTGGGCGCCGGCGAGCAAGGATCATCTCTGTCAGTGATGGAGGGGGCCTACGTCAGGGCGTATCTTCTGCTAGCAGCGTCCAGACCTGGCACTAGCCCTCTGCCCTTCACGCTGTTGAAGGGCGTCTCATTCACCGCTGGGCCCAACGTGCCCCAGCCTTAGTGCTTGGGTTCCACAAGAGTGTGCTACAAAACGTTGCACGTTCAGCTAGTCCAAGCAGTGTTTGGTGTTTGCCTTAGTGATCTGGGCAGGAAGATGCGCAGCTGTCAAGAAGTGCCTGTTCTCCCTACAGCGCGCTAGTGGGACACCAACAGCATGTCAAACAACATCTTGATGGATCAAGAAAGCAAGGGGCACTTGTTTCCATTGTTGGAAGTCTGAGTTCTGAATTCCCAATGTCCACTTGTTGGAGCAGGCTCACGGTCACCTGCATGCATTCGCGCCTGTGCTCACTGGAGATTTCAACCTTACTCAGTTCTGGAACTGCCTTCATATGGTTTCAATCAAACTGCCGTCAATGATGCACCAGAACAACATCATCGTGATCATCATTATCATCATCATCATCACCACCACGACCACCATCATCATCATCATCATCATCATCATCATCATCATCATCATCATCATCATCATCATCATCATCATCCTACGTCGTTGTCGTCGTCGTTATCACTTAGCATTATTGTTTTGAATAGTGTTCTTGATTGTTTTTGTGGGGAGACGGCCCTCCAACTCGTTTGCCGCAGGAGCGAGTCGGCTGTCTTCGTTGAACGAAGCGGGGAGTGGCAGTGGGAGCTGCTTCGTCGAACCCAGCGGGAGATGACTGGGGCAGAAGTGGATGGGAATTCAGAAAAGGAACCCTCCAGCTACATGGAACCCGTCTCCCTTCCCAGTCATAGATGGGAGGGTAGCCCGAAATTTCTTAGATGGGTCAGAGACCTTGGCAGTCCATTTTTCAATTTTGCGAGCGGGTGTCTTTTGGGGATTTGACCGAGTGCGCCCCCTAGCCCCCAACAATCCAAACCACCAACTAGCGAGGAGGGAGGAGGGGATCCAAATTGAAATGGAGTGAAATTTGTCGGGTCCCCTTTTGGAGGCAACCGGGGGTGGGCGGGGGTCCGCGGTGAGGTTGCCGTCGTGAGATGTTCGGCTGGAACTATGGCAGCGTTCGGGGCTCTGAGGCTCAACTTGGATGCCAGTAACCTCACCAACGGGACCACCTATATGTTGTGCACGGCCGCCTGGCTCGATCCAGCGCTCTCGCAACGGCCAATGCGAGAGCGGCGCATGTGGGTTGCACCGGCGGCCAAACAAGCAGATCGCCTGACCTGAGGGTTCTCTTTGAAGATGAGCCATGGGTTTTGAACCAGATGGTTTTCACCAAGTGCCAATCACGAGTTGGCCCGCTGTTGCTTGCGGCGTTCCTTATTTCAGTTTTTGTTGTTGGTGTGTTTTTCTGCGAATGCTTCCCCTAGATTGATGTTTTGGCCTTTCGTGCGGATGCTGAGGACTTGGATGGGCTGGACTACGGGCATCTGCATTCGGGCTTCAGCGGGCTCTTTGTGCCTGTCACGCCCTTGACCCACATCAGCGAGGAATCGATCCAGGCGGCCGCGAATCAACAGGCCTGGCCACCAGCCACTGGGGGGCGGGGGGGGGGAAGCAAGCCATGGTTCTGGTGCTCAGTAGGGAATGACCTTCCGGGTTGGGAATGAACTGGAGTGGGATTCCCTCACGGGATGCTTTATGAAAACCATTCCTTCATTCGCTGCTGAGAACCGGCAAGTCGTCTTGCTGTCCGGCCTTTCAGGGACTGTAGCCAGACCCGTGGCATGCAGGTGAGCCACAGTCAAAAACTGTCAAGATGAAGGTCAGTAGGGACAGTCCCAACCACAAATTGGTGCGGCCGCGTTGCTAACTCTTTACCTGATTTGGTTCCAAGTTTTGATTCTGACTCAGGTGCTTTTTGTCTGCCACGGGTGCTTGGAGATTGAGCACTACTGCGATACGCTGGTTGGTTGCCCGGCGACAGCTGCTTGGCCATGCGGATTCAGGGCGCGCTTGCGTGTACTTTGTCAATCCAGTTGAGGGCTGTGGGATTGAGGCGAGGTTCCCCACATTCTGGGAAACACCTTTTTAACCACAGACACCTCGCTGAAGGGCAGGATTGTGGGAATTTGGGGAACCCCACTTTGGGATGCCTACTTTGGAAGAAGGATTTGTCATTTGGACGGCATAGCGGCGGCATCTCCGTGGCACGGCCGTGTCCTGGTTTGTGGGATGCTCTTCTAGAGATCCCCAAGAGGTGTCCTCCAAAGGATGTTCCGTCTGTTATAACGGGACAAGTGGCTATCGCCCACTGAGAGATGGGGGGGGATGTGCCCGTCGCGTTTGTCCGCCGAGGAACCCATCTATGTGGTGTCGTCCGCGTATTTATCCACACAACCTTGTAACACCTCGGATTCAGATGGCGTGCAGCCAGCAGAAGGAGGCGGGGGGGGCTGGCAATCTGTGTGTCTGTGTGTTTTTTTTTGGGGGCCCCCTGTTTGATTGAAGGGACACACGAGGCGACATCTACCAACAGTATTGGCATCACCACGGATTTGATGGAAGGGTTACCCAGTGCTACTGCAAGTACCCGGCAGGGTCGGGCGACTGCAACCCAGCTCGAGCGTGGTTAGGCCGGTCCACATTTGTGCGCGTTGTGCTTTTTTTAGAGAAAGCCTTTTATAAATATATATAATATATCAAATTATTTTGGTTGAAAGGGAACCATACCCATGTGCAGTTTTTCTTATTGCGATTTCACCGCCTTTTCTCTCGCATCGGTTTGCCGCAGACTGGACCATGATGTCCTCCCCGCTGCGCCCCACCAGCAACAGCACGCGGGCCTCTTCGCTGAGTGCGGCGCGGCGGCGGTTATCCACACGTGGGTGCTGTGTTGGATCAGAGTGAGATGCGGCAATGTTGACCCGGATGAATCAAGGGGTGTTCCGCCCCCAAAAGTGATCTGGTGGGTATGTCTTGATGTTGAGGGGTTGTTTCTCGGTTTCGTGTCAAACCACCCAGCAGGCAGATCCCTTAGCGTGTTTTGGTCTGAGGGCACCCTTTGTGACATTGCATAAGCGAAACCAAACGGGGAGAATTCGATTTCCCACTTTCAGACCCGTGCCACGACTCAATGCCCCAGGCATCGCCCGGCAAGGAGGGCCCTGGATACAACACGGAAGTGATCTTCGACGCATCGAGTGCGCTCATAGGCCAGACCGAGACCGATTGCTGCTGACGGTGGGGCACAAATCGAAGCGATCGGCCGAAGGCGAGTTTTGTTTCTTGCTTTCTGACTGATTCCTTTCCATGAAGGTTCCTTTATTGAGGGCCCCCTGGCCCCTTACTGTTACTTTGGGTCCGAGAAATACAGTCCCCCCCGCCCATTTTTGGAACTGGCAAACCTTGGGGTAACTCATGGTGCCATTGAAAGGTTGTCCATCCCATGTTCGGTTGTGAAATGTAATGATCCTGTTCCGTTGCATGTGCAATGGCAAGCCACCTACCGGTCAGCTCGATCCGGTTCGACCCCCTTGGAGAAATGTGGTGCATTGATTTGCCCCGGTTGGATGGCATTTTCGAGGGACACCACAAAGCAGGGAGCCATTTCGCGCCCCCGAAGAAAAGCCAGTGATACTTGCGGCTTGCAAGTCGGCCTGTAGTTGGCATCTCAGGGCCCCCTGACGGAGATGCTCCCGGTCCAACACATTCTTCTAGACTTCCACAGTTCAGTTCTGTGTATGCTCCTGGTTCACGGCAGAAAGGAGGATTGTTTGGCAAGGAGTTTGTTTTGGCAGATCTCTTCGGGGGCCTTTCGCAGTTCCTCCGCGACACATGCGCAGGATACCGGTATCGCAGCCTGGCCAGCAACCCGCCAGGCCTTTCCCACAGTTGGTACCCTCATCTTTTTCGGAGGTTGACACACATAAGTGTTTGTTTAGTTGGTTTGCTTGCAAACGGATCACCAGGTAAACCAGGATTTGCCATCTATGTTCAACCAACCAAACAGGACACCTGTGTTCATACACATTCGGATGCTCACCCAGTTTTGGCCGAGGAATTTGTATGGACTTGGACGGGTCTTCCACCAACTTCAACTTCCACGACACAGGCTTCAGCGTGTACATCACGCCTGTGTCTGTGGCGACCCAGCTGCAAGTAGATTCGCCAACTAATTCCTGCGGTGTTTGTTTCAGGTTTGGCCGCCGTTTTCGTTATTTTTTTCCCAGTAGGTTTCGATTTTCGAGATCAGCCAAGCACTTGTGCCTTTGTTTCTGCGTGGCCGGGCAAAGGTGAGGCATCGCGTTCTCATCATCGGAGCGCCGCCGCCTGGCTTGAAGCGCCTGCAACTAACACCTGCCCAGGAAAAGCGCCTTTGTCCAATTTAAGTCTCAGAGCAGGGGAACCATCTAGAGCCAGGTCAGCCAGGTGGCTTGGCTGGCTGTTTTCGTATGCGTAGTGTTCGCCCCGGATGCAAATGGAGGGTCGGGTGTTGGCCGCAAAAGCGATCGGTCGCCCCGCCCAGACACCAACCAGGGGATTGCTGGGGGCGGCACGAGCTCAGTCCTTTGGATTCCAGCACCCCCCGTTCCTCAGGCTTCATGTTGAGCACAGGCCGGCCAGTTGTTGGGGTGACGTGGAGCTAGCTCAAACCAGCACCCGCCAGGAAAGATGGGGATATAAAACCATGCTGCAGCCAATATATAAGTTGCATGGTCAAGAATACAGGGAGGTCGAATGGTGATGTGTCAAAATAGGGGACCGACAAAAGGTAATTTGCCTCTTGGTTCCCCTTTCAACCAACCTAAAGAAGGGTTATCCTCTCCACTAACATGCCCAAATACTAGTTAAGTAGCCCCTAACAACCACCAACCTTAAGGGCAGATTTTGGACAAGAAGGGAACTTGTTTGCCCCACAAACGCGGGCTGTGTGGGTCCAACCTCCTTGGAGAAGAGGAGCTCGCGGCTGGAGTTCTCCTGCCACTCGACGGGGACGGTGGCCTCGAGTTGCAGCACCAGCTCCGCGGTGTACCTGGGAGTCAGCTGCGACCTGAATCGGGACATCGGCACCTCGCCCCAAAGCGATTCGGGAAGGGAAGTTTTCTCCACGGTTTGGGGGTCGGCCGATTTTTGGTTGTTGCTTCTTTCACATGGTTTTGGGTGGAGCTCTCCATAGATCCCTGTGTGGGAATTCAAACATGGCCGTTTTTGGGCCAAACGCAAGTTGGCTTCCGATGGGCGGTTTCCGTTCCCACTTTTTGCTGGTGAGTCTTTCCTGATTAGGCTTCCCTTTCAATGGGACACCCGCATTCGACTCACCAGGGCTTCTGGTGAGTCTCAGTTACGGAAAGGAAGTTGTGACAAAGGGACGAGTTTCTGGTGGCTGAATCGAAGTATGTCAACTTCGAATTGAAGTTGCCCGGCCGCAAGCTGGGCACACTGCAGGGTAAAAGGGGTCTTTTCTTGAAAACAGCGCCAATCTTCTCTTGGTTATTCTGCATTTGTGGCGGTGAAGAGGAGCCAAAGTTGCCAACTTCCAGCCAACAAAGGGGCCCCCCAAATTGGGCCCGATTCTTTGATCATGTCTTTTGGAACGAAGCGACTAGGCTTTCGACGCGGCTGAGGCATTCTGGCGGACTGGGAGATCCAAACCTCCGACCACACGCCCACGGAGGTTTTGCGCCTCGGAATGGTCGGCCTGGCCGATTGCGCCATATCCTCGATGGATGGGGTAAGTTTTCAGAGGTGCCCGGTGTTGGACATTTGAGGACCCTTCAATGGAAGAAACGCAGCATGGGCTACTGGAACATGCTCACCGAACCTTGTTTGGGCGCGGGTTTGAATGGAGCAACTCGAAGGGCAAGAGTCTTGCACCGACTTGGACCAAACTCGCTGCGGAGATTTGGTGCAGCTTCCTGCTTCATGGTTTCTTTCTTTCTTTGGGTGGTTTGAAGCATCACGTTTAGCGCCATGTCAAAGTGAGCCTCCTTTCAGTGGAGGCTTGGGTTTTTGGGGAAATGGTTGTACCGTGCTTTCCCGGATCAATGTTCTGACCTCTTTTGGGTTCCTTTACCTCTTGACAAGACCGAGCGACCGAAGGTGTGGCTCGCTCCCAAAACACCAAGCGGGCACCAGCGAGGACCGAGATCCCCGGGGCGGAGGGGAGCATCTACGAGTTCCGCGTGGATCTGAACACTTCGCACTTGCAGGTTGGCCAGACGTACCGGTCGCCCGGCGAATTCTCAGCCGCATGCGATGAGATGCAGAAACAACTCCCCCTGCTACATGCCCGTACCGAGAGGCCTTTCGGCAAATGTGCACCGCAACATACGCGGAGAAGCGGTTTCTTCCCTGCGGCTCAGGCTGTGCATTGACACCGATGCTCAGGGCGGGCTGTACTTTGGAGACTCTGGCTTTGAGGCCGGGGCTGGGCTTTTTGCGTTAATGAACTCCCGGGAGAACAACCTGGCGGATTAGTAGGGCGGTGCTTCCCCCAAAATGGGACACCCTTGCGCATCAACCAGGGGTGGATTAATCCTGAGCAGCACAGGACGAAATGGAGGACGCCCTTGAGGAAGGCGGTTTCTCTCTCATACCAAGCAGACACCAACTCATTTGAGGGGAGAGAAATGCCCATTTCAAACCTTGGAACGTAGCGGACTTGGCAGTGTTTGACTCAGTTTTCTTGAGGTGTGGCACCCTGCAGGCAGTTGTGTTCCGTCTTCCTTTTGCTCTGTTGCAGCATGCCCGTTGAGAAAATTGTTCCACTACGGCAGTCTTGCATTGTACAAACAGCACTTGCAGAGGATGAAGTTTCCGACGAAGAGTTGCGGGCAAACGGCGCTTGGATTTTCTTGGGTCCCTTCCTGAAACGGGGACTACCTTCAACAATGGGCCAGTTTTGTTTTCCCTGTACACACCACCCAACAGATTGCTGCCCAACTCTTTGGACACCTTCCTTTGGAACGGCCTTTATGGTGAGCATAAGCGGCCCTCCAAAGCAAGTCCCCCCCCTAAACAGGGTAGAATCCACAAGAAGAAGTCAAAAAAAGGTAGTACAGCCTTCCCAAAAAGGCGGGAGGTAATGTTTTTTGGCTTCCTTTGGGTCCCCGATTCGCGATTCGAAGCGAGGTGGCCATCTCCGGCGTGGAAGCCATCAATCCCAGCGACAGCCTTGCCATCGGCCCCTCATCCGCGTGCCGAAAAAACAACCCCCCCAAAAAAAACACATGCACCGGTTTGAACGTGCAGCACTTGGCTGACACCCTGGGTGTGTCCCTGAAATTGATGGCCCCTGGTTTGTTCCCGTTGATTCAAAGCCATCTGAAAGTGAATCAATGGACAAACATCAAGAAATCAATGCATCAACAACGCAAAATCTAAGTGCACAAGTTAATACATGAATAATTAAGTAAAGCAACACGTCAGTAAACAAATAACAAAAATATGTGCGAGTGCATGTGCCAAAGCTAGAAACCACCAGGAACCAGCCATCCGGGCTCGAATTGTCTTGACCTTTCCAGTCAGTTTGCCTTTGCTTTTTTTTTTCCTGTGTCCTTGGAGCCGGAGCCGGAGCTCGCCAGAAGATTGGGCTTCACCTTGCGCTTGGATGGCTGGGAGTCATTTGATCGAGGGCCCCGTTTGCGGCTAAGAAGGCCGGAAGAAAAGAGGATGCTATACACTTGTGGCATTCCAATTCTGGAAATCCGGATTGGCCAACCAATTTGAGAAGAGTCTGGAGGTCAATTTGGGGACACGCCAGACACACCCAACAGCAAACAATTGCCCTTGACCTCTTGACTTTTGGGAAAACCATGTGCGCGACTTGCAATTGGAGAGTCAGCCGTTTGTGCTGTCTAAGATTTTCCAAGTGTGTCTGCCTCAAAGAGTGAGGGCACCCTTCTTCGATGGTTTTTAGAAGGAAACCACAAGGAAGCCAATTTCTGAGGGTCCCTAATTCGGAGAACCCAAGTCTTGAAGTTGCTTCGTCTCACATGTTACTGTTTCAGACTCAGCCCAGGCTCAGCTACAGTGCTGGACATCTACTGCCCTGAGAAGTGCGGGGCCAGCACGACGGCCTACTTGGCGCAGGAGAGCGTGGGCGCCTTGGAAGCAAGTGACGGTGAAAGCGGGGGAGACCTATGGGTGTGTCCCCTAAACCCCTTTGGCTTCCCTTTGAAACCACTAACAACGGTTGCCCTCAAAAGACACCTCCCATATATCATATAACCTTTATGACCATGTTGGCGAACTCAAAGCCAACAAACTTTAGGGAACTCTGTGTGAGACATGTCAAATTTCATAATTCAACAGCAAGAAATACACATGGCTTATAAGTTTGTGGGAACGCTGCTCTATGCAGAACTTCGTGTTTTCCCCGGGTACCCACTGCCCGGAGTCCGCCGCGGCCGCCTCTTCGAAGGCTGCTACGGCGCCACGGGCGGCGGGGTCCAGGCCGCCGACGGTATCCACGGCACGGCCTCCGCGAACCTGGCGGCGGCGGCGGTGCTGCCCACGTGGCAGGCGCGCTTCGCGGCTTCGGTTTGTTCTTTCTTTAGGAGCTATAATTGCTATCTTCTCTGGAATAATATTCAATGGAGAAAAGATTGTTGGTACTAAGAATTTATTACTTTCATCCTCATCTACACTCTCTCTTTATCATTGTAATTAAATATTTATTGCTATTCTTCTTTCATTCTTCTTCACTGTCAAGGACCTAGACCAAGTGACGAGGAAGAAAGAATAGGACACACGAAGGAATCTTCTATCTTAGCTGCATTCATATGTTAGTCCTCAATTGGATGGTTTCCTTCATTCCATCTCTCACCTAACAGGACCTCCAACAACAGGTTGGCTTCATGTTGGTTTTCCTTTCTGACACTTGCTGAATGTAGTGTTCACTTCAGACAGTTTAGGATAAAGCGCATGACTGAGATTTTCCCAAAATATCGTTTGGAGGCGGAGGGATTCAACGTCCTAACTGGAAATCGTGCGGCTCAATGCCAGAGCAACTTTTCATGGCTTGAAAAGGAAACAGCCATGCAACCAACCCTGACACGCTGGGATTTGGCCTTCTGCAGTTTTCTTTCCCAACAGAAGCCTGCCGCTCCATGTCAATTCCCCCCCCCCCCCACTTTGCTTTGCCCAGGGATCCGTCTGAGCACAAAGTTCTAACATGGCCTAGCCCACCCGAGTGGGTGGATCGCAAGCTGAAAGGTGCTTGCTAGGATTGAACGCTTTGGGCTGGTCAAGTTGACGTTCAAAGAATAAGACGTGGTGGCCAGGGGCACATTCGTCATGTTCCAAAACTTGGTAAAAGCTTCTGTGGGTCCAACCACAGAACAGCGAAAGGCTGCATTTGCTTTGGACACTTCGGAGGCAATCACCCCTTCGAATGAAACGGTTGCAAGCAAACACACACACACACAGACTAGGTGGATGAGCTTCCAATTTGTCATAGAACTACCCCCTCCAAAGTGCTAATTGTTTTACCTAATAATAAGGTGTAATACAACTAACACGGCATCCCCCTTTTGGAGAGGTGTTTTTTGCGGAAGCCCAACAGGGGATTAACCTTTCTCAGGTGTCCGATTTCTATTTCAGGAACCTCCAAATGCGGTCTGCCACCCCCTTCGTACGGCTTTATCAGGAATGGTCCCAACTCAAATCTTATGCAGGGCAGCTTGTATGAAGGGTTGGGCTCCTTTTGACATTTGTAGGTTCAACCAAGAATAGGCCAGAATCTGAAACTTCCCCCTGCTTAGCTGGTTCGCATTTTGAAGTTTACAATCTATCTAACAGCTTGCATTTCAAGGTTCACTGAAGATGGCCATGTTTGTCGGCGACCGTTGGGTGCGTCGCCAATGAATCGGGGCTGAGGCGGCGTCGCCGTTCCTGCGGGATTGGACGGTGACGCTCGACACCACGGCACCTCGACTACACGGGAAGTCCGAATTCGGACGCGGACCAAGCATTCACCAGACTTTGCTTGCCTCAAGTCATTGCCAGTATAACTTTTTGTCTTGGGGCGTGCTGCATTTTCAGGGGCCACAAAGAGTTTGCCTCGGGTGTCTAAGTCCGTGCGACCATGTGAGGCCAACATGCCAGCTTCAGCGCCGCTTGCACAATGCAGCTCTGAAACTGGCACGGGAACCCGCATGCTCCTCACAAGTGGAAGCTGTATGAAAACGTTTTTTGTTTGAAGCCTAAACACTGGGGTTTCCTTGGACTGGTCGGCCCAATCCTGCTCGCTTGTCCCACATGGGAACATGAAGGTGGGCCGTTGGTAGGCACTAGCGGCTTGTGCATGTTTCAACAGGTCGCCCATCCCCGTTCGCGGTCGGGATAAAGGGTCAGCCTCTATTGAAGTGCACCGTTGGGCTGGTTTTGGCGGGTTTTGTAAAATCATCCACCCCAACTGGAACCACTCCCATGAACTCCAAAGGTGTCTTCCTTTGGATTTTCCGTCTCAACCCCCCCTCCCCCCAAAAATGGTACGAGCAGCCTGAACTAGCAAGGCCTTTGTTCGTTCGACCTTGGGTGTCTTCTGTTAGGGGACCCCCAAGAAGGTGGTTTTCTTTTCAGTTTCCCTTCAAAAACTACCAAAACAGAGTGCCCTAAAAAAGAAGGGTACCCTCAAGAAAAGACACACCCATTTTCCGCAAGACTGGGGGTCCCAATTGATCCGGTTGTTCGCAGGGCCTGAAAGCGGGGGAGAGCTATCTGCTCTGCGTGGACTTCGATGGCGCCGGAACCACTGTGGGCTTCGCCAACGCCTTTGACGGCGCAGGGACCCTCAGAGACCCACGACCCAAACCGGTCGTCGTCCTTTGGTTTCCCTTTGAACCAACCGCAAAAAGGGTACCCTCCAAAAAAGACATACCCACTGTTGAGAAACATGAGGCTGAACAACCCTTGTTCGGGACGAGTTCCTGTACTCTTTTTGTTGTAACTGGGTCCGTGAGTTACTGACCTGGAACTCGCCGGAGGGCCCGTTTCCAAGGGGAAAGTCAGATTCAGGCACCTCCAACGTTTGGCGCAAATCGGATGCGACCCACGAGCTCGTGGGTCACATCCGTGTGGTCCGCGCATTCTTGGGCATCCAACGGCAATGGATAAAAGCCTCCAGCCTTCTGGGCCACGTGGCCGGTGACAGACGTGGCTCCCCCAAATCACAAGCCCGGGGGTTTGCAAGCGCAAGGACCATTTCAGTGCTGCAACCAAGCGCGTTCTACAAACCCAACCTTCCAACGTTTTCGGAAGGAATCCCAAGAAGGCTACTTTGAAGGCGCTCCCAGAACATGTTGTTTTTGGTTTCAATCGGGCAACTTCAAAAGTAAGATGGAGAGTTTTTTGCTGGGACACGTTGTACGCTCATGAAGGTCTCTTTCTTGGGGGATTCCATATTCCACTTTGTGAATTTTAGGCATTTGCACAGATCGTCTCGAAAGAGACACCAAGGTGCTGAAAACCAACCCCATCGTGCCGGAGTACACGGTGGGGCCCCCAGAGATCGGAGACGTTTCAATGCGGAGAGATTTTTGGTGAATGTGACAAAAGTGGATGGGCGATTTTTCGCAAATTCAGTTTTCCCATTTTGGTTCAGTCACCCCTGTTAGCTTGCAGAAAGGGAGTTGTGAATTTTCTACTTTCACACACGTAAAGAACAACCCCCTCACTCATGGTGGGTGAACACGTTGGGCAAACAACGACGAGGGGGATGGATGCTACGCCTTGGACTCTGTCATGTCGCGCTGCTTCGTGAAGCTGATCATTTGGAGGGGCGCCCCTCAAACATGGGTTGACCTGTCAAATATGGGTACGTTTCCCCTCCTTCCGGGGGGGGGGGTGTTCGGGAACTCCAAGAAGCTTTGACACCCAGCCATACACACAGATATATACATACGCAGACAGATACACCCATTTGCAATAGTCCAGGGTCGTCCATTTAGGATTACTTCAGCATACACATAAATGACCCCACCCAAAAGTTAGTGATGGGTTTTTTGGAGGACTGCCAACGTGTCACAACATCAAGGCAAAAGAGCTTTCGACGGTCAGGAGCCTTTCTGTGATTTAGATGTGGGTGCCCCTCCTGAACAAAACCCCTCCGTGGTTTCATATTCGTGAACCCTGCCTTTTTCTCGACTTCCACCTGGTTTCAAAAAAAAGGTAAAATCAAGGTCAAGAAGCAGGTTGGAACAACAGGGCCCCCCAAAAATGTGTTTTCAGGCGCTGGCAGCAAGCAGCGTAGCCACTTTGCCGCTGACCTGCGACACCTGCAATCAGCAGCTTGGCGGAGGTGCGGATGAATATTAAACCACAAAAAGAGAGGTCCCTACTAGGAGATCCTTCCAAACATGATGGCTTTCTGGGATTCATGTTAACGTGCAGGGTAAGGTCCCAACTGTGAGTGAGCATGTCATTCGCCCCTCATATCTCTGTACCGGCTTGTCATCCATGGTGTTTCTTCCGGGCGTGCAAACGCAACTCGGTGCGGCTGTTTGCCCAAGGGTTGTTTCTCAGAACTTGTTTGGGCCGACCACCCCCACTGACAGGAAGCTGCCAGACCAGCAACATCTAGCAACGCACTAACGATTGATTTTGCTTCTGGTTCAACTTCCTTTGCTGGAGCAGTTCGACCGTTTCGCTTCATCGTTTGGTGGCAGTCAGTTTCAGAGTGGGACAGAGTGAATGCTGGGTTTCGACCACGTCTGGGGTTGTCTCCTGACTGCCAGGTCGACACCCTGGCGACAGACAGCCAGCGGTTGCGGGAAAAAACGCTTTGATTTGACTAATGTTTTTGGGCGTGGGCGGAAGGGACAACCAGTCTGGGAAGCTCAGAGATTGTTTCGGTTTCCTTCGAGAGACACATGGATGTCTATTTGAGGTTGGACCTCCCAAAATGGATTGTGGTTTTCCTTTTCAAGGTCCCCCACTAGTGCTCTTTTGCCCCCTTTTTTGGGGGAGGGTTCCCCTACTAAAATAGATGACAGAAAAAAGGGTACCCTTATTCTAACCTCTCCACCGGAGGGCCTAGTTTTGGTTTCCCTTTGATCCAACCCCAACGGGGTACCCTCAGACAAGGCGCGCCCGGAGCCTAGGAGCACCATCGTGTACCTCGCCACCGCCTGCGATGTGGAGTCGGTGGTTGGAGGCAGGGAAGGCTATAGAACTCCAATGAGAAGTTGTTTGCTCAAATAGGGTATGACAGGTTAGTGGGTTGAAGTACAATCCAAGAATAGAATGTCTTGATGAAATGGTTGACGATGATAGAATGGGTTCAACATGTGTATTCTACAGGCCAGAACTCCAACACCATGGTGACTTGTGGCCCCCTTCTTGTGTTTGGGTGGGCTCCCGTTACACAGGGCGCAAAAGTGATGCTATGAGCCAGGGCCGAGCGGCCAGAATGCAGTCAGACGCTCCGGGAATGAGGCAAACCCCCTAGTGCTGACCTTTGATTCATAAGCTTTTGAAGTGGGCAAGTCGGCAGGCTCTCTTAGAGTAATACAAACAAACCAGCGTATCATGTTTTTCAGGCAGAGTGGGGTCAATCCGTTGACACATGTCTTAAATCACTGTCCGGGCTTCTCTTCCCGGTTTGGGTGCCAGGCATGAGGGAGAACTGCCTGGTCTCCTACTGGACGCTGGTGCCGCCGCAGACCTGCAGCGTGCTGCTGGAGGCCAACTTCCCGGCGAACAGCGGCTTCGTGCGCTTGAGCCCCCGCACGGATTTGCCAGGCGGGGGGTGGGTTTTTGGAGGGGAGGAGAGACTTGGGGCGGAATGGAGAGGAGGGGTTGGAGGGGTTGGAAGGGTTGGAGGGTTTGGAGGATAGTGGAGGACAGAAGGGCGACAGCAAGGTAGGGCAATTCACCCTATCATTTCAGTGACCAACAAAAGAGTCTAGTGTTTCGGTCCATTGGTATGTTGTTGCTGCCGCATCTGCGTTTAGATTCCCTTTGCCAGCAGACCCATCTGCACTCATGGCTTCAACGTGAGGAATAGGCTACCAAGGACCAAGCTGAAACAAGAAGTTTGTCGCTTCGTCTGAGCATGCAGTGGACGGGCCTTTTTATGTCTGCCAAAGCCCGGCTGTTCACTTCCATGACTGTTCAAAAGAGGTATTTCGAAAGGCTTGATCATTTAACCTCCAATGGCATTTGAGGGCCCAGTGCTTTTGCGAAGGGACTAAACGGAACAGCCCAAGGGCCGTTGCGTCTTGGGATATTCGCTGCTGTCTGAGCAACTGAGCAACCGCACATGAAAAGGGGAGGTGCAGCTTCGGCCTCACTCCCCGAGTTTGTGTTTGAGCCTTTCAGTGGTAAACTAAAAGTCTGTTTGATGTCCTGCGAAGCCCGCTGGGAAAGCGAGCTAATCTTTCCTACTCCACATTTTGCTGAGGGCTGCGCAGCCGTATCTTCCTTTGAGGCTTCGGGCCATGCGTCAAGACTAAGCTTGACGTGGTCGGCATGTGGTTTTGCCATCAAAAGAGTCCCCTGCCGGATCTAACTCCATTTTGAGACAAGGGGAAACCAATCCTTGGAACAGTCCCTTGTAGGGAATGAAGGATTTTTGACCTGATCACTTTCTCTCTCCCAGCAACACCAACAGGGCGAGATACCATATTGGGCATTCGGGCTACATCCGGCAAGTGGGTTTTAGCCACAGAAGGGAGCCAGCCCGAGCCACACTTCCAATTTTCAGCCATGATTCTAGCCGATGTCCGAAGAGTGTTGACCAAAGTTGGCAAAACTTCGTTGAACCACATTGAAACAACCGGATCCACTAAGGAACCCCAAGGAGGTTGCTTAAATCGCCCGCAGGCAGCCGATGGACAGCTGAGCTTGACACCAGCGGGCTGAGTGTCAGGGGCTGAGAGGGAAGAACTGAGACCCGGCCCTTCAGCGTGCCGGTTGCAGAGGTCAAACTATGTGAGACTCAGCCAGTTTTCATTGCCCGCACTTGAGCTTTTTGCGGACGTCTCCATCATTGTCTGTTTTTTTTTTTTCTCCTTTTTTTTTTTCTTTTTTCTTTTCTCCATTTCCAAACATGGCATTTAACCCCCCACCCCCCACCCGCAAGGGCTCCTGAGGAAACGGGCACCAATCGGATTTTTTCATGGCAAAGTGGAGCTCATCCATCGAAACACAGCACGTGTGACGAGGGTATTTGGGGACAAACCGGTCTCACCCAGTATGAATATTACTTCGGAGGCTTCCCGTATTTCCGGTTTCTACATTTGACGAGTTTCTTCAGAGACATTCTTAGTCAACTTTCGGAGTCTCTTCGAGTAGCATGCGCCCTCCTGGAGTCTCCATGACCCGAAAATAGGTCCATGACCCATTATTTAGGGTAGTGACCCCCATTTTTACAGGGTCATGGAGACCCTAGGCTTGAGGCACTTCCACGCGCGTGGTTTCGCTTCTTTTTTTCGGCTGGAGGTTGGTACCAACTACCGGCTCTGCGCGGATCTGGACGGGGGGTTCACGGAGCAGGGCTTTCTGGATGTGGGGCGCCTTGGCTCAGGCTGTGAACGTTTCCCATGAAAAAGGCCCTGGAGAAACATACAGTTGGGTGAAAGTAGACGGCAGAATCTCCTCATTTGGGTTTCGTCATCTCCTTTACTTCGCTGCATAAAGGGAATGCCATCTACTGTCACCTTGATGCAGGGTTCGCGAAGATGGGCGAACTCTTTCGTGGCAAAATGCAGGGCGTATGTGTCCTTGATAGGTTAGTTTGCTTAGAACTAGATGGCATTTTTTCCCCCCCAACTAGGGCCATCTATTTTACGAATTCCAGGGGGTGATTCCCCATTCTTTTCAACCATCGTTCTTTTCAATCAGCAGCTGTTTTCCTTGCTTTCCGGAGGTGTTCTAGAAAGAAGGATTTCTGGCAAGAACGGAAATGGAAGGTACCCCTTGCAAGACGACGCCTATGACGTAGCAAGGTTTCCAAGGTCTTCTCGTATGTTGGTTCGGCATCCAGGCATCCATCGGTTCCCGTTAAAGTCAACCTGCCAGACGGGTTGTTTAGGGACTCCCGATTTGGTGAGGAATCAAAAGAAAACGCGGGTCTTTCCCTACTGGTGCCCAGGACTGCCAATTTAAACATCGGTTGGGACCGTGTCCCACTCGAACCAACCCGTGTCCTTGCCGGTGGCGGCCAAAAAGGTGCTGCTTGATTTCCGGTTCCTATCCGGCTGATATGCTTTGCAGCACCCATGTCATGATAACCCATAGGTCCTTAGGTTTGCCTTCACCCAAACGGGGAGGGTGGGCAATATCAGGGTTGTTTGAGCATGTGTCAACACCCACTTGTTAAACCTTTTTTTTGGTTTAAGGATACCACGATACCAGGGTCTGGTTTTGTCCCAATGGTGCAACCAATCCTGGCCCCTAGACTGTGAGGGCCTAAGCAACTACACGCATTATCCTATGATCATGTCTTAATTTGGTTTGATAGTTGTCGACTGCCTGATTTGAGCTATTCAGGCCACGTCCATTTGGGCAAGGACATGACATTTCTCCATTGGACATTTCGGGTTGGTTGTAAGGACATTGGAAATCTTTCCCCCTCCCACCGACATGGCACCTGACGGACCTCTTGAAGAGGAGCTTGATATTCCAGGTATCCCCCAGGTGCCTTCTGATAGTTGGAGGAAGCCTTACCCAAATGTCCCAAATGCTTTTGTTGCTAGTTTGGGAATGAACCGGGAGGGGATCCCTTAAAGGAAACCAAATCGGGGTCATTCCACCTCATTCCCTGCCTATCGAATCCGCAAGTTTTCATGGGAGGGGCTTTAGGTACCCTAGGTGCCACGTTGGTGGGAGGAAGGGTACCCATGGGTTTTTCATGGTTCCGGTGGATGCCCCAATTATTGCAAGTCACTCAACGACAAACCATGGGAATTTACAGGGTTTCCTTTGTTCCCTTGCAATATTTGGGTCATCCACAGTCCCTCTAAAGACACCCCCGAAATCTCCGCTCGATCAGGCAGGTCATGATCACGGGTCTCCACCAGGCCCAGCGGCGGCCTCAGTCTCCGGGAGTTCGCGTGCGGGGATGCGGCTTGGGATGCTTGGGGCTCCGCAGGGATTTCGAGCGTTCCCCAAAATTCCTTAGGGCTTTGGCCAGTTTGAAGTGAGATTCCTTGCATGGTCATGCTTCTTGAGATCGGACACAATTCTAGGGATCCCTGACATAGGCCACGGAGCTAAGATCTAGCCATCCATGAACTCAGGCGAACTATGAAACACTGTCTCGAACATGGCTGGATCTCCTGCTGGTTCCTCAGGCGGTCCATCTCCACTGCCGCCACACGCCATGAGTGGAGCGGCGGCGAGAAACAGGCGCGAATGGGTCCATCTTGGCTCTTCCATCTATCCATAGAATCACGTCTATTCTATACAGGCAGACATTATATATATATATAGATATGTAATATGATCATGCATTGACATATATATATATATACTTATATCTAAACGAATAAATGCACATCCGTAAAGCAAAGAAAAGACATGTATTACACTTGCCCTGTGAATCGGAGGCAGCCATGCAACCAAATGGGGCTATTCCGGGCATGTGCCAATGAATCTTAGTTGGGAACCCCTGCAAGTGGTTGGTGAACGTGAATCCCCACCGAATTCTGATGTCCACCAGGGGGTCAGTCAAGAATCATACCCATTTGTTCGTCAACCCCTGCAAGTTTGGATGGAAACCTAAGTGTCCGCCCGCCCAAAAAAGAATGCGATTCCTCCAACAACCAAGGCACCATGTTCATGTCGCTTCTTGACAGCTATTGGGTTGGATCTTTAGACTTTAACTTTTCGGGAATAAAGGTGCTTTCTACTAACCCCCCCCTCAAAACTTAAACTTTTTCAAGGGGGTCAACAGCAACCAAGGGGTCAACAGCAACAAGGCACCATGCCTTACAGATAGTTTTCCTGAAGGGAAAAGGCTGCACAATCCTTGGCCGCAGTTATTGGGCTGAAGGGCAACAATGTTCATTTCGTTCCAATTTGAACCTTTCGCCGTGTTTCCCTCTCGAAACTCTAGGCCCTCGTGTTCACCTGCGACAGCGCGGACTGCACAGCCGGCACCACCCTGCTTCGCGGCGAGGGATCGATGAAAAAACGACACGGGCGCCAAAAAAAGCCCATGCCGGGCAGAAGTATTGAGGAAACCAGGCAAACGGCTTTCGTCCCAAAAGGAAAGGGGGATTGGGGATTCTTCAGTAGTTTCTTTAGAAGCACCTTAGTTCACCACCCAGAACCGGATGGACCTTGGTGCAAGTTCATGTCAGGATGGACTCTGTGTGCAATGAGTTCGGAAATCCTTTTGGTGACTTTGAACACACTGTTGTTTTGGGCATTTAGAGTCCGGTGACGCCTACGGCCTTCCCCATGCGTTGGTGGGATTGTCGTTCGCAAGCTGCATGGCCCTCTCCCGTCCATCTTCCTTTGTGGGTACAAGGGACCTTTTCGACTGGGGGTGGGACCAACGTTATTTGGACCAAGGGACCAATGTATGGGAGGGGGATGGCTGCAGCTGGACGTCCTAAAGGTGGATCACCATTTGGCTTGAACTCCAACACGGGAAGGCTCCCATTTGTTGTCTCGCAGAGGGGTGGGGGGGGGGGGGGGGGGCGGGGCTTTGCCCATGGCACGCTCTCTGTCGATCCGAGGGTGTATCTGGGCACTAGCTGCGACACCAGCAGCGACAGCAGCCCCTTGAAGGTGGCGGAGCAAGGCGCGGGAGCCAAGCCAAAGGTTCACTTCCATTTGCTGAAATGAATATGTTTCTATTTTTCGCTGTTGGTTTTAAAAGGAACCTATCACTACTGGAAATATTTTTTGTTTTTTTTCCAGGGGGACTAAGTAAATGGAAGTTCAGTCCACCTGGGAGGGACATGGTTGCACGCCTTTTTGGATACGCCTTAGGGGTGGAAACCAACAGGAAGCCGTCATCCTTTTGTTGGAGGTCCCACCCAATTGTTTGATCTGCCCGGTTCAAAGGGGACCCCACAATGAACATGAGGTTTGGTTCTGAACAAGAAGTCTGGGTGTGTCGATGCTTCATTTGGGAGGTACATGGGGGACGAGCTCCAGGGGCCTCATCAAGTTACATGTCCTTTTGGGGGAGCAAATGGTTTTGACCTCGACGGCTCAAACTGGATCCGCAAAACGACCAATTGACCGTGTTGCAAACTGGGGCTTCATCAAATTTGATCCGACCCCCTAAAAAGGAACCAAACAAAGGGTTTCCCTGTTGGTCTCCCTTCCAACTGTGGCTGAACCTGAGAATTTCGATTTTTTCATCCGCTCTACTTTCGGAACCTAAGGGAAAAGTGCTTTCTCCTTTTACCCTGATTAAACCTTTTTGCAGGGGACTTCCTTTTTGTTGCCCTTCAGTTTGGACATTAATAAGCGTTTTGTTGCAAGCATGGTTTCCCACGATCAACTACCGACCACTTCCCCTCGGCCATTTTGGGGTGTCATCCTCGCCCGGGTATTTCTGAGGGAGTGCAATGCCCAGAGCCCGCTGTCTTTGAATCTTCCAACCTTTTTTTGGGGGAAAACGGCGGTTCCCGCCACAAGTCAAAGGCCAAGCCGCTTGAGCTCCCGCGGTCCGAAGGGCCGCGAGGGGGCGCTCCGGGCGCTCCGGGCGCAGTGCCGCGAGGCGAGCAGACGGCCTCGGCGGCGCTGGAGGCGCTCAGCGGCTGGAGCGCGGAGCTGCTGCCCGAGCGCTCCGTGCCCGTCTTCGCGCGGGAGAGAGGGGGGCTGAATGGGGCGCGGGAGAGGGCCGTTTTGTTTTGGTGAGTACCCCTTCAGCCGGGGTTGGGAAGCCAAAGGGAACCCCACCTTCTTTGGGGTCCCTGACTGCTTTTTGAACAGCACTTGGGATTTTCAAGCATGGCACCTTCAATGGGCACATTCAATGGGGGTTTGTTCCAGAATAGGTGAGCTTCTAAAATGCCTTGGGCCGTAAGAGCCACGCTGGCCAAGTGGTTGCTGATTTCATGGACACCTCCCCACCAGCCGCCCAAACTCACAACCTTTCGGCTGGATTTGGAATGATCCATTGAGGCAAATGCCAGTCAAGAAAACAATGAAGCAGTGCTGGTATGTGCACCTAACACCGTGAGCCCAAAGTTGGCCCCACCGAGACCGCCAATGTTGGCCCTGGCCGTCCGCAGGACGGCAGTGCAACATACGTGTACTATGATGGCAGCGACTCGGCGAGGTTCGGTTAAGCTTTGCTGTAATGGTAATGGTGAGCTAAGAACGCAAGCTCACCCACGACAGATACATTTCGTGCATCCCCAACCCCTAGTTTATGTCTTTTTTCTTTTTCCCGTGGTTTCCCTTGGTGGATACATGCAACATAACTAGAGGGGTCTTCCTGAGGTGCGGATTTTCGTCCATTTCTGCGGCTGAAGAAAGGAGCAGCCGCCCAAGGATCAGGGTATATCATGTGAGAACGGGTTTCGGAAGCCTTGGGTTTTCCAGGACCCCGGTTTTCAAGGAGGAAGGTGCGCGCATTCCTCGAAGAACATATCTCGCTCGATGTGGACGGTTGCAATGGGAGTTCTGCAATGAATCTGGTTTGGCCTGGATTTCTTCGGTTGCTTGAAAGAGCCAGGGTCCCTTTTGCTGGTCTTGGGGCTGGGACGCGTCAGCAGGGATCCGCCTTCAGGTCGTAAGCGCACGCAGGAAGGGCTGTCAATGGGCTCTCATGTTGTCACGGTCCCTGATGGGATTTCTCAAAACGGTAGTTCTTTTGACTGTATGCCTCATAGATCTTCCCTTTCAACCGGCAAAGTCAGCATTTTGGAGGGTCGATGTTTGGCCCCGCCTGTTTGTGCCGTGTGTGTTTTCCTCGTTGGCCCAGCCTTCACTCGAGGTAGTGACTTCATCGCCATGATCGACACGAGCGGGCTGACCCCCGGTATCTTCTACAAGCTCTGCGTGGATCACGACGGGGGCGGCAATTGGCAGGGGGCTCAGCATGGTGGTGAAAAATGTGGAACGGCACCTCTTTTGAGAAGCTGGTTTGAAGGGCGGCCAAACAGGAAACCATCGATTTCTGGGCAAGGTTGTGACAACTTCATTGGGCTTTTAGGGCCAGTTCCTCCCCTTCACCAATTTTGGTATCACGGAAAGGTGCTCAGGGGGGGAAGAACAACTCAGGCCTCGCCCTCCCCTCCCGCTTTTGGGTAGAAGAGTTGCGGGGGATGAGTCCGTGCAAAAGGTGGGGTCGCATTCCTACTTGTGAGTGGTTGTCTCCTTTAACAGGGGTTCCTTCGGTTTCCACGTTACCAGCCCGCAAGGGGCTCTAAATTTTGTTGCTACTTTGGCACATCCCAATATGTTGGTTTCAATCTTGTCCCTAACTTGGTTTCCATTTGGCCGTGTCTCGTTTCGGATGTACCCCTTTTTTGTTGGTTTTTAAAAGGGCAACCAAACAGAAAACCAACTTTTTGGGAGGGTCCCCTTAAAAAAAGAGACGCCCATGTTGGTTTCCCAAAGGATCTCTCTGCAGGTCGCTCCAAGCGCTCCCCGCCTTCTCCCCCGCGCCCAGGTATGTGGGCGACACGGGGCTCCGGGTGTTGGCCACGGACCTCAGCGTGGCGAAGTCGGTGCACCGGGGCTTGCACCAGAAGCTCGCGGTGAACTGCACCCAAGGACTCGGCGGTCGGCGATCGGCGGGCGGGCGGTGTGTTTTTTTTTTGGGGGTGACCACCTCCTCAGGCCCCTTCTGGCTGAAGATCTGGATGGGGTTCTCAAAGTGACTTCGTGGTTTCCCCATTGAGAGGTCTCACTAAAATAGACCCAGCTACCTCGAAGGCGTGAATTGTGAATGTACGTGGGTGTGAACTGGGTTGGCCCCAGAGGTTGACCAATTCGAGCGTGGGACCCACCAACTAAGCTGGGATTTGAAGGGAGCCACCAACTTGAAAGCCGCTTCTACGCCCTTGGGGATATGTCCCTTCAAGCGATTTCGCTTGGGATCTTTTTCCTGCGAAGGGGGTCCAACAAACTCACCTGGAAGAACCCGCTGGCTGCTCGCAGGATGCAGCTCCGACCTGGTGGCCCTCTTATCCAGGAGCTGTGATGAGGCGGGCTCTGGCCCCGTGTTGGGGCCTTCAGGGCGACACCAGCTGACGCCCAGCCCCGCCCCACCCCATAACTAGGGGTGGGTGGGTGGGGTGATGGGTGGGTGGGGTGGGGTGGTGGGGTGGGGTGGGGTGGTGGGGTGGTGGGGGAGGGTGAAGTTGGATCGATTCCTCTGCAACTCATTTTGCCAGCAGTGGCAGAAGCACTGAGTCTTGCCGCAGGTCACGTTGGCCAGCGGGAGCGGGGGCACCTTTGCCAACCAGGTGCGGGGATGTGGCGAAGCATGACCAAACATTTCTGGGTAGAACAGGGCTTAAAGATCCAAGCAAAAGATACAGGTGGTCCATTCAGGTTCTTGGTGCGTCTTTTTTGGGGAGACCTTTGAAGGGGGAAACCACCCCTTTTTGGTGTCCCCCCCAAAAATACTAATAGTACATAACAAAAAAAATGGACCTTTGGGAACCCCTTGTGTTTTTTTCCCCCAACAAAAGAGACACCACCATTCCTTGGTGGTTTTCCTACCAATTTCCAGCCCCTCAGCAGCCGCGAGAGGTGGAGGGCACCGCTCCGGCGCCTTTGACGCGCTTCGGCGGGCCGCGGATCTTCTCGGGCTTCGACTCGGACAACACCACCACCCTGGACACCCCGGGGGTGACCACGGGGGACACCTACCTGCGGCTGGATTTTGAAGTGAGGTACCTGCTTTTGCTTTGGAAGCCAAAGACAAAAACACCTCACCCCGGGAAAGCTTCGCAAGGAAGCTTCGGGGTTCTGAGAAACCCCAAGCTTCTCAGAACTTCTAACATCCAAGATCCAATTCCGGAGGACAAGCTGCTTACTTGCTTGGACCCCAACGGTTGCAGCGCAAAATGGGATCCAGGTTGCATCACCCAGCAATCATTTGAGTGTTCATTTGTGCCATGGGTCAATACTTCGGTCTTTGATTCCCCAAGTTGGATCAGGTCTTTGTCTGCTTGGCATTCTCAACCGAATCGGTTTTTCCCCGATTGAAGTGCTCCGGTGGTTTCTTAGGCTGTACCTGGACACCACGGTGCTGCAGTTGGGCCAGACCTACGCCTTGTGCGTGGACTTCGATGGCTCCGGCGCCATGGAGCTGGGAGACGCCGGGCGCCGGGTCTACGTCACCGGGGTCTACGGCTTCGCGGAGCACGGGGTGATCAAGAAGGCCACCGGCCAGCCGCTCGGCGCACTGAGACGGGCTTGGGCCCGCAAGCCCCAGGAAATGAGCAGGCACCAAGCGGGAAATGGTGGCAAGCTGAGGGCTTGGCAAAAGCGTGTGGCTTGATTAAGGATCATGATCGTGTGTATATGTGTATATGCGTATTTGTGTATATGTGTATATGTGTATATATGTATATATGTATATATGTATGATGGAATACGTCAACCCACATACAGAACGCGCACATAAACAGACTCACATTGATAGCCGAAGACGATGAAATTGGAATGTGACACCTCATGATTCTGCATGGTGCTTTGTGACTAGTAGGGAAGAATGACTTAGCTAGGGCTCTGAATCAGCACAAAAGGACCGATTTTCCACAGCCGAGGATAGTAGAGCTTCGGTGCAACCCGGGCGAGTGCTCCAGCCTCTCGGTTGATTGGGGAGTGGGGTTTCCGGATAACCAGCGGGCAAGGCATAGTGACCCAGGATGGTTTTCTCCCATCCACTGCATGGTGACTCCGCATAAGCTGCAGTTAAGTCTGATGTTTCGATTTTTAAAACCCTCCCTTGGCATGATTGCTGGGGCTAAGTGGGGCCAGCGTCACCATGTCGTGACGCAATGTGAGCTTTAATTGGCACCCTTTTTTGGGCGGCAAGCGTACCCTTCGTGGCAGTTTCCTTGCTCCATGATTAGGGGATGTGACCACTTCTTTGCAGGGATATCCAAGGTTTGGGCATGGGGACCAGTTCCTGGATTCCTTAGGCCGAAAAGACGAAAACCTTGCAGGCGCCATGCGGGTGTACCTCGGCGTGTCTTGCGACTTCACTGTGATGGACGGCACCTCCACGGCTGTGGCCGGTCAGCAGACGGACGCCGTGGATCTCTACGTGGCAGGCAGCGATTTTTTGGGTGGCACTCGTGATACCTGCAGCCCTGGAAGACCTTCTTCCTCTGAACATGAATGCTCTGATGGGTTTGTTCGTTTGAATACGCAATCTGGAAAAGAGGCATGAATCCAGCACGTTAGGGTAGTGGACATTCAGCAAAGTAGCTATATTGAAAGCAGCAAATGTAGCACATGTTAGCTTCGAGGATCCACAGCAAACTATACAGGAGGGTAGCTGTCTGTTGGGAGCTAGACCCTCCGCCGTATCCAGGGCTGGACGAGGATGCGGATGACCGCGGCGGGTTGTTGGCCTCGGCCACCGCAGCACTGGAGGCTGGCCGTATGTCTCAGGAAAGAGGTACAAATTGCAGCTTGCGTTCAAAGCATGTCCAATGTTTTCCGCAGACATGTTGTGGGGGTGTTTCTCCAAAGTCCTTTTGGGGTCTTTTTAAAGCCTCCCAAAAGGCGAGTGATCCATATCGAGACAGCCTCTTTTTGCGACACGTTGCACGCTACAAGATAAGACAAACAACAGAGTATGGCTCGAATGATGACCACTCAATACTTTTGTTGGGGTGGGCTCCTCTTGGAATTCAACAACACGGTGTCCTTCTTTCTGCCCTTGCCACCCCTGCTTTTTCACGTGCACATGGAGGGGGCGGGGGGGGAGGTATGGGCCTGCGTTTCTATGAGCGGTGGCCCCACGTCGCAGTTGGGGTCCTTTCTTACAGAGGTGTGTTCTCGGGCCGAGACAAAAGATGGTCTCTGGTCTGACCTGGGAGGACTGGTTTGTTCAGGTGTCTTTTGTTTTGGCAACGTTTGGTTCTTGTTGCCCCTTGAGCCTGCAGTAGCCTTCAGATTTCGACACGGGGAACAGTTACCCGCTCCAGACATACGAAATCCTGCACCACCTAAGAAACCCTGGAATGATGATTCCCCTGCAAATACCGACAAACAATGCCCCCATGGTTTGAAAGTGGTGCAGGAGTTCGTCCATTCACAGTAGTTGACAGATTGATGGCTTCTTCACAGCAGGTGGTGCTCGAGACGGCGCCATTGCAGCAGGCAGGGCACGTCTGGGGTGTGGGGGGTGTCCCATAGGAAGAGGACCCGCTGGTTTCTTTTGGTGCTTTCTCCCCGTGTTCTACAAGAGGATTCCCGCCTTTTTTTTTTGGCGTGTCATTTTGGGGTCTCCAGCATGAACCACGCCCGAGCAAAGTGACGATAGAGCCCCTTGAAACCGGTCGCCCGGGCGTGGATGGGCCAACCCATGTTAGACGCCCCATATTTGGTGGTCGTTTCGGGATTCGCCACAAGTGAAAAGGGGCGGCCGGTTTTGGAACAAGGACGTCTCGACGTATTCGCCAGAGACATTTTGCAGAAGGTCCCTTAGCTTTCATGCTGAACTCGATCCACCTTCTGGCTGGCCAGGCTTCTGCAAAACGCATAAAAAAAACCATTTTGGCCAAAGGGCCAAGAGATTGAAACTCTTTGCGACGCCAACTCAGCACAGGGTTGTGGGAAATTGTTGTTGGTTCCCGCTTTTGTTACAACGACATCAGTCTGGTAGAGGACTGCAGCCCTTTTCTGTCCAGAGGGCTACTAAATGACTAATCATTTTGTTGTTCCTTTTCTATTTTTTTCCGGCCCTTTAAGGGGGGGGCGGGCGGTTGACATGTGCACGAGGGTCAAACTGTTTTTCTTCTCGTGTTTTTCGTTATTGGTAGGAGGCATGGACCCCTTCAAAGGGATCTTAGACCGTTGCGAGGGTTGAGGGTAACGCCACTATAACCATACCTCACATTGATGAGCAATTTTGATCCTTGGACTCATTTTTTGGATCAGCGTCACCTTGTTGAACGCACATGTCATGTAAGTGTATGTGTTTTGCGAGTGGGACAACAAAAAGAGGACCCTGCAATGTGTTCTTGGATAAATTTCTATAGGTCCCCCAGGAATCTCTGGGATCTGCAGATTTTTGCCGTGCCTTTGCTCCCCAAATTGGCTCATTTTCCAAAATTCCTTGGAACGACTCCAGGTGCCGGTGGCATGCGGGGATTGCAGTACATCGTCCAGCGCCTTTTTGTCGATCAGCTGCGATGTAGCCATCCTGCCGGAGCTGAACCACTCCGATGGCGGGGCTCCAACGGGGGGGGGGGGGGGGTTGGGTAGGTTGCAAAGGGGTGTGTCTGTTTTGGAGGGTATCACTTTTTGGGTGGCTGGAAAGGGACACCGAAAGGAAAAACCGAAGACCTGTTTGGGGGGTCCCCTAAAAAAGTCACACACCCAAAATTACACATCTATATATGTATATGTGTATAATATATCATATATATATATATATATGTATATATATATATATATATATTATATCGTAATTACCAGTGCTTTTTCGATTGGAAGTCCAAATGTAGATCATGGGGGGGTGACCATATATGTATGTATATATACTGAAGACACCCAAGCTCATTTTGGGGTGCTCCAAAAAAGACGAAGGCCAAGCCATGGGACCGGACCAGGCACGCAGCAGGAGCTCGTGGGCTTCACGACCGGCAGCGCCGCTTCGTCGAGCGAGCGACGGGTTTTTTCGTTGCCTTCCCCCACGAGGAGCGTGGAACTCGCAGGGTTTCTAGGGGTACGACACGCGGAACGGGTGGCGGCCAAATCTCAGCCCAAAAGACCAAAGGGCGTGAAAGAAAAGCTTCACCTGTTCTCTAGGGGACACTTCCCCATTCTTTCCAGGAATCCTTCTTTAAACCTTCAGAAACCCAGGCAAACAAACGGCTGGTTATTGAAAAGAACGATGGTTTAAAAGAATGGGGAATCAACCCCTAGATGGCTTGCCATTTTCGCTGCTTGTGGGAGAAATTTCAGCAGCCCCCCCAATAGAGACCCTTCTCAAGGGAGGCGGTCTTTTGGTTTGTTTTAGTGCACAAGTCAAACCCTGGGAACGTGATCTTGCTGATTCTCAGAATGAACCAAGAGGGGTTTGGGAATGAACCGAAAGGGGATCCCCAAGTTCGGGATCATTCCAACTCTTTCGCCTATCGAACTAGCAAGTGATGGGAAGACACCAATCAACACTTCCAGTCCAAGCCACCAATCCAAAGCCACCAAATCAACAAACTAGGGCCACCCCAAATTGTGTGGTTTTCTCTTTGGTTTCCCTTTCGAGCAACCCCAAAAAAGGAATTCCTTTGAAAAAAGACTGGGCCCAACTAGGTAGGTGTTGACAGGGATGGCCAAGGCGAACCTCTTCGGCACGGCCCCCAACTTCAAGGCCATTGTGGACGCCAGCAGCCGGGCTCACTCCGCCTTGGACGTTGGGCGACAGATGGGTCGGTCTTTTGCGGGTTTTGGACCCCTTTTCGGTTGGCTTCAAAGGGAAACCAGAAATCCATTTGTGGGCCCCCTAAAAAACGGCACGCCCAGATCGCAAAATCAATCCTCCCCCCCCCCCCCCCCAAGAGGCCCTTTGGAATGCATGGTTCTTTGCGCCAACAACCTGGTTTCCAGAAAGCACTCTTGCAATTGTAGGATTCTGGAGAGCCCTTGTTTTCCTGCCTCGTTCTCTTTGGCCCCATGCTTGCATTCTTTATATGCTTGCGGCCGCTTGAGAGATCACCGCCTCCCCCAACTCCCAATACCGCCATCCTCCTTTATGCATCGGCATACCCCACAACGAACGGGTATCTGGTTCCTTAGAGAAGAAAGTGCGAGTTTTCGCCACCTTGGGATTAACAACTTTGCAGGCTCTAGTTCCCTGAGTGTGGGATCCAAAAATGCAGGGAGAGGCCTCAACCGACCCCCAAAACCTTTTGGCTATGCTCATTTGCCGGATGGGACGGACCCTTTCTTCGCAGCGCCCCCTTTTGCGGGTTCTGTTTCGAGACGCGACTGAGGTAACTTGAAGCCTGGGGCCTTGTACACCTTGTGCCTGGACAAGGACGGCACGGGCAGTGCCTTCGTCTTTGCTGCCTTCGGCACCTTGGCGACGTGCGCAGACTGCACATCCTAGGTCCGACCGACGACCCCGGTTTCCCCAAATGGAGAGATTTGCAGGGGCTACTCCCCTTCAAATTCGCGTGGACCCGGGAAGAGATTCCTCTACAAGGCTTCTTTGTAATTTTGTCCCGACGCCCTCTTAGGCTTCCTTGTTCTTAGGCTTCCTGTTAAAGGTTCCCCAGCGCTCCGGTTTTTTCGGGTACCCCCTCAACACCGGGGAAGCGAGTCAGCGAGTCGAGTCGAGTCAAAGCCGAGGCCAGGTGCAGGTCTCCAGTCCGGTGCCTCACCGCTTCGGCTTCACTGTGGATGGGTCGCAGCTCACCATCGGCCGCCACTACCAGGCGTGGGGCGAGGCCACGGATCTCGGCTTCCCAGAACCCCGCTGAGTTGGTGGTGGACGCTGCCCTTTGATGGGTTTGGATTGGTGGAGGGTTTGGTGTCCCTTTGATAAGTCCGGCTTGAGAGAGATCGATGGGCTCCACTAATTTGGATGGGTTCTTTATGCCCCAGAAAGCCAGGGAAAGCCATGGAGGGTGTTGAGTTTGGCCCGCGCCACCCTGCAAAACATATATATATATATATATATGTGTATATGTATTTATATATATATATATATATATTTGGAGTATGGGGGTAAATCCACCAGGAAGCATGTGGTCCATTCATTTCATCGTTCTTCACAGCTCCGCTGTTTGGAGGGAACAGTTAGTATTTTTTCAAGAGGCCCTGCAAGTTGATGGTTAGGATCCGGACTTGAGGGTTGACGACCCTCCCCGTTGGAAATGAATCAAGAGAAGCTTGGGCTTTGCCAAAGAGGTATCTAGACTTGGGCAGCTCCCAGCCAGACTTTCAGCCTTTCAGCTCAGAGTTTATTTACAGGGGTTTGTGCTCAACAGGGAATGAGGGAATGAACCCTATGAACCATCCAACTGGTGGTTTCCTTTGGGGACCAACACCTGGGTTCATTCCCACATTCCCTGCTGTGGCATATGGGTATGGGTCAAAAATAAACCACCAGGAACTGGACCGCATATTTTTTAGACTTTGGTTCCATTTACCAGGGCAAGCCATTTCCGGTATGCATCTCTGACCCACAGCCATATCCCGCGGAAGAGCTCGACTCTCAGCAGATCAAGCCAGGTTTGCCTCGACGCCGACGGCACAAGCACGGGCCTGGGCTGGGGCGACACCGGGCTGCAGGCGACTTCCGAGCGTCGTGGGGAGGATTTGGTGAGCGGCGTGTCTCTTGCCCCCGTTGCCTCACTGGTCTTGGTTTCACTGTTTAAGGGCTATAAGCTTTTTGGGAAGGCCAGCTTGATGGCAAACCGACAGTTTGGACTTTTTTGGGCAAATCCACTCGGGAAGTGAGTATGCGTTTTAGCCTTTTGCGTGTTTGGCTCGGATCATTTTCAGTCAGGGGCTGCACAGAAGGTCCTTTTTGCTGATATACAAGGGGTTGGGAAGCTTCTGGTCTTCGTCTCTTCCAACCCCTTCGCCTTTCGGAGCAAGGTTTTCTACGGGGAGCATTCTTACTTTTTTCTGCATAGGGAAAGGCAAACCCGGGTCACGTCGCCCGTTCGGTGACCCTGAGCGATATGGGTGTGGAGTTTGATGGGGAACATCCTCGCAAACGAGTGGACGTGAAGGCCAGCTGACGTCACCAAGGATCAAAGTTCACGCCACAACTGCTTGGTTGGTATTGGGTTTGTCTCTAGGTGGGGAATCAAAGACAAAAAATGAGTAGCTTCCCGATATATTGGGTGCCCAAGCTTCCACAGAGCGGCCAGGTCTACGTCACAGGGGTCACGTACGTGTCGCCGGCGACGCTGACGCGTGGGTCCACTTCGAGTCCATGCCAAACATTTCGCAGACCTTTTTCTTTTTTTTGTGTGCTGTTTGCCTGATCTTCAGCATGTTTTGTGTTGAACTGGGATCGTCTGTCCAACATGTAGATTCAGTAGGTCGCACCAAGTTTCTGGCCACTACACGCTGAAAGACTTCGTCTTTGAACAACTCGCGGAGTTATCTCGCAAGCGATTTCGACACTTGTTCTTTTGTTTTTTTTCCGTCCAGTGGATTTTAGCGACAAATTACCTCCCACAGACTCAAGCTGTTTAACCATCGATTGCTTGCCTGCAGCTTGCTCTCACAATCTGAAACATGGGGATTGCTCTAGGACCAAACCTGACTTCATTGAATATACTTATCTTGAACCGAGCCTGCACAAATCCTGAGCTCATTTGGGGGGTAAGGCGATCTCATGAATCCATCAGGTGGAGTTGATGAACAATTAGTTGCCGAGATTCAGTGGCCTTACCATAGGCAACCACGGTTGGGTATCAATATTTGAGATGCACACCAAACCTGATGAAACTTCATACCCAGATGTGGCATGGTCAAACCACCCCTTGGGGTTGGTAGGGATGGCCATCAGGCTCTTGATGAGGCCTGCGACAACCATTCTCAGAGTTCTGAAGGAAACCAAGACCCTCACATCTGGGAGCTTTGAGCATGGCGCCTGTGGCGTATTTTTAAGTGGTCGGGGGGATTCTCTGAAAAACAGCTAGAACCAGGATGTTTCTTCATGTAACATGATGTTCAAGGCATGAATATTTATGTTGGTTCTTCGTCTCAACGGGGGGGGGTCAAGGACTCTGGACATCACCTGCGAGAGTGGCGCGTGCTCCTCCACGCCAGCCACTGTCTTCGGCGGCGCCGGGAGGCGCTTGGGGCGGCGGGGGGGGAAGGAAGGGGAGTGGCTCTATTTTTTTCAAAGATGCCATGCTCCGCGGCTGTATGTATGTATATTATGTATATATGGGTTAGGCTCAAAATTAACCAGGAGGGATTCCGCAGGTTTTGGTCCATGTTTCCACTTACAAGGGTTCCATTTTGGTACTGTTTTTTTGAGCCACAGCCATGTGGAAGGATACACACACACACACATATATATATATATATATGTAACACACACACACATACACATATATATATATATATATGTATATATAAATAACTCTACATACGTGATTACGTATACACATGCATACATGTTGCATGCTAGTAAGGCCTTGGTAAAGGTTTGGTTCCCCCAAATCAATGGCCAAGGCCTGGATTGCCTGGGTTTCCACGGTCAGGTCTGCGGCCTATCTCTCCACGTGGTGCGACTCCGCGGTGTACGACGGCATCATCGACATGGACCGGGTACTGCCCACCTCTGGGCAGAGCGTGAACGTGTACAACACGATGGTGACCACGTTAGCACAGAGGCGAGCGACTGGTGGGTGGGAGGGAGGGAGGGAGGGTGGGAGGGAGGGAGGTGGGAGTGTGGGAGGGTTTTGGGCCATACAAGACACTTTAAAGATCACCTTTTGGGACCTTACCCAGAAAGGCTCCCTAAAGGGGATTTGCCACTTTTGATGATGAGTTTCCACAGCCTTCCCAAGCCCGCCTTCCCTGGCTGTCGCAGATCGTATTGCCAGACTCATACATTTACCCTTGAGACAATCCACTTGCCCCCTGTCACAAATCCGAAAGGAAGCGAAAAGGATGGAAACACCGAAGTGAGTTGCATGTGGTATCTCAGTGATTAGATTTCCATCAACCCAGTTGCCCAGTAACACTTTTCGGCCACCAGCCGGCGGATGTGCATCTAGCACCACCTAACTCACATAGCTTTCATTGCTGGCACCAGATGTTTCGCTTTCTTTCCCCCGAAGCAAGCTAATGGCCAATCAAGAGAGTGTTCTTTGGTTGCATCGCCAAACTCTTCTTGAGTCGCAGGTTCTACGGCAGTCCCACCACGAAGTTCGGCACGGACTGCACGAGATCAGATGGGCGCGTCATGTGAGGTTTGGTTGAACTTCCAGAAAAAGCATAATATACCCACAAAAAAAAAGGAGGATGCACTAATGGGCAAAGTAGGTGAGTAGGCGATCAAGGCGTTACTAGGGAATGCAGAGGACTAGTATTCATACGGTTTCTCGCCAACGAGCCACACAAGAAGTTTCAAGCAGTCAAAACAGGGAGGCAAGGACTGACAACATTTAAGTTTGGAGTACTCCTCTTCCAAGCCATAGAGCTGTCCATTGACTACCTTGTTGGAACATTTAGTCAGATCCCATGACTTCACATTTTTTTGGGCTTGCTAAATGTGTCAGAGTCAATGATCATACTTTTGCTTGGGAGCAGAAGCCGAGGGCAATCGTGTTCTTTGCGCTTTTGCTTAAAGTTCATGTTTCCAGCCCAAGCAGTTTCGCTACCTGTCGATATGGGGCTTGTTCATAGCAGCTCGGCTGTTCATAGCAAGCGAGCGTGCAAGGATATGGAACCAATCGACTATTCGCCTGAACGAAACGAGCAAGCAACCTTGGCGCAAGACTGAAGTGAGCTAGCTGAACCTTGGCGCTGTCAAACATTGGGAACACCATGAAAACAAGTGCAAAGGACACATGCCTGGTGCACAGAACCCGATGGGGCAGAGACAAGAGACACGTTGCGAACGATGCCAGTCCAAGGGTTGCTCTAAGTAGCCCATGATTTGAAGCAGAGGCAGTTGAGTAGACGCATTTAAAGATTTCGCACAGAGCAGGACAAATTGGCCCCCCCCCAACAGGTCCGGGATTTAAACCTCCGGCAGGAGACCTTCTCCGTGGGCCTCGACACCACCGGCCTGCAACCGGGATATCACTTGTCGCTCTGCACGGACCTCGACGGCCAGCAGCGACTGGGACATCGACGGTAGACATCGACATTTTTGGCGTCGGCGTGGTTTTGTTTCGTATATCTCGCGCGCTGCCGAAAAACTTAATGTGTTTGGTTTATTTTGCTTGTTTTGTTGTAATTTTTGTTTGTTTGTTTGTGTGCTTGCTTGCTTGCCTGCCTGCCTGCTTGCCTGCCTGCCTACCTGCCTGCCTGCCTGCCTGCCTGCCTGCCTGTCTGCCTGCCTGCCTGCCTGCCTGCCTGCCTGTTTTTTTGTTTGCTCGTTCGTTCGTTCGTTTGCTTGTTTTGGTGTGTGTTCGTATGCCGAGTAGGGTTTTTGTGCATTTTGCCTCGCACCCAGGACGGACAAGGCCTTCGGCCACTCCACAGTGGCCCGGCCCTCAGCTCTCGCTCCGGCCACCAAACAGGAACGGGTCCCAACCACAGTGGTCTTCATGATCAGTTAGTTTGGTGAACCATAGATGGGTTCCACTGGTTTAGATGGGTTGTATTCCCCATTTACCAGCAAAACGCATCTATTGTTCGAAAAGGCCACCCAGGGTTATACACTTATAGCTGATTCTTGTGAATTCAACGTGAAGGGAAGCCACCCATGCAAGTTCCCTATCCCACTTGGGGGGAGTGTCTGTTTTGGAGGGTACTCAAGTTGAGGTTTGTAAGGGAACACTGACATGGAGTCACTTGTTTTGCAGGTTCCCCTCATTTGGAGACAAGCCCATGTGTCCAGCTGGGCGACTCACGTCTGGGAAACGCCAATTTCGGGATGCAAAGCTCGGTGGCGGCGGGGCAACGAAATCAACTAGCGAGTGACATCACACCCCAAAGCGGAGATTTGGAGGGGGTAGGACTGGAATTGCATGCTCGAGGCGCCGGATGGATCAGGATCACTTGAACAAGCTTGCAGGGAGCACAATAGCCGCTCTTGAGCCTAGCTGGATCCTGTTTTCGGCACCGCCACGATAAAAAGGCAAACCAAAAGGACACCACGCATTTTGGGGCCGCCCCTTTGAGACAATAGCTGAAACCTGAGGTCTACATCTCTGGGGTGCACGGGGTCTCCACGACCCACGTCTCCGCCCAACCTGCGCAGCGCGTGGACCTCACTTGCGATGCCGATGCCTGCGGCGCAAAGGCGCGTCTGGCGGCTTGTCGTTGCGATGGGAGAACTATGGGCCTGGGTCAAAGCCAATGGGATCCCATTTTGGGGTAGGTGCACCACCCATTTTAGAACCCATTTTAGTGGGGATTGGGATGTTCACTACGGTACGGGCTTTTGACCCATGGCCAAATGGCTCCTGGATAAATGGAACTAAAGATTAAGATGTGACTAAAACCTGCGTAGCCCTAGCTCTTTTGAAATTTGATCCACACCCATATCTCTGTGGATTTGTCTTTATGTGTGAAGGTTCACCAAATATGGACAATCGCCAGGCTTCTGTGGTCCCTCAACCAGGGATTCCCACTCCCTACTTCAGACCACGTTCAAAAGTGGTTCCAGTCGATCCTGCAGGCCATATATGGCCCCCACAAACAGAGTTGCAACATAAGCTTACCCAAGGTGGCCTAGGAAAACATGCTGGCACCGGGAGCCACGTTTTCTATCTTGTTTCCTTTAGGGGCCAATCTCCTCTACCTTCTCCCATTTCTCAGATTTCTTGCTTCTGAAAAGTTCCCTTCGCCAGGATGCGATGGCCTACTTGGCCATGGAGTGCGCGAGCTTCGAGACGCGGCACTCGGGCGTGTCGGTGGGGGCGGTGGACGAGATGAACCATTTCTCCAGCCAGGCGGGCCAAAAGGGTGCAGTGATCGTTTTGCGAACATCACTTTTTTCGGGGTGGTTTTCCTTCAAGCCACCATTTAGAGGGCAACTTTGAAGACGTCTTACTAAACCCGGACGCAAGTAGGAACCCCCCCTGGATGTCAGAACTCCTCCATTCTTACTAGGAACCAACAACCAACCTTTTTTTGGGTGTTTTCCTTTAAAGGACTGCGAAGAATTTGCTTCCCTCTCTGAGGTGCTGCCGGTGGGCGAGGCGAAGCACATCAGCCGCTTCGCCAAAAATATTCCGCGAGTGCGTTCCCTTGTGGATGTCCCTGTACATGACCCTCAAATCAACATAAAACCGTCATTAGATGCTCTTTTACCTGATTTATCAGGTCCTTTGAAAGACTTGGGTCAATGATTCCCTGAAGAACTTATATTTGGTGGTATGTCAAAAAAGGGCACCCCAAATGATTGGTTTCCTTTCTGATTCCCTTTAATGCAACACCAACAACCGACGACGCGGCGACGGCGCCCGCGTTTTTCTCCAGGCAATTACTCCAGCGTGGCAGTGGAGAGTGCGGACCTGATCCGTGTGCCTGCGGCCAGCGGTCAGATCATCACCTTCGACTGTTTGCAGGACTGCTCGACCAGCTCGTGGCTCGAAGCGAAAACGGCGTGGCTCGAGCCTCTTTTTCGGGATCCGAAGAGATGCGCGGAAGTCGAGCACGTAGAGTCCTTCTAGTTTTTTCTAAAAGTGGGGATCCGCTGTTGGGATTTCGGGTGGGTGGGTGGGTGGGTGGGTGGGTGGGTGGGTGGGTGTGCCACGAAGCCCAAAGGAGACCAGATATGCCTCGGGGGTGTGCTCCTCCTAAACGGAGGTGTTTTCAAGGAAAGCCAGACTGAAATCAACCAGTAGCAGTGTTTTTTTTATTTGGGACACGCCCATAGGACAAGCCGGTGCGTGTCCCAAATAAAATACACTGCTATCTAGAGAACCCTGCTTTTGCATGGTTTCAAAGGGAAGCCAAAGCGACCGGCCCCCAGGGCGTGTGCCCAGGTTGGCCTACTTGGCTCGAGATGGCTGTGACTGGAACGTCTCAGGCGCGAGGGGTGGGGTTGTTGCCAGAGGTGTCGCCACGGCAACTTGAACTGCAACGCATATCAGTCTTGGAAATGGAAAGGGCGAGAAGGGGGGCCTGGGCTCCAAAAAAACATCGGGGCCAAAGTGGCCCTGGAGCAGTGGGATACTTTGTCCCTTACAATTTGCAAGCGAGGGAGCTTTGTGGAAATCGGTGGTTTTGCTCCATGAACCCAGGCGGAGATTCTCTGAGAATCTTGATTGGGGAAGGCAGGGGTCGGGGAAGCAGGCAAGACTTGGCTGTGTGCTTTGTAAGGGTACGCTTTTTTGGATGGTTTTAAAGGGAAGTCAAAGGGAAGAGTTCCCCCGTTTTCACTTTATCTGCCCAGTTCACCTGTTCGGTCAAACTATCAGTAGTCTATCAAAGGTATCCCTTACTTGGTGGTTTGCATTGGTGGTTTGGGATTTGAGGATCCCTGCTTCTTTGTTGCGGGTACCCGGGAAACCAATCCTTAATCCTCCAAACCGCAAGTTCCGTTCGAAGGACGCCGAGTCTAGGGACAACTCAGGCACGATGCCGGGGAAGTTCGGGCTCCAGACGGCCACCGCCTCTCTGACGGAGCACTGGCTCACGGGGAACTACTACTCCGCGGACCTGGACTGTGCGCCGCTGACCCCGGGAAAGCACTACAACCTCTGCGTGGCGGTTCGGCAAAAACAAGGGGGTCTACTATGGGTATGCGTCAAAATAGGGACCCCTGCACTTGGCGGTTCACCGCCATAGCCTTAGACTTTTAGCTTTTTCGAGCTTGGAGTGGGATTTATGGCATATCCCACCAACAAAATCAGCTTCCGCATGGGATCAGCGAACCAGGCTTGCCTGTTGGGGGTCCCAGCTCTGGAAGAAGGGACCGGGAACCCCGGCAGATCACCTTGATGGTAGAGCTGCTTGCAAGGAGCAAGACAGGCAGGTGGTTTTTCTTGGAGGAGGTTTTGCGCCCCTATGGGGTTGAGGCTCTTCCCTGGGGCCTCACCAGTTGAGTTGGCCAACTTTGACCTTTAGGATTCTTCATCAAGTCTTAACTGGCCCCCAGCAGTTCATTCATTTGAACCTCCCGGATTTTTATCCATGGTCTCGAGCTATTGATCCTAGGATCCCGACGGCGACGGGGTGGACTTCAACTTCGGAGACACAGGCGGATATTTCGTGGAAGATCGCTTTCGTGCCGGGGTCCATTTGTTTCTTTTTCGACCTTTTCTCCCCCTTGGCAAGTCTCAGGGGTTTGGTTTTGCCAGGCTCAGGGGTTCACTGCACACGCCGTGGGCAAGCGGGTTGCGGGTCCCACCAAGCCGCCAGGCGTCCGGGTTTTTGTGCAGGGCGCCTACACGCCTCCCACGGTGCTCTACGGGTCGCAGCGCCTCGGCAACCGGTTGGGCTTGGGCTCAAAGTGGGCCCCCGTGGGCATGGGCCCCGAAGGCGGGTTGGCTTTAAGGGCCATGAGAACACGAAGTCTATCTTGCAAATGTGCGTAGAAAGGGGTTTGCTCCAAATCTTTCGCATGAGGAGAGATTAATAAGCCAAATACTACATTGTGCTTCGCTAAACCATAGCCTCTTGTTTTCACTCAGTGTGTTTTTTCTGGCCCCACATCTAGTGCAACCCACGCATAAATCTCCTCGTATCTCCACATTTTGCACCGACAGAGCGGGGTGGCGTTGAGCTGCAAAAGATGACATCAAGACTCAAGGGTAGACATGTGGTTCAAATACCGAGTTAATACCTTGTGCCGATCTTTGGAGACTCCCCCTTCTTTCGATCTGGTTGAGAAGAATGGTTGAAGAGTGCTTCGGGCGAGGATTGCGCAAAAGAGTGTAGAAATCTGCTTTCCTTTTGGGTTCCCCTTGATCCATTACAGGTGTCCCTGAATTTCCCTTGTTCTGACCTCCAAAGGTGGCAATATGGTTGCCTACTAGTAAAATGCAGCTTTTTGAAGGGAAACTCCAGTGACCTTCAGCATGTGGTACCCTTTTCAGGTGACCCCCTCCATGAGTCAAGGCCCCCAAAAGGAGCTTCCCTTCGCGGTAGGGGCCGCAGGAGCGCCTGGTACTTCGAGGCGGACGCTTCGCACCTGGCGCCGGGCAGGCGCTACAAGGTGTGCACGGACCTGGATGGGCGGCATGGGCATTTGAGGCGCCTGGGCTATGATGCCCTCTTGCCTTTGCTGTGTCTCATATGGGTATGGCTCAAAATTAAAGAGCTACGGTTGCGCAGGCTTTTGTCTTTGGTTCCATGTACCAAGGTGCCATTTCGGCACCACTTTTTGAGCCACAGCCATATTGCATTTATATATATATATATATATATATGATAGATCATTCAAGGGCAATTACCCTTTTCAGGTTGGCTCAAAGGAGCCTCTACTATGTTTGTATGAAATTCTGCACGGCATGCACGCGCCCACGCAACATGTCCGGCTGAGATTGGAGCCCTGCCAGGCGAAAAGTTCCGAGGTTGGAACGTGGGGAACTTCCAAACAAGGGTAGAACACACATGTGCGCGTGTGTGTGCGTGTGTGTGTGTGTGTGTGCGCGTGTGCGCGTGTGTGCGTAGAGTCTCGTTTTTTCAGAGTACCCTGTTCAGATGGGTCAAACAAAAGCAAGCCAACAGTAAAACACACAAAATTTTGGGGGTGGTTTTGGACCATAGATTATGGCTGTCAGAGGTTTTGCCTTGTGGCCATCAAATCAATATGGTTGGTGTATTTTTGTGTTGGTTTTGTCTCAAGTCAGGGGAACCCTCAAAATGGGTCGGGGATTTGTGGGTGGGCTTGGGATACATGCATACCCTGGAACCACCCATCCAAAAGAAAGTTGCTTTGGATTGCCTGTTGCGAATTTGGTTCGAATACCCCAAGAATCAGTCCCAGAGGTTCAATTGTTGTTTGAGGCAATTCCCATAAACCGAGCCTTGGTTGTCTGACCTGTTTGGCATTGAACTTTTTGTGGGTGGGTCATGCTCAAGGCTCAACGGGTTAAAGCCTGGTCGCGTGAACCAATTTTGCAACCCAGGCCGGGGGACACCGGTTTCGAGGTCTTTGTGAGCCCGCTGGAGGAGCGGGGGCTGGAGCGGTGGCTTTTCTTGGATGAAGTAACCCCTGTGTGGACAATGGGATGCTTTCTGAGGGAGGTTGACCAGGCATTGATGTTTTGTTTCAGACACCGGGCGCAGACATCATCTTGCTTTTTTTCCAGCCCGCTTCCCCCCACCCCGTCCAAAAAAGAGAGAGAGAGAGAGAGAGAGAGAGAGACACCATTCGACATGTTGACGATTTTTGTTTGCGCAGGACGTGGAGCGCCACAGCCTGCTGCTGAGCCGCGGGGCTGCGCTGGGCCTGGCCTGCGCCGGGTGCCAGGCCTCCGCGGGCGGCGCTTTGGGGCCGAGCTTCGACGCGGCGGCGTCGTGGCCGCGGCACGGGGCCTCCGCCAGCCTGGTGACCAACGTGGTGCTCGCCTTTAGCGAGGCGGGAGCGGTTTCTGGGAAAGGGTGGAAAGGGTCAAGAATATGTACCCAAAGGCAATCCTGGTAAATGGAAACACGGACCAACACCAGCGGTTTCCGGGTGGTTTAGTTTTGACTTTCTTGGAAGGGAAAGGTGAGGTTTTTGATGGGGTGTAAGAGGAAGGAGGCGGTTAAGGAGGGGTTTCGGTTGAAGGAGAAATATGCAGGATGCTCGCAAGAGGAGGATGCCGAGGGGGCTAGGCTAAACACTCCGCCCTTTTGTTTGAAGGGTTGAATAAGGGGAACTTGACAACTTTCTGGTACATCCAGAGCCTTTGTTGGAACCTGGGGCCCGCCTTTGCCCATTTTCTTCGGATTTGTAAACACACCTGAGCCTATGTCAGAGCATGGGAACGTTGCTGGAACCTTTCAGCGCCTTCCCCCCTTAGGCTTCAAGGTGCAATCAAACCATGGGTTTGTCGGTTTGTACTTGACAGGCCCAATCCTGCGTTTGCGATATTTGGCCTTTTTGGATTCCTATGGTTTCCACCGGGCAGGCGGTGCAGCTGGCACCGGAGGGGGTCTTCCAGCTCTGGGACACCACGGACGCCACGAATCCGGCCTTCGAGGCGCGGACCCATGGTGTCTCACAGGGGCAAGGCTGGTCTTTCTGTTTGGTTGTCCTAAGCGAAACAACAAAAACACCAAGCTCAAGAACAGAGACACCCCAACAAAAAGGGGGTTAGGTCCGATTTTGAGTTGCCTGACTGACGAGAGTCCTCGTAAAGCAGTCACGGTTCCATGGGAATCAACCCCTATGCTGTGACAAGGATGGTGTTCTACATGAGCAACTTACAAATTTCTGACAGCCTCTTGTCAGTTTGGGGGGAGGAAATGGGGGGGGCCATCCCTACAAAAGCTGGAGGGTCATCCATGTCCGCCTGGGGAAGCTAACCTATGTTGTCCGGGGTTTACACATGGTGGTTGTTGGGAAACATTTTGCATTTTTGCTTATTGTGGTTTATTGTGGGAAATCCCCACTTAACTGCTAACATTTTACATTTTTGGCTTGCAGGTGGCCGCGAAGGAAATCTACGCGGCCAACGCCGCGGCCGGCGGCAGCCTGCTGCGCGAGAACCAGGCAGCCGGGAGCGACGGAGCACGGGAGGGGGGTGTGGGGTGTGTCTTCAGGCAAGGGAATGCACGCCGGGCCCCTTCTACAACAGCCACCCCATGTGTAGGCAACTTGCCTTTTGGGGACGCCTGCTTCTATGTTTTAGGCTGCAAGGTAAGAGCCACGAGGATCGAAAAACATGTGGTACTTAGCAGAATTGAGTCATGATCACAGGGGCCAAGCAACTTCAGATGTCGAGAGGGGTGTTTGCCGGAGTTGCCAGCAGTTATTTGTCCCCTGTTCAGCTTTCCCAAGTTCCATTGGTTCCATACTACGGGGTGGGAGGGTAGGGGGCAAGCACATTGCCAATACTCCCAGAATTATGACACAGCATGATTTTAAAGTATCCCTGTGGAAAGTGGGGGTTGTAGGCTTACTTGTTGGATACCAAGGGCATCCCCTTAGTGATAAAGCAGTCATGGGAGTGACCCATATTGGTATCACTGATAGTGAGATTTTCCACGTGTTGTTGTTTTTTGACACTCCAGGACCCGTTCAGGTGGTTGGTTTCCTTTGAGTCTCTCTAAACACCGTCCAAAAAGGCGAGGGGCCAAAGTGCCCCAACTCGCTTGACACGCGACGGAAGAGCAGAGGACACATTGATCAACCCCCACATGGCTGTGGGTCAAAACCAAATGGTATCCCATTTTGGGGTATGTGCACCACCCATTTTAGAATCTATTTTAGTGGGGATTGGGATGTTCACTGGGGGTACAATTTGGATTTTGACCCATGGCCACATGTCAAGCACCAACCCCCAGAGGTGCTTATCACGCCGGCGACGCTGTGCACGGTGCCGGCGAGCTGCGACGTCTTCACCAGCGGGCGGAGCTACTATGCCCGGGGCCCCGGCGAGTCGGCGAGGGGAGCTTTCTCCTGTGACCGAACGATCCTTCGTGGTTTGAGAAGGGGAACCGTCAAGGGACACAACCCAAAGGTTGGGGACACCCACACGAATCCCCTCCAAAGTGGGCTGTGAGCTGAACCATGGGCTCATGCGGCCGTCTGGACCCGGGAATGGAAATGACCAAACCTCACGTGGGACTGAGGCCGAAAGAAACAATTCGGACAGACTCACGTGAGGATTTTTAGGATTGGACTCTCCTTTTTGGGCGCCTTCATCTTGGGCCACAGGCATCTTGCGCACAGATTCACCGGGATTCTCCAAGTCAGCTTGGTCATCGTCATGATATCCACTCGGGTGGCTTGGGAGTCATGGGAAGCACCTGATCTATCGAGCAAGAGGACCCCAAGAGTCCTTTAAGGGAATCCCCTTCCGGTTCATTCCCAAAGCGCGGAAGGTCATTCCCTACCTATGCACCAGCAAGTTGTTTTGGGGGGGCGGGGGGCATCACCACAAAGGGTTATTTTCACTTCGCGCCGCTTCAAGGGTGAGCTGCTCGGCTCCTTCGACAACTCATATCTTTTTTGAAGGGGATGGTTGGAACTCATTTGCCATCCTATTGGCTTCGCTGATCAAGTGAAAGGTCCATTTGTCAAGAGGCGTTTGTGCACTTCCATATGGCTGCGGGTCAAAAAATATGGTATCCAAAATGAAACATTGGGAAAAGTAAACAACCTGCGGTCCCCTGGTGGTTTAATTTTCACCCACAACCATATTTGGTGGAAGGGAAGCTTATGCAACTCATGCTGCATCCTGGAGTGGCAAGCCCAAAGGAAATCACCAGTTTCGATCCAACTTTGGTTTGTCATTTTTCAAGTTTGGGGTGTCCCCTAAAAAAAACACACCCAAATGTGTCTCCTTGGCATTGGATTTCTTCGGCCCAGGTGACCGCCAGCAAGGGTACGGTGCAAGACCTCTCTGGGACCCCCATGGCCGCCCTGGACACCTCGTCCAGCTGGTGGCTCGGTGTCAACAAATCGGGTGCCTGTTGGGAAGTCAGCGACCTGAAGCGTATCTCCCTCCCTGAGTTTAGGGACTTTAGACTTTGCGGCAGACCATCTTAGTGGCAAACACAAGCTTTAAACCCGTAGTCCTGTGATCAGATCTCCTTGTGGTTTCCCAACTTTCCTTTACCATTCCAGAAGTGAGTCCTTCTCCAGATTTCGGATACCTGCAATCTCCTTGGGGAAATTTGATGAACCACTCGTCGGGGGGTTGCCCCGAGATTTTGTTTGTTTCAAGGGCGGGTATCAAAGTCGGAAGCTGCGGCCTTTTCCCTTCAACCGAGGGGGTGACATTGGCAATAGAACATTCATGGGGCCAGACATGTCGATTTGTGTTTTTGGGTACCCTTTTCCGGCCGGTACGGCCCCCCGGCTCGCTCGCGGGTTTGGTCAGGCAATTCACGGCCGTGGCCACGGGCTCCGACACGGTGGCTCCGGAGGTGGCGACGGTATCCCTTGTCAGCGCGGCTCGGTGAAGTTGGATGGGTCAGAAATCGAAGGCCTATCGATCGATGCTGATCTAGGAACGGAGGTTTGGCCACAAGGGCAACGGGCGCTGTGTGATTTAAGGATTCTTTTCCCGCTGGACTTGGATTCTTTTCCAGTGCCCTGGAAGCCGAGCAAGCCAGCCAGCCAGCCTGCAGGCAGGCAAGCAGCCAAGCAAGCACGCAAGCACGCAAGCATGCAAGCGAGCGAGAGAGCGAGCAAGCTTAAGCCCACCCCTGCACCAAACCTAACTCTCCATAAGCCCACCCCATCTTAAACCCACCCTAAAACCCCAAGCTCGCCTGTAACCCTCCCCTCCCCCACCAGCCCCGTATATGCCCCAAACACAACATCACCTGCCCTACTCCACCTTCCAAAACCGCACCCCAAAACTCCCCTGAGCCAACCCTAAACCAACACCTGCTCTAAACCCACCCTAAACCTACCCACCCTAAACCTGCCAATCCTAAACCAACCTTAAAGCTACCTTAAACCTGCCCTAAACCTGCCCTAAACCTGCCCTAAACCTGCCCTAAACCTAACTTCAACCTACCCTAAACAACCCGCGAGCCCTCAACCTACCCTAAACCAACCCGCGAGCCCTCAACCCACCCTAAACCCAACCCCGAATGCTAGGAACAAGGAATAGGCCATTATGATTAGAAACAGGGTCGGTCTTTGTCCAACTGCGAAAGTAAAACGGCCAAATGTTTGCTAGGGACTGTGATTCCCAGTGAAGGGCTTATTGAAGCTCCAACCCAAGAGGAGCCAATGAAACCGAAAAGCAGGGCTTCACATGTTTGGCCTTCAAACATCTCTACATCAAAACGAGTCTCACTTTAAGTTGGCCTTCGCAAAAGGTCTTGTTTGCAATCACCTTTTCACGGGACATATAGCGACTCCGAACCTGAAAGGCTGCGGGGCTTTGAAGTTGAAGGGGGTAGAGGGATCAAGGTTTGGCCCTGCAATTTTCAGAAGATGACATGATTGAAAAGGAGGTTCCCAACTTGGGGCCAACCCACGGCGTTGCTTGTCGTGCGCGGAGCCCGCGAATGCAATTTCCACAACAGGGGTAGCTCGAGACAGGTTCGGGCAGCCGCGTCGTCAATGATTGAGTTCAACTTACTGTCAGTCGAGCTCAAGTCAGTCATTAGGGTCGGATGCCAGGGTCGGGCTGCGCTAAAGTCAAATCTTGAGACAGAACCCGATGTTCCGCATTCAGGGTGTATGCAGCATCTTGTGTCCGAGTTGGGTGATGAGCGCAACCCGCTGGAGAAGACCGTTGCCTTCTTCTCTGAAAACTGGCAAGAGAAACGCTGCAAAGGACCGGCGCCAACGTCCACGCGCTGCCATTATGCTTTCTCCTTGCGCCAGTTTGCTAGGCTTGCTTTTCAAGTCCAGTTCTGCCACTGGGTCTTTGTATTTCCATATCAGGCCTTGCCTGGGGTCGTTCTGTGGTGCCTGCCAAGAACGATGTTTCCCACCTAGCAGGGGGCTTGTCCTTCTTTTTGCGTCTATCATTTTGTGGGGCCGTTTTGAAAATGCTCCGCGCCAACTTTAAATATCAAGCCGGACTTCTCCGAACGCGCGACAGTGAGATGCAGATGGTGAATAAGTCCGAATGGGCTTGCAGACTTTCCCCTCCTTGCACGGACGTGTTTGACGTGGAGAGCACGCTGCTGAAGAGAAACGCCGTGCTCCAACACATGGCAGTGCTTCTCCTTGTGCGAAGATGGGTCAGCATGAGCCGGCTGGGCAAGTCCCGCGATTATCAGTTCTCACGCTTGTCTCAGCCTTGTGTTGGCATGGGCGCGCTTGGAGTCGGCCTTGAAACTTCATTCGGTTCGCAGCCAAGCGCCTTTGAGCTGCGAAAGGCCACGTTGGGGTCGGTTGGTAGCAAGTTGCTGCCTGACAGAAAAGCGAGAGGCAAAAGCCCATGGGATTTCAGGGGCCAGCCAGCATTCAACTTGTTGGCAGCAAAGGACTTGAAAGAAAGCCTTGCAAGCCAGCATGTATTATTGACACAAATTCCAGGGTGTTGAGGCAGCGGAGCACGCCCACGCACGTGGCGGCAACTTGCTGCTTGCAGCGTCAACCCTGTCAAGCGTGAAAAATGAAGCAGCCATCTAGCAAGCCTATGACCGCTCGAGTCTTGGAGGGTTTTTGGGTGGCTTAAACGAGCGCCGAGGTAGACAATAAGCAGTGACTTGCGCGTTTGCGCGGAGTTACAGGAACAGCCCCAGCACCCCCTCTTTGCCTTACAAACATTTTTTAGATTGGATCTTGCTCTGCTCCAGCTGGGACGAGAGCTTGTGTAGCTCCGGCTCAAAACCAGAAACAACTGGCTCCGCCCGCGCTGCGGGCAGTCGCGTAAGGATGCTCAGGCTGGTAAGGCTGGTCAGTCAACGCAACGCAGAGATACGTGTCCTGGTGTGTGCGTGTGTGTCTGAGGCAAATCAAAGGCCCCCCCCCAGTACTCAACAGAGTTTGGCGCGGACCCCAAATCAGCCCTGAGCACGCCAGCGCCGAATCTCTGGAACTCAGCCAATCTACAAACCACAGACCAATCGCTGAGCAAGTCACCAGTTTTGATGTTCTGCGGTCCGAACAGAAACGCAGCTTCAGCGCCGCAACAGCAACAGTTGTCCCTGCCTTCTGCTGTTTACAGCCCTCACTAGGAAGGCAACTTCAAGTACCCAAAATTTGTGCCTATCCCTTCAGCCCGCCCCGAACCCACCCAATTCAACCCAAAGCGTTACACCCGCACCCTAAACTCACCTTCAACCCACCCCGCTTCCCAGGCGTAGGTTGCAAGGCCGAGGCCGTTTTGGGAAGGACCCGTTCTTTTTCTCGCGTTACCCAAGGCAAGCAGGTCAAAAAAACAAGTTGGGGTTGGAAAAACATCGCCCTTGCAGCTGGTGTGCCCCTGGTGTTTGGCTTTTGAAATAAAGCTCAAGACAAATCAATATTTTCTGCGCCCCTCGAGCTGAGGTTTCCTCAACCCTGGCCACCGGCTTCATCGTCTTCACCGAGGAGCAAACCCTACGATCCGTGATGGCGCAAATGCCCGGCTCCGCCAACCAGCTTTCCGTTTTGGGGAAGTCAACTACTTTTACCTCACCTCAAAGGATAGAAACCTGATCCGGATCCCTTGGGGTGTGAATATGCCAGGTTGATTCATCCAGGGTGAAGACTGTTCCGCTGGAGTTACCCAGTTTTGGACGATTCCCATATTATTCCAGAGCTGTTTCAACTAACTTGTGCAGTTGGGGGCAGGGTGTATTCCTGGAGACACAGCGGTTTGAATCCAGATAAACCGTTTCCTGAAGAATTTCGGCATGTTGCAATTGCGGATCAGAATCAGTCTGTGTTGAATCAGTACTACAACAGTTTTGCATTGCGATCAACCCATTGACGAGTTCTGTTCGTCAAGCCTTTTGGTGGCGTCCGTTTCCTTCAAGCGGGTGGTTTCCTCTTGTCTCTCCTTGACACACTCCTCACAAGGGTCCACAAATTTGAGGAGTTCTGAAATCTGCGCATGGGCGACGAGTAAGAGAGTGGCTTCCCTTGGGTGTCCCTTCAATCCCAACCGAGAGAACCTGGACAGAAAGTTGGACGGCAGCTTCCCGTGTTTCCAAGAGACGCAAACGAACCCTTCCACCAAACATGTGAAGTGCACGCTGGCCCGTGTTCCGAAAATAAGCAAGCGCCGGCGCCTTCCAGGGGTGCGTGCGCTTTTCTTTGCAATGACTTTGGCCTATGAAGCAGGCGTCAGGTGGAGCAAACATATGGACCCTTTTTAGAGCCTGTCGCGTGGTGCCGCTGAAGCTTGATACCAAAAAGGGCAAGCCCGGGCCAACTTTGATACCAAGAAGGGAAAGCCTGGGCCAGGACGTGTCCCTCACGGGGTCGGCAGACATGGATCTCTCGCTCTGCGCCAGCAGTGGTTGCTCCACGATCACCGGGGGCACCAAGTCGGCGACGCTGACTCCGCCCTTTGGGCAGCATGCGGTTTGTGGAGACGGGTGCTTCCAAAAGTCGAGGACCCCCAGCCAAGCGTACGAGCACACGTGCCATGTGCTTTCCACGTGACGTTGAACATATATCAGAAGTACTTTAGACTGGCACCAACTTTTTTGTTGGATCATGCGCGTTTCACGGCAATAGAGAAAGGAGAGAAACCAGCAAGACAACCAAAAAACGGTTAAGGATGGCATTCGCTGTTCCGGAGGGCCAAGCCTGCTGTATTTTGCTCTCCCCTCTGAGCAAGATCTCCTGAGGCTCTATGTGGCGGGGACCACAGATCTGACGGCGAGCAGGGCCCAGAAGCTGGAGTTTGGAATGCTGGAGTTCCAGTACGAGCTGCCGCAGGCGGCCATTTTCTTGGGGAGACCAATGTGAGACTCGGTTTGGGGTGGGGGGTGGGGGGTGGAGAGGTTGGTTGCAAGAGTTGTTTGAAGAAACAGACCCGGGTCCGCTTTCAAGGGAAAACAACCGCCAGTTGTTTTAAACCATGGCTGTTGAACCATACTTCGAGGTGGCCCAAGCCTGGCGGATGTTGACTTCCATGTGCTGAGAAGAGCTTTGAGTTTTTCCCATATTCCCGTGTTGGTTTTGCGGGGCATCCATCGGCTCGTGTTGTTTTGCCCAGACTTAAGCAAATGGAAGCTGAACACTGAGCTTGTCAAGGTTCTCTGACTTGACACCCATGACCCAAGAAGGCGCGGCTTCCAGTGGGGTCCACGACATGTCAACTTTTGGCTGTTTTACATCTCACCCTTTTGGCCGGTGAGTTCCCTCAGGTGTGGTGCTTGTAGGTTGGACTCTCGGGGAACTTCCTTTGACAGGAGCGGCCGCAGCAGTATCAGATCCGAATCCCCGCGGGCTACGTGACGGACACGGGGGGCAACACGGGGCCCAGCAGCAGCCTGGACATCGTCTTCGACGTGGGCATGGTGGAGGGTCAGGCGGATGGGTTGCAGGGGCTGGGTTTGACCAAAAAAAAGGCAAAGGATCCCAGCTGAGTGTAAAGCAGTGGCATCCTCTCTGGCTTCCTTGAGGGATGCTGGTGTTAGTTTAAGAGGCTTTGGCCTCTTGGGCTTGGTGGCAACCCATGTCACCCAAGAGGTGTTTTAGCTTTGTCCACATCTCTTGCACTGCTTCTGCACAGGGTAGACAACACCACCCCCAAGCTGCGGCTGGGTCTGAGTGGGACTCGTGTTTGGCGCCCGATCCGATAGGTTTTAGGGGGAACGGTCTCGGCCAGAAAGCACGGTCTCGGACAATGGTGCGCTTGCATTATGTGAGGGCCTTTCTTTCAAAGCGTGATTTTTCATGGACAAAAATGGGTAGACTTTGCATAAGGGGACCGCCTCACCAAAAGAATGCGCAGTTGCAAGGGTCCTTCCCAAGCCCAGCAGCATTGGCCCTAAACCCGTCAGGAGGTGCTGCCGGCCAGCGCCGGGTCACAGCTCTTCTTGGCGTCCCACTGCGGCCCGGTTGGGAAAGGCTGGAAGATGGTGGGTTTTGTTGGGGTTTTGTTGGGTGTTGTTGGGTTTTGTTGGGGTTTAGTTGGGGTTTAGTTGGGGTTTGCTAGGTTGGGCTTCTTTAACAGTGGCCCTACAGGTCCTGAAGGGAGGTTGGGCGAATCCTTCCAGGAATGCTGCTTTTTAACCCCCGCGCAAATATCTGTTCAAATTCTAGCGGCTTCACAAAAGGGATTTTGCGACCTTATTCATAAAGATCCATTTCTTGGATGTGTCCTTGACTCAGGTCCTCTGACTTGGTGGAGAATCACCCAAAGAGTTGCCGACCCCGACGACCCCCTTCGAGAAGCGAAGCAACGGAATCAATATGTTGAAGCCGGTACTCAGGGCCCCACAGCTGCCTCGGTGGTTTTCTTCCCTTCAGGCGAGTCCTTCAGTTTTCCTGGTGCTCTTGTCACTTGGTTTCCCTTGCCAGTAGGTTGCCACAGCGCCCACAAGTCAGCCAACCGATGCTCACTCAACCTGCGCCGCACTGGGCCAAGGTCAGCCCCAAAAAATGGAAACATTGGGCAAGTACCTTCACCGTCCCAGATTCCTTTTTCATTGCCCCAAAGAGGGAAGCCAGTTCTCCTTCTTGTTGCCCTTCTGCTTGCCACTTGCAGGGGAAATGCCGGGTAAGGGTAGCCAGGAAACTGGGAACACGGAAGCTTTCCTTTGGCTTCTGTTCATTTCCATTTGTGGAAGGATCATTCCAAGGGTGGTTTCTCGTTATTTGAGAACCAATTCATGTTGGATTCAGATCGGTACAATATATTGGTTTTTCGGATTATCATGATATCTTCGGACAAATATGAAGGGAAGACCTCTTTGGGGTACCTGAACAGTTCCTTCAAGGCATGGGGATCCCTGGTCACAATTCCTTGTTTAAGGGACCTTTTCTTTGGTGCATTTTGCTTGTCTGTTAGGACTTTATTTTTTTGCCAACTAATGGGATTTCCATTAACCCACTAAAATTAAAGCAACACAAACAACTTTTAGCGCTGGAGCAGAAAGCAACCGAGCTTTGGTTTCAGGTTCGGAGAGTAGTCCCTGAAGAACACGCCAAGGCAACGTCACGGACACGGAGACCTATTTCTGGCAGCACAGCCCTGGCGTGAACTCCCTGCCGGTGATGCTGAGCTCATCTGGCTCGGCCAGGTCAGGGGGCGGTGATGGAAATCCAGAGACGAGTGGGTTGCTTCTTCTAGGTGATGAGTGGGTTGCTTAATTCTTGTTCCTATTGTTGGAGGGGTTCCCTTAAAACTGCTTCTTCTTGTTCCTTTTTCGTTGGAGTCATGTGGCGGAACCATCAGGAACAGGGTGCCCCTTTTTTCCCCATTGTTGCTGGGGTTTGGGAGAATGCGGGGTCGTCTGAAATCTAGGAAGCCCTGCGGTTGATGTTTTGTTAGCCATCCAAAAGATTCCACAAGGAGGCACGCCATCCCATGTCGACCCATGGAAGAATCTACCTGGTGGATGAATAGGGGGGCTCCTCCAAGAAGTGAAGAGTTTCCTCTTTAACTGAAACCCCCCCTTATCAATCGACCACATATTTATTCACTCTTCATCGGCATTCTGTCAGTTTGGTTGAGCACTGTACCATTGGTTTCAGGTAGGATCTAATCCTTTACCAGTGCCTTTTGCACAGGATGGACAAGGCTTTGGGGGGATTCCTGAAATTCAGGCGTGTGTATTGTCCTCCCAGCTTACGTCAAAACAACCAGAAGGCCCCTTCAATGGCTCAAACCAGGGGCCTTGCTTCAGGTTGAGAGTGTGCTTAGTTTGAACTGGGTTATAGAGAAGCAAGTTGCAGGTTTGGAGGCCACAGGTGTGTCCTTTGTAGCTTAGTGTGGTTAGAATTAGATGGGTTCCACTGGTTTGGATTGGTATTATTCCATTTACTGGAGAAGCATGTTTTGCCCAAAAGGGCACATGGGCCAAGCTGAAAAATAAGGGACCCCCTGTTGACCCCGAACTTGCCATGCCAGTTACCCGTTGGTGGTCACCTTTGATACTGCCGACCTCAGCGCCATACACTACGAGGCCGTTCGGATGTCATGGGCCGCCCACCGCGATCGGTAGAGGGGCTGGCGGACTGTGGGAATGATCCGGCCAACGCAAAATGACCAGAATGCCACGCTCTAAATTGCCCACTCAAGTATTGATTGCCTGCGTACTCAAACGTCCTGATTGCAATGGTTGCTCCTGATAGGGACTTGGCCAGCAAAAGACCAGATCTTCACAAAGAAGTCAAACATCAACCCATCACTTCGACTCGGGACGCTGAGAACCTGGAGGCGTTTCCCACCCGATCCGGAAATTTTGGAAGGCCCGCAGGGTTTCCCATGAGCCCTGCTGAGTCGCTGGTGGCTTGAGCATGGGCTCAGACATTTTGTGTGTCGTTGAAGAAAATATAGTGGTGTGAATGGGTTGAAGAAAATCTAGGCTTCAGGTAGTTTTCTGCCATTTCCCCCATTCAAACACTGCCACCTCAGGAGGTTGAGGTGTCAGGCGGCTTTGCCGCGCTTTTTTTCCTCGTCTTTTTTTGTTTGCTCCGGGTGGACGTGTCTGCGACCACCCCGGGCCCCTTCACGCGCCCGGGACGCGCGCCAGCCGCGCCAGGTCTGCGTGGACGTGGACGGCCCTGGCCCGGTGCATCGGCCGGGGCCCACGGGCCTCCAGATCTTCATGAGCCGCCCGGTTGCTGGGCCGGGGGTGCGGGGGTTGCTGGGATTGGGGGGGTGGGTGGGTGGGGTGGGGGTAGGGGGGTTGGGTGGGTGGGGTTGGGTGGGGTGGGTGGGTGGGTGGGTGGGGTTGGGTGGGTGCTGCCATCGGCCATCTTGTTCTTGGAGGGAGGGGGGGAGGTCAAAGACCAAACCAGTTTTTGTTAATTATTCCCCCCCAAGATTCATCAATTTGGTGGATTAGGGTGATGCTTCCCAGAAAGTGACGTTTTTTTTTGTCTTAAATGGGACGCTCTCTATTAATGAGCCAGGTCTTAAGCCTGGTCTCTCAAGCCTGTCTCAAATCTCAGGTCCGGTCACTGCAGTCACGCCGGGTACTGTGACGCAGGATAAGAGCAGGACACTTCCTGTCCGAAGGGGGGGGTGCTGGTGCGACCCATGGATCGATGGAGGGGTTGCCCGGTGCCCCGTTAGCAGCACTGCTTGACGGATTTCCCAGCCAAAATGGTCAGCCGCATCAAGGGTCCCTTCTACAAAGATCTTTGGGAACTGGGTTCCGATGTTTGATTAACCTAAGCTAGACTTCAGCAATGTAATAGCAAAGCATGGGAACCCGACTTGGGAAGCACATGCCTCAGATAGGGGACTACCACAAGCTGACGCACATCCATCAGGGGCCTATCCTAAAACGATATCATGGCGACATTGTCCATTGCTCATGTCTCTTTTTTTGAAGGTTTCCTTCGGGGAATCCAACACAACCCCCTTCGGGCTGGTAGGTTCTTCAGAACCTCTAGTTTTGGACATGTTCAGTACCAAGATCTCTTGACCTTCCGTTGGTTCAATCAGATTGGCATTTTGAGTCATGTTTCAACGCTCCTTTGATTGGAAGTGAGACTCAAAAAGAGTAGCCCACTTGCCAGCTTGGTTGGACATCCCAAATTGCATAGGCATTTGTTGCTTCATATTTTCAGTTTGAAGATTGATGGGTTCAAAGTGGTCTCAGTTTGCTTCTGCTCGTTGTGTCTTCCAAAAGGCGGCCTGGGCCAGACAGGATCTTTGCCCCGAGTTTTCGGTCTCAAGCGCTCTGAGACCGTGAGAGGACGGTGACCGTCTCCTGCCCGACGACCTGTACTGCGCAGACCTTCATGCGCCCCGCCTTTGGCTGTTGGAAAAGCGCGTTTCGGAGCTCCAAAACAAAGGGGACGGCAGTGTGGTATAACAGAAAGGAACAGGTTTCCCACAACCTTTAGAGCTCCAAAAAAGAAAGAAGGCAGTTCGGCAGAACAGAAAGGGATATATGTTTCCCACAACCGTTAGAGCTCCAAGAAAAAGAAGGCAGTTTGGTATACCAGAAAGGGATATATGTTTCCCACAACCTTTAGATGGCTTCTGGTAGTTCAGGGACATAGGGCTCCGGTGCTAGCAAATGTGCGGTGCGAGACCTCTTGACATCATATCTCATTGTAGGGTTCACCGAATCTGGGTACCTTTCTCATGTTCAACAGGTTTTGGAGGGGCTGAACAGGCCGCTTGTGCCTTCAGGTACTTGGGCATCGACTGCGCCTTGGCGGCCCTTGAGCGTACTTGGTTTGGGTTGTGAGGGAAACCAAATGCGTGCACTGGTCAGGGACTTCGCTTATTTAGAAACAAGCTCTTTGTATCGACGCCCCCAACCATGGTGGCCCTGGTTCACGCGGGATCCCATGAGTTTTCACAGTCCTGTGGGCTAGCATCAACGGACAGCATTGCAGATGGCCCTGTGGATATCACCAACTCTTGCACTCTTCTGGCACTCATCAAGGGCGATCCAAGCGGAAATCCACGGGTGGGGCATCAAAAGCAAAGAGCATCGATGGGACTGGTGACTCGACGTTTCCCTCGACATCTTGAATACCTTCCTCACACCAAAGCTTGTGAGAGTTCAGGGGTCACCAGCATGTTCCACCTTTGATTTGAAAGAACGCAACATGTTTTTTTGGGCGGTCTCGACATTGCCGTTGTGTCGACATGTGTGTGTATATGTGTGCATGTGTGTGTATGCGCGCTCACGTGTGTGTTTTCTCCGTTTTCGTTGGGCCATTTTTACCTATATGGCTTTTGTTTCTTGTTCGAAGATACACACATCTGCAGAATCTTGTTTCGTTGTTTCTGTGTCCATCAATTCCATTGGGTTTTAACATCAATAATCTAGTTGGAACGCTGACATGAGATCAGGGGCCAGCTGGTGCCTTGGATCCCGAGCCCCGATCGCTGCGTCCGTTGCCGGGCGGCCAGGTGAGGCTGATGGTTTGACTTTGTGGTAGGCGGTGGGAATCTGCTGGTTGATTGGTGGCTCCCGCCATCCGGTTCCTTAGCCTTTTAGCTTTTTAGTGTTTAGTGGTAGTTTCCATTTATCCCACCAACAGCTAAACTTTTAGCGGGGGATCTGAGGGCAGCCCAGGTTTGACTTTGTGATGCTTTGACTTTGTTTAACTTTGGAGTATTGAAATCTGATGACCATCTCGAGTTGTTTGAAGCTTCCATCTCGCGAGCACGGGAAGTAAAACAACCTGGATGAAGGCCCCTGAGTTTGGAGCCTCGATTTGAATGGTTATGGTTATCGGGCATTGGTCAAAGCCTGTTGCCTTTTTTTAGGGCGGTGCAAGAAAACCGCCCGTTCGGAAGAGCCCCCTGATGCCACACAGCCAATGGTGTCCAGTAGCAAAAGAGCTGCTCTGGAAGTGGATCCCTTTATTTGCAACCCAAGCAGGTCACGATGTGCCCTTGTAGCCTTTCTGCCAGCTGGATGATGGAGCAAATTGCCGCAGCCTCAAAGAAGGGTGTGACCTTTCCTATCTGAAAGCCTCCCACATTTTGGCAGGCTTGGGCATGTTTTGAAACGATCAAGCTTTGTTGTAAGTGGAAACCCTCGGGCGTCGACGCAGTGCCGCCGCAAGGCAACTGAGTTCGGTTCTGTCAGCCGACCATTCCGCGACAGCCGGCCTTTGGTTTTCTGAGGCGAGGAATTGGCGAGGCCGGGCACCGTGCCGGAGCAGCCGCCCTTCCGCACTGCCAGCAGCCCTTTGAGGGCCACCGGCGTGGCAGGTGGGAGTGGTAGGGGGGTGGGCAGGGAGCCTTTTGGGATGTTGGGCCGATGTTGGTTTCCTTTCAGGGACCAATCTTCCGGCGTGCCAAGATGTTGGGGAGCAACCCGGTTGGGGGAGGGCTCAGCTTTGCCTGGGAATGGTGTTTGGGTGTGTCCTCATTTTTAGGGCTCCTCCAAAATGGTGGTTCTCCTTGTGGTGGTTTCCCTCTCCCCCCCCCCCCCCACCAGACAGACCCGTTTCTCGGAAGTCGCAGTAACAATGTCCAGTTTCAGCCAGGCCGGCGGCCAAGCGTGGTTCGTGTGGCAAAACCTGACTGGGGACCCCTCCTTGGTTTCGCGGCTGGCTTGCTGTTTCACACCAGCCCCAAAACAAGTACAGCGGGTTTTGACAAGCAGCGCATCCATTCCTTCGAACCCCTTCACAACCAGCTTGAATCAACCATTCTTTGTCGAATTTTGACAAGGGTGTTGCTTGTTGCCAGTCTTCGAAGAAACCTTCAATCAACCATTCCTATGCCGAGTCACCCGCTCCCCTCCCCTCCCCTAAAAATAAGTAATAGGGGGCGTGTAGGGTAGGGTATTTTCAGTTCAGGATTTCAGGGTTCAGGGATGAAATTAAACAAGCAAACCATTTTGTTCAAAACACCAAGGGGGATTGTGGGGATTTTTTCTCAATTTTCTCAACATTTTTTTACAATTGTTTCATTTAATAACAGTCTAAGATATTGACATTTTCAAGGTTCGGGTTTCAGACAATTTTATGGCTTTCTGGGGGATACAAGGGTTTATTCATATTATAAGATATTAATATGAATAAACAAATTATTATGTGTCAGTTTTATTATGTATTCTTTCCATATGTGAAATATGCTTTAAACTTTTAACGTGTCTGTCTATATCATATTTCTTTACTATATCATTACAATAGAACCAATCTACATATTCGTCATCCCGCTTTTCTTTTGCCTTGGTTAATAGTTCAGTTTTATGTTCTTTGTAATATTCTTTATTGTATTGACTTACCTTAGCATCGTGTTTTTGTCTATATCTTCGTCTTGATTCTAAACAAATATTACAGTTTTTATTTTCGTTCTCAAAATTATCAAGTGTCCTTTTCATTTTACATTTAGAGCATTGTTTCATTTCTTCGGTCATTTATTCCTACTATATTAAGGGGTCTTTTCTTTAAACATTTCCAAGGGTCATTTCTCAACAATTGTTTTTACATTTTTTTCATTTAATACCAGTCTAAGATATTGACATTTTCAAGGTTCAGGTTTCAGACAATTTTATGGCTTTCTAGGGGATAGAGGGTTCAGGTATTGTCATTTTCAAGGTTTATGTTATGTCGTGATTTTAGTGTTATAAGGAACACCAACATTACACACAGGACACGTGTACAACGCACACGGCTCACGTGTACAACGCACACGGCTCACGTGTACAACGCACACGGCTCACGTGTAAAGTGTAGAAAGCAACCCAGACCCACCAGCAACCCGCCCCCCAAAAAGGACTTAAAGAGAAAATACCTTATATAGTATAGAGAAAATGGCAGGGGAATACAGCACGGGTTCAGTAATTGAATATCTAATATCCAATAATGAAGGTCAAATAAAAGCAGGTAAGAATAACAAACCATTGAAACAACTAATCATTAACAACAAAGAATATTATTATAACAAAGACAAACCATTATCAACATCACTTCAAAACAAACTCAAGCAAGTCAGCAACACACAAGGTTTCAAACGATTTAATCTTCTAAAAGAAGCATCAAACACAGTGAGAGGCATTAAAACAATCCAGAAGTACAGGATTAGAGCAGGAGCGAAAACATCAGAGACATTTTCAGCATTGAAACGATACGCCAACACATATTCAATAACCAACATACCATTCAAGGGATACAAAGGATTTACATATTTGAAATGGCAAGAAAAGAGACTATCAGAATATCTTGAAAAGGACAAATCAATGAAAATTATTATTGATGTTGATGTCCTTTTTGACCACCACGAAACAGACGCACCCACACAATTTACAATGAGGAGCAGGAGATACAACATTCTAAACATTGCTGATTTGAAAAAGGCACTGGATAATATGCCTAAAGACATTGAATTACAAATTGAAAATTCAGAACTAACAAGGTCAGGTTTTGTAATAAACAAAGTCCATACAATAAACATCCACTACGATAAATACAATCCAAACAGAGCAGGTAAATATATGGAACTACCAGAATGGATTTCAAAGAAAAAAGGCGTGTATCAACATTCAAAATGATGATGAATTATGTTTTGAATATTGTGTTTTATGTAAATTCTATGAAGTCTTCAAGAAAGACCATCCACAACATATGAGACACTACAAGAAATTAATAACTACTGAAAGTCTAATTAAATGGGATGGTGTAAATTGTCCAACATCCAATGATGACATTGACACATTTGAAACAATGAACCAAAATTCTATCTCAGTTAATGTTTATGTTGAAGATGAGAACCAAACCATCAGAGCAGACAGAATAACGAAGATTGAAAGACCATCTTGTCATATTAATTTGTTACGAATTGAACAAACCAACAACGAACATTATGTTTTAATAAAAGATTATAATAGATTAATGGGTAGTCAAACCAACAATCACAAAACAAAGATATTTCATTGTATTTACTGTCAGCACGGTTTTCAATCAGAAAAACTTTTAAATTCTCACTTAATAAAAGGTTGTATGGCAAATGACATTCAACAAACAAAAATGCCAAAAGAAGGAACATCAATGAAGATTGAAAAGCATTTTAAGAAACTGAAAGCGCCATTTGTTATTTACGGTGATTTTGAATGTTTAACAACAGAAACATCAGAAGGCATCAAAGGGACTTATCAGAACCATAAACCCAGCGGTTATATGCTTAACCTTGTTAATGCTTATAGTGGAGAAATGAAACCATTTTTATATAGAGGTGAAGATTGTATTGATAAATTTTGAAACATTAAACAATATTAGAGATGATGTTATGGAACAAATGAAAGAATCAAAAGATATTGATATGACAGATTTAGATGAAATTAAACATTTAGAAGCTAAAAAGTGTTTCTTATGCAACCGCGCTTTTGACAATAGAGTAGAAGCGAAAAAGGAAGTTGCTGACCATTGCCACTTTACTGGATTATACAGAGGAGCGGCACATATGAAATGCAATATAGACTATTGTTTTAAAGAATATCATATACCAGTATTCTTTCACAATCTTAAAAACTATGATGCTGACCTAATAATTTCTAATCTTGAAAAGTTAAACACAAAGAAAGAAAGCATATCAGTAATAGCACAGAACAGTGAAAAGTTTATTACCTTTTCATTGAACAGACTTGAATTTAAGGACAGTTTCAGTTTCTTATCATCGTCGTTAGAAAAACTGGTTAAATTAACAAAATATGAAGATAATAAATTGAGGGACAACTGGCAGGAACGTTTTAAATATAGTTTCAAAGGCAAATACATTAAAAACGAAAAGTATTTATTTTTACTGACAGAAAAGGGAGTTTATCCTTATGATTATTGTAATGACTTCAATAAATTTAATGACATTGAACTACCAGAAAAGAAACATTTTTACAGTAGATTAAGTGAAGAAGATATAAGCGACGCAGACTACGAAAGAGCAAAATTAATTTGGAAACACTTTAACATTAAAAACCTTGGTGAATATCACGATTTATATTTAGAAACCGATGTATTATTATTAACCGATGTATATGAAAATTTCAGAAAACAATGTCTAACAGATTACGAATTAGACCCCGCCCATTATTATACATTACCTAACTTTGCTTGGGACGCGATGCTGTTGAAAACAGGAATTTGGTTAGAACTTCTACACGATGAAGAAGTTTATAAAATGATAGAGCAAGGATTACGAGGCGGTATGGTTCAATGTGCCTACAAAAAAGCAGTTGCTAATAATAAATATATGGGTGAAGATTATGATGAAACAAAACCATCATCATATATTTCATACCTTGACGCTAATAACCTTTATGGATTAGCAATGTGTAAAAAACTACCATACAAAAATTGTTAAATTTGTTAAAGATAATTTTACAGAAGAAGACATTAAATATTACAATAGTGATTACAGTAGTAAAGGTTATATCTTAGATGTTGATCTAGAATATCCGAAAGAATGCCACGACAAACACATAGATTATCCATTAGCGCCTGAAATAATGAACATAACAGCAGATATGTTGAGTGATGTTCAATTTTTTTTTTTACAAGGAATACAATAATGGTAATGACCCGAAAGATGAGAAAACAAACAAATTAATATTAAATGTTATGGATAAGCAAAATTATGTTTTGCACATTGACATTCTAAAATTCTATCTTAAACAAGGATTAAAAATCAAGAAAATAAACAGAGTTATAGAGTTTAGACATAAACAATGGTTGAAACCGTGGATTGACTTTAATACAGAGAAGAGAAAGGAAGCAAAAAGCGATTTTTCAAAAGATATGTATAAATTAATGAATAACGCGGTGTATGGAAAAACAATGCAAAATGTAAGAAACCAAATTGACTTTGAACTGGTTGATACTCCTGAACGCTACCAAAAATGCGTTAATAATCCTAATTTCAAATACAGGCATATCATTAATGAAAACCTTATCGGTGTTGAAAAAGCTAAGAGCGTTATAAAACTGAATAAACCTGTTTATGTTGGAATTTGTATATTGGATTTATCAAAACAACATATGTATTCTTTTTACCATGACATATTGAAAAAGAAATATCAAGATAATGTAAGGTTGATTTACACCGATACAGATAGTTTTGTCATTCACACTAAAACCGAAGACATTTATGATGATTTCAATGACATAAAGGAATTTATGGATTTCAGTGATTATCACCCAGAACATAAATGTTATGATAAATCAAATAAGAAGAAACTGGGTTGCTATAAGGACGAATGCAACGGTAAAATA